CCATTTATTGAAAGCAGGAAATTTTTGAAAGGTTTGAATAAGAAATCTAGGGAGACAGAGGGAATACTTCCAAGATGTCATTTTTTATGGGAAATAGCTCACAGTACTCATACTTAAATGTCGATGAGGAAAAGATGAAACTTGCTGAGGTTCAATACGATGCAATGACCGCGACCTTTAACAAGGTATTAGAAACTTGTGAATCGAAATGTATTGGTCATGAATATGGAGAGAGCGAGCTTAACACGGGAGAACTGAGCTGTGTTGACAGGTGTGTAATTAAATACGTTACAGCAAATTATACAGTAGGTACATCTTTACAAGAAAAAGGATTCAGCCCATATAATAGCATGCCGGAGTACAATAAAATTAAAAATATGATTAAAACAAGGGAGAATAACACTTAGGGATCTAGCAAGAAAGAATTTTAAAAAATAAAATATTAACTTTGTACATAGACATGTATTCTAAGCATTGCCAGTAGACCGAATATCTTTCTAATACTACATATAAATCTACGTTTAAAAACGATCTTAAATTAGGCTCATTTTCATTTCGTATATACCATACACCTAAACTAGAGGCTTAAATTTGACCCTTAGTGTGAAAGATTTCCAAGCCTTCTGTAACTCTTGCGGACATGGTCTTTTCACCTTCTCTGACCCAGACTCTTGGATCAAAATACTTTTTGTTCGGCTTATCTTCACCCTCTGGGTTACCAACTGGGGCCATCAAATAGTCTTTCTTCTTCAAGACGTAGTCCCTGACCCCGGTCAAGTAGGCATATTGACAGTCAGTATCTAAGTTAACTTTAACAACACCGTGAGAAATAGCAGTGTCGAAGTCAGCTTGAGACGAACCCGAACCACCATGGAAAACCAAGAAAATAGGCTTGGGGTTCTTGGAACCTGATTTCTTTTGTGCATATTCTTGGTGCTCACCTAAGATTTCTGGTCTTAACTGAACATTACCTGGCTTATAAACACCGTGAACATTACCAAAAGCTGCTGCAATTGAAAAGTCGGGACTTATTGGAGACAATGCTGCGAAGACCTTGTACACAGTTTCTGGTAACGTGTATAAAGACTCTTTTTGGACATGTTCGTTGTTGACACCATCTTCTTCACCACCAGTGATACCAATTTCCATCTCTAACCATTGTCCCATCTTATTCATTCTCTTGAAATATTTCTCACAAGTGGAGATGTTTTCTTCATCTGTTTCCTCAGACAAATCTAACATGTGGGAAGAATACAATGGTTCGCCAAACTTCTTAAAGTGTGCTTCATCGGCATCCAACATACCATCAAACCATGGTAATAACTTCTTAGCACAATGATCAGAGTGCAAAACAACTGGAATGCCATAAGTTGGAGCAATTGACCTGATGAAGTGAGCAGCTGCAACAGCGCCCGCAATTGAAGCTTCCTGGTTTTTATTATCAACTCCCTTACCGGCAAAGTAGGCAGCTCCACCTTGAGAGGTCTGCAAAATAATTGGAGCATTATTATCTCTGGCAGATTCTAAAGCAGCAATGACTGTCGAAGAAGATGTAACATTGATTGCAGGAATTGCAAATCCTTTCTTCTGAGCATACAAGTACAATTGACGCACATCATCACCATAGATCACTCCTGATTTTCTTTTTAAAACGTCTTTAACACCCATCTTAAGTATTAGTATTCAATTCTGTTATTTTAATTATCGAACTGTATTCAAGAAAAGCAACAACGAATCTCAGGAAGAGCATTACTCCTCCTTATATATGGATTAGCCCAAACCTCACACGTCACCTGAAAAAAAAGTTCCGAACAGGATCACACTCGCCCGGGATACTTTTCACTACATACATAACTTGCTGAATTTTATTGAAGATCTCAGAAGAACTACAATTGCTGCCTAATATCCGGCTAGAGAACCACAGGTATACAGCATGCACCAATAAATGCTTGGTTGTTTGTTTTTAGCAACTATAGTAGGGCATATATAAAAGATTAGAAGGGGCCCGAACATTTCCGGGCGTAATAGACCTGATCTAAAAAGCAAAAACTAATACTTGCTATATGAAGGTAGTATACCGGGATGGAGAACTCCGGTTTTTGGTTCCAAAATTGGTCTCCAAAAATTGATTGCATCAAGTAAATAATTGCTTTACATCATCTGATGTAAGACTTTTAGAACTTCCGGGAGTCTAACCGTAGTTCCGGAAGTACTGATTATTTTGCACTAATAGTTACGGGAGAGAGTTAAGATGGGATAATTGTCTATTGGAAAGTATAATGAATAAGATAACAGAAATAAATGGGCTTTCTTATTACAGCTTTAATTCCAAAGATGAGCTAGAGTTCAACAAAATATCTTCCTTGATTTCAGAGCACTTATCAGAACCGTACTCGCTATACGTATACTGGTTCTTTTTGAATACCTGGCCACAATATTGTTACATCGTCAGAGAAAGAAGCGATATAGTTGGTGTGATAATTTCCAAAGTAGAGCTTCATAGAGATGTTCGAAAAAGAGGCTATATTGGGATGTTGGTTATAGATCCGAAATATAGGGGACGAAACATCGCATCTAATTTAGTTCGGCTCAGTATAAAGAATATGATCGAGTGGGATTCTGTGGATGAAATAATGTTGGAAACTGAAGTGATAAATAAAGGAGCATTGAAGCTCTATGAGAGCCTTGGATTTCTTCGTACCAAAAGGCTTTACAGATACTATTTGAATACTCATGACGCATACCGTTTAATATTACCTTTGACGCGTAAAGCTAGTCATAGAATTGCATTTTTACCTTCCCTAGTCGACATAAAATCAGCAGATGGAATAGTGTTAGAACAGTAGGTTAAACTTTGCTTTTCGCCTCTTTTGACTCTAATGGGTATGGAGCTAAGACTTACAGTCGCCTTGTACTGTCATTTGGGTGTTTGCATAAAAATAACCAAAGATCGTGATTTCAGACACAGTAGTAGAACAAGGAAGCTAAGCTTGTTTCTTAGTTTTAGAACCTTCTATTGATATTGTCATACCGAAAAAGTCAAGCGCAGTGGTTAATAAGAGCCAGAAGTTCCAATTATTGGGCTAGAGTAATTTTATGGAACATATGTAATAACTGTAAATACATTAGTAGCACATTGTTATATACAGCTAAATTTCCTCATGAAGTTGCATTCTATTCATTAACTACGCGTGAGAGTTTTCACTTATTGCGGGAAATGGTATTTTGTACTTCCAATTGCCCTTTAAAGGCTATGCGATCAGTGATTCATATTGAAGGCTTGACAATTCTAATCTCCTAATCAGCTTCCTGTTGTCTAGATTCTCCAATAGAATGTATTCTTCTATTTAGAAGAAAATTGACTTTTTTTTGCATCTAGTTCTCATATGTGTACTTATAAGACTGATCCTTTACAAAAAATGTGAGGTTTATAGGGAGTTCTACATAGTTGTTTTAAAGGGCTACTACCGTACTTAGGTGATTCCTAATGAATACTTGACTACTCTAAGCTTATTTATAGTGTGCTACTACTTAGAATCCCTAGTAGAATGTAATCTTGTACTATTGGGAGTATCTTGTGCTTATATACTTTTACAACAGTGTTTCAGAGTTGTTTTGCAACTCTCATCACGTTCTGTATATTTATAAGACCGATCCCTTACAAAAATGTGAGACACTCGACCAGTCAGCTGATTAAGGATGAGGGGCGTGATAGAACGTGGTATGTTTCGAATGTGTTGCAAATGATGGGATAGAAATATATATAGGATAGGAGGAATGTGAAAACATTCCCAGCGATGAATAAAATAGTTAAGATTATACGTACTTGTGAACAAACGGATCTATATGTAGTCCCTTATATAAGTACGCTTAGTTCACAAAAAAATATATTCGTCCGAGATAGTTTAGTGGCTAGAATTACCGTTTGTCGCATGGTAGACCGGGGTTCAATTCCCCGTCTCGGAGCTTATAATTGCGCAAATGGTTTAGTGGTAAAATCCAACGTTGCCATCGTTGGGCCCCCGGTTCGATTCCGGGTTTGCGCAAAATTTTTGACATATTTTTGCACCGAATATCAGTATCAATTGAATACCTGACGAATACTATCACTGAAGAAGAAGGGAGTGCGATAGAGTATGATCTGTACAGTCTCATATTCCTATGCTATTTCCTGTTCTTTTAGTCTAATTTTTATGTTCGAATTTGTAGAAACGCAAAAACGCGCGAACGCTCGACGCGTGCTGAAGTATTTATTTGGGATGATATCTAATATATTTCAACGAACTAACCAAAAGTATTTCAAAGGTTAAGATACGAAAATGCTTGAAGGAAAATTTGACGAGGCTACATTGCTAAAGAAAATTGTAGATTCTATCAAAGACTGTGTTAAACTATGCAACTTTAACTGTACTGAACATGGAATTACCGTTCAAGCAGTTGATGATTCAAGAGTGTTATTAGTTTCTTTATTGGTGGGCCAATCAGCTTTCACAGAATACAGATGTGATAGGGACGTCACATTAGGTATTGACTTAGAAAGCTTCTCTAAGATCATAAAGTGTGGCAATAATGAGGACTACTTAACCCTCTTAGCTGAAGATAGCCCGGATAGTGTTATGACTATTTTTGAGGATAAGAAGAAAGAAAGGGTTAGTGAATACTCCCTCAAGCTTATGGATATTGATTCTGAATTCTTAAAAATTGATGATATGGACTACGATACGGTTATAAACATGCCAAGCTCTGAGTTTGCCAAAATTGTGAGAGACTTGAAGAATTTAAGTGAATCCTTGAATATAATTGTTACAAAAGATTCCGTCAAATTCACAAGTGAAGGTGAGAGTGGAAGTGGATCGGTTGTATTAAAGCCATACACTGATATGGATCACCCCGAAGAAAGCGTTAGTGTCAATTTAGAGAGTCCCGTAGACTTGACCTTTGGTTTGAAATATTTGAGTGATATTATTAAGGCATCTGGGTTAAGTAGTACTATCACCATCAAATTGGCAGATAAAACACCGGCTTTGTTTGAGTTTAAATTGGATGTCGGGGGGTATTTGAGATTTTATTTGGCTCCAAAGTTCGATGAAGACGAGTAAATTATTTTCAATATCATAAAGCTAATATATTAATATAAAGTTCGAACACCAAATAGTCCTCTTTTGATAAGTTTGCGCTTCACGCTATTGCCAAGAGGAGAGAAATCGATGCCGTCGAAACTAAATACTTGGGTGATGATAATATACATAGTGAAGTAAAGTACACCTCAACTGCTTTTTTTTTCATACATCTCTTTTCCCCACTTATATATATCCTGTTTTAATCTGTCTGCTTTAACAAGACCATTTCTTAATATTGTTAAATTCTTAATGTACTCTTGTTGCCTTTGAATACTTATTTGTAAGTAATTTATCAACTCATCTTGTACCTTTGAAAGATCATCTTCCGATTCGCTTGACGCTTGTTGCTTTTCATATCTTACCAAAGCTTCGGGGAGAGCAAAAAAGGGGTCTACTGTATCACTGTCATTTTCATTCTTGAGTGCAGTTTCCTGATTTGCTACGCCTTCCTGAGATTCTTGACCTTCTCCATTTACAGTTTCAATGATCTTGGTTTTGTCATCATCTAAACCATGGTCATAGCTTTTCAAACCTAAGTTTTCTTCTAATAAATAGTACCAATCTTCTCCATTAGTAACTTGAAGTAGTTTATTCAAATAATTCAAATTATCTTGTTCAATCTCAATAGTTTCTATGAGTTCACTAGCCAAATTACCATAAACGTTCAGTTTGAAGATCTTCAGTATTGCAGGGTGCGAAACTACCTCCGACGGATGATTCAATGGAGACAAAATTTCCGAAATTTTGATTCTTTTTAGAGGATGTTCATCTCCAGAATCATAATCAGTTTCATCAAATTGATCGACAGCATCTTCGTCCTCATCTTCCACTTGGTCTCCGAAGTCTCCTTGACCAATATATTCTTCTCTCCATTTACGCTGGTTTATGAGATTTTCTTTCTCTATGCTTTCATCCGTGAAAACAAGATAGTTGTTACCATCGTACTCTACGACTTTGGAGGTGATATGATGCAAGGAAGTGTTAGTAGTACCAAGCTTGTTTCCTCTGTTGGAGCTCGCTATGTTGATTGATTGCGATGGTAGCTCATTTGTTAAGAGGGATTGCTTGAAGCGCGATATAACCTCAAGGGAGTTAACATCCAACATCTCTCGAGCAAAGTATCAATGTAGAGACTATGAGAGGAGTATTTCCTAACAATACAAAATATGGAAGCTGCGCTATGCCTATCATCACACTACTGTATACACTCCTTTTACGAATACAGGTTTCTATATCTGCATTACCCTATTACTTTTTAACACCTCCGGTGAAAGTATCTGTATAACTGGATAAGCTTAAAGAGGTGACTATTAACTATTAATAATCCAAGTTGAGACTATCTACAAGCTATAAATAAAGGTGGTTTCTTCATTGTGCTTAAGAAGTATATCAAAGGTTGCCATCCTTGCCGCCAAATAATCTAAAAGTATGTCAAACATATCATACCTCATAGTTTATAATTCCCATAATGGAAATTTTATAAGAATTCCAAAGCCTATAAGATATCATAAGCTTTTGCACTTTAAAGAGTATTTGGCAGAGTCTTTCGGAATCGACACTATCGAATGTATCTTCTTATTGACTTCCTTTGGAATCAAACTAGATTTCAATTTGATAAATGAACTTAATGATGTCTATTTCTTTGACAAAAGGCTTTTCTCTAATAATTTCGATCGCTCAATCCTTGAAGGCTACTTGAAAGATGAAACAGAAGAACAAGAGCCAAGGACATCAATGTTAATAGGAGATGGCAGATTGAGCGTAAAGGCAATGACAAATAATCTAAAAAGCAATAAGGAATGGGCAATATCTCAATTAAAAAGCTCAGCTACCACTAGTGAAAGGAGGAAAACAATACTAAAACAGATTAATGTGATATTTAAATCCCTTAATATCATATTTCAATTTGGCACGAATTTCATAAACGAGATAGAAAAGAGCTATAATAATTACTATCAGTATATCAATCTATTAAGCTCAAAAAGCTTACACAAGTCCTGGATGCAGCATTTAGAAACATTGTCAAAATTTCCTAGCCCGAATATTTCAAACACTAGCTTTAGATTAGTAGACTTTTTGGACGTTCATCTGTTGCAGGAATCAGCAAAACTAATTGAAGAACATCTCCCTTTCATTGTGAAACGATTCAATGATATGGGATCTACTATTAATATGATCAATGGCGAAAAACTTCAAATTGATCAACAAATTAAATCGTTAAGAGATCAATCTATCAATGCCTTCAAAAATGACGATGACACAAGCCTAATGGTGGATATAGAGAGGGCTTCAGATATAATAGCAGGAGATATAGAAAAACTATTTTTAAATGCTCCTATTTCACTTGATGAAACATACAGGCAACATAAAGATAGGTATTCGCCTATAATTTCTAAAGTTTCTTTAGATATATTTGAGTCTTATAAGAAGCTGAAACAATTCAAATCCAAAACAATCAGTGGCAGCTTACAGATATTTAATAGTATAGCAAAATTACAGATGCATATGGTTGAAATCAAGTCAGAACTCAAATCTCTATCAAGTCCGAATATAAAAGACGGAGCTTTTTCTTATGAAATGATCAACCAAATAAAAAAATCAGAGGACTATTTATCTCTCACAATAGATTTACCTTTGTTATTTGGCTTTTTATTAATTGAGAAAAGACGACAATTTGAATGGTATGATTTTTATTCTAAAGGAATTGTCAGTAATATTTCTGAACAGTTGACAATTATGATTGATCAGGAGAGACTTTTTCGAAAGGTGTGGCTAAAAAAGGTTGGCTCTTTTTTAGCGCTTATTGGTGCAAGAACAACCAGTCCTTCTTTGCCAAGTATTGATATTACTCTAATCGGAAATAAAGGTGATGATTTAAGTCTTCTAGAGAATGTACAAGTTGAGAGGGAAGATATTACAAGCTATATTCAAATGGTAAGTGATTCTGATTGCCCCAGCCCGTTTTCTGAGCTTCTCGACACAAATTTCAAGGACCTTATGAAGTCAACAAATAACATGAAAAAGATCACAAAAATTGTTAGTGCCTTAAGTACATTCATGTCATTTTCAAATGATGATAAACGAAATCAGAAAGGGGACGAGGATTTAGACTTAGAATTAAATGTGACTAAAGGGCTTCGGTCCAGAATTAGGAAATTAGAAAACTTGCTACATCAACAGCAATACAAGAACTTGAGCAAGTGGCCCGTCACAAGAAATAATTTGTCAATTTCGGCCCAAAACAAAACAAGCATGATGATAGAACATCCTTCGATAGGCGACCCCAAGGTTTTATTACCAAAGCGGTCGTCTTCTCTAACAGTTAACTCTTCGGGGCAACCAAAAGTTTTAGATACTGCAAATATTGACAAACACATCGAAAATATAAGACTAAAGAAAGAAAATTCTGAGCTTAAAGTCCAAAATGAAAAACTACTTGAGGATAGTAAATTGAAGGAAGAATTAATCGAAAAATTGCGAAGTGAAATAACAAGAGCTAAAACTACAAATGATTCAGATCGTGCTCAACTTGAAAAAGAGATCCTGAAAAGGGATGAGGAATTACAAACGGCAAAATTGGATAGTAAACTTAATTTGAAAGAGATCGAAAACCTTAATAAGAAGATGGAGCACAGGACCATAGAAGTTTCAGAATTACGCTCAAAGCTTGCAAAATTTTCAGATTCGACTTCGTCATCAGATAAAGTATCTGAATTGAAGGAAGTTATTGATTCATTGAGAAGTGAATTAGATGAGGTAAAGAATATGAAAAATGATCTTTTATCTAATTTATCTTCCAAGGAAATCGAGGTAATCAAGGAGCGCAATAACCTTGAAAATGAGATCAAAACATTACAATCAAACTTGGAAGAAACAACAGAGAATTACGAGGCTCTTATAGAGCTAACTGCAGCAAAACAAAAGCAAACTGAGGCAGTTACAAACGATTTGAATAATACTATTGTATCACTTTTCAAAAGTGTCAAGAGACTTATGGATGCTAACTTCGAATTTATTGTTGAATTTTGCTTAGTGTTGGAATCTATGGGTTTACTCTTGATAATGAAAGATGACGTCCTCAAAATCACCAGAGTGAAGGGCCTACGCTCGAAGAACGCAAATATTGAAGGTGAAGGATTTGAGCCTATGAGTAGCAAACCAAACTCAAAATTTATTAATGAGATAAGTGACAACATGTCTTGGAGTACTGAGATGTCAAGCGTCTTTCCCCTTGTGTCAGAAGATAGCGCTCGATCTCTTTCTAATCAAGAAGAGGATACTAGTAGATTTATTGAAGAGTCAATGAAGCTAATTTCCATATTCAATAACAACTTTAAACTCGAAGGTTCGCCTTTTGATAAATACTTAAGGATTACTAACTTTAAGGATAATGTTCAGATGCAAGAAGACAGTGATTATAGTTCCAAATTCTTTTTAAATGCAATATCAAAAAGATTCAAAGATGTCGAAGGCTATGCTAAGAGACAAACTAAAGAAAACAAAATGCGAATTCAAGAGGTGAACAGGTTATCTTTGAAGTTGAACTCGAAAATTTCAATGAACCATTTCCAGAAAAACGACCTTGTACTTTTCCTTCCAACCAGAATTGATATGAATGATGATATTCCTGAAAACCCTCCTTGGGCAGCCTTTAATATTGGCGCGCCCCATTATTTTTTAAAAGCAGAGAATCTCGATGCTTTTAAAGACAAAGACTGGATGTTAGGACGGGTACGTAATATTGAGGAACAACAAGTGACAGACGATAACGTCAATGATGTAAAGCTCAATCCTTTTAAATTGAGCACAGGAATCTCGTGGTATATGGTTGAGGCTAAGGAGGATTTAATTCCTTGAGATCTACGGCATTTATTATATACATTTACATAAAAATATATGGAGAATAAAGAATTGCATTATGCGGGGGCATGGTTGAATAGAAAACTGACACTTTCACCAAAGTGTAATCTTCTGATAGCTTCACCTAATGTAGCACTAATATCTATGATCTCAAGCTTTTGGCATTTATGTAGCTCGTCATTCAAAGGCATAGAATTCGTGCAAATGATTCTATCTAATTTGGAATTATTAAGTTTTTCAATAGCATTTCCAGAAAAAATACCATGTGTTACAATCGCAATAACTTTTTCAGCTCCGTTCAGAATCAATACCTCTCCCGCTTTACATAAAGTGCCACACGTATCTGCCATGTCATCAATCAAGAGGCACACGTTATTAGTGACTTCCCCCACCAATACCATTTTAGATACTTCGTTGGCCTTTTGTCTTTCTTTGTGGATTAAGGCAAAGTTCACATCAAGCTTGTCAGCTATTGATGCCACTCTTTTGGCCCCGCCTGCATCTGGCGAAACTATTATCAAGTTTTTCATGTCAAAGTGCTCTTCAATATACCTCAAAACTAATGGCTCAGCATACAAATTATCGACAGGTGCTCTAAAGAAGCCTTGGATTTGAGAAGCATGCAAATCCATAGTAATAATGTGATCGCATCCAGCAGTCTCCAATAAGTTGGCTATAAGTTTTGCCGTAATTGGAGCTCTTGATTTATCTTTTTTGTCTTGTCTAGCATAGGGAAAATTTGGAATTACTGCTGTGATCCTCCTAGCACTTGCGATCCTACAGGCATTAATTATGAAAAGTAGTTCCATCAAAAATTCATTGACTCTTTTTTCGCCACATCCTGTTTGAATGATATAAACATCTTCATCCCTCACAGATTCACCCACAGCGACGCCAGTTTCCTTATTAGTGTATTGAAAGGCACCTACTCTAGCAGGCTCTAAACTTAGTTTATCACAAATAGCATTCGCTAGATGAGGATGAGAGTTTCCCGCTATCAACTTGATAGAGTTTAGGCTAGCAGTCATGGTTCCTTAAGATCATATTTATTTAAGTATTTATTTTTAATACTTAGAGACAATTTTTTTTCACGTGGTTCGTTTCACGTGCTAATCTTCGAAATGTTGCAAAATGATACTAAATGTAAACTAGGTCGCATTTGAAGTATGCCATTCAGTTAAATATAAGCATCAGAAATCAACTAAGCCTGCTTACAGTTTCTTATAGAGTGCCTGACATACTGTACCTGATTTATCATAGTAAACTAAATCATTGACTAGTAGCGGATCTATTCTGAGTAAGAACCGCTCACTTCTGAATCAGTATTTGTCAATGAATTATTATATGCTGTTACTAATCATTTGTAAAGAACAATGCTAAAGCTACCTAACGAAGTGGCTATAACTCGAGAATAACGAGCAAGCAAATAAGTGGACTATAAATAATATTCGGGATTGCAAATTATGCCCAAACAAAAATAAAAAGAGAAAGGGGAACGCTAAAGTAGATCACTTGCGCTGACTATCTCACCTATAAGACTCAAATATTCTTGAATAAATGAATTGAACACCCATAAACTACCAAAGCTGCTATCCTTCGATCCCGTATCAATGATGGCACCCACAATAGACAGCTGTTGATGCTTCTCCTGCTGATTAAAGAATATCTGCTTAAGTATGTCGTTGAGTACAAAATTTATAAGATGATTGAAAATCAAAATTGGAAACCTAGACTTAAGTTCCGTAGTTAATAGCTTTTGATCAACGAGAGATATTAGCGAACAAAGTTTCTCCAGTTCTGAGGTATTTAGAATTGAATTAAAGTCCTCCAGTTTATTGCTTTCAACTGAAGAGTGAGGCGATTCATGTTCATGATTGCCTCCCAAGAAATCCAACACATGCTTTTTAAAAAAATTGTCTATTATGGAGACTTCATTTTGAAGATCAGTTCGAGGTATAACATCATTCAAACTCGATTCACCTTTAGATTCAAAATTGAACCCAAGTAATGTATAGATCAAATCTTGAAATATATAACCATCCCCCGTACCACCTCTATTAAGATCGCGATCATCGATACCTGAAATTCCTGAGTTAGTCAGCAAGAACCCTTTGAAGTCTCTTAACATTAAATTTCTTGTATCATTATTTGTGATTAATTTAACAAAAGTGAGCATAAGGTCATTTAAATTCACTAATTTTTTCAACATTACTAAAAATATAGTAGCATTGCTAAGAATGAAGCTCTTATAATTGCCCAATTTTAGGATTTCATGTTTATAATTCCGTATGAAGTCAAGCAAGTTCAGCCTGAGGTGCTTTAGAAAATCTAAATCATTGGACGTATCTGTTAAAAGAAAATACGGCAAAAGCTCTATAATAATGAGCAAATAAATACCTAGATCTAAATTCTCTTCATGTGGTTTGATTTTGACGATGGGCTTAATTATGAAATCAAGAAAATTATCAAGCAAGGTTCCATCTTCCTCTAAATTTGATGCTTCTAGAAAAACTTGTTTTATTTGATCCGGCTTAATAGGCATGGATTCTCTTTTGTAAATTTGATTCTTGGTGACAGTAAACCACGAGTGCTCTCCATTTCTGATGTTTGAAAAAGAGCTATCTAAAGGATACTTGAAAGAAGGCTTAATGAACGATAGATTTGAGGGTATATCGTAGAGAAAAACTTCTCTTTCCGCATTCGATCCTCTGCTTCCACCACCATGCACATTCGGCGTACCAACAGTTGGTGATGCCACATCAGGTATCTGAGAAAGAGGAGCTGTTGCTTGTGATGGCACTGGGCGAGGATCGTTTCTTTTCTTCGCAAATATGTCGTTCAATTCTATCAATTCATTCTCGTCACAAAGCCTCTTGATATCGTCGTTAACAATATTCTCGTTCCAAAACACTCCAAGATACTTGTATTTGGATTCTCCCCGGCTACCTAGTCTCTTAATCAATAAGTTAGGATAAACTAATTTAATTAACTTTCCGAGTTTAGACTGACCAAGAATTATTTTTTGTTGTTCGCTTGGTGTATTAGAGGTACTCGGATACATTGAGATTAACTTCTGACAGACAATATAATATGTCTTGTAGATGGATAGCCTTGGAATAGTATGATTTTGGGGGTTTTCATTAGAATCACGAGGTAGAAGAACAAGAAGCTCATATAGAATTTTTATTGCCAAAAAAGTTCTCAATAATTCGTGATAATTGATATTATTGAATTTATTTTCTCTATCACTGAGCTGGGGAAGGTATTCAAATAAGAGGCCAGGATTTTTGAAGACGTTCAAAATTTGAGCAACAGTATTAATTGCTCCCATTTTATTGCTGCTAACTATAGTCTTATCAATTTTGTTTTCGAAATTTATTTCCGTCAACAATTTTACACCGTCATCACTATTATAAAGGATGGTGTAAAAATCGTCAAGAGGGATTGACGAGTCAAACTTGTAAAGAACACCAAGTAAAAAGTGATTAATATTAGAAACATCAACAGAAATCAAATTCATCAATATTTCATTTAACATAACTGCGTTTAAATTTGTTGATGTTTGCTTGTCTGATTTTTTGTCAATTTCATCAGTGAGGGAAAATAAATTAAAATGAGATGATATTGACATATTACCTCTATTATGCAGCTTCGGTGTCTTCGATGGAGCAGGTGATGCAGAAACTACTGGAGCTGCGTAATCCAGACTTTTTGGAAAGTTAAAATTATACATATTGGCCTGCTCTATCGACGTTGGATATTGACTTGACGACGACGAAGCGATCTGGGGCGGGTATGATGATACACTAAGCGGAAATGACGAAGAAGACAGATAGACTTGTTGTTCTGAAGTACCTGATGGGTCCAAAGGACCGTATACAGGCTGCTGAAAAGTGGGATTATAATGAAAATACTGGCTCGAGGGGTTCTCTTCCACAGGATTGTGAGTTAGGGCCAGGCTTTCCAGAATTTGTTGGCTCTGCGATGATATCGGTTGACCTACTTCATTGGATGCTACTTCCATTCCATATGAAGTTCCTTCATAGACAGCACTTCCTTCGTCCTCGTTACCACGACTCGCCAGTTGGGTAGACTGGACACCCTGGTTATCTATAGAAAAATAATAGCCAATATTCAGAGCCGATGACTTATGCCGCTTATGAGACTTTGGGTTTTTAGGCGGATCTGTCATACTATATGCCACATTAATGAAAGTGAACCTATTTTAGGTCTATGCTAAAAGTTTTTGAATGCCTAATCCGAAATAGCCAATAGTACGAAAGCCTATCTATGTCTTTTTGTCAAGAATTTTACCTCTCTTCCCTATTACCTTGATTGCGCTTAATTCTATCCTGCAGTTTCTGAGTGGACCGCACAGTCACCTGTGGTGTTGTGTGTGTGTCAATGATCTCACTTCCACTCTTGTGCCACTTTAAAGATGATAAAAAGAAATTCGCTTCAACACTATACCGGCTATCTCCCTCCTCTTACTACTGTTCTCTATCCAATTGTAGATACACTTCGATCTACTTATTTTAGCTTGTAATGTCCTTTAGTTTGGCATATATAAGGATCTCAGTGGGATGTGTTTGATATTTAGCCCGCAAGCGCACTGATTTGTTTACATTTTCGAGCATAGTGTAAGACCATTTTGAGAAAAGTGTAAGACTAGAATATGAAGGAAAGGAGCCGCAACAGAACCGAATAGTACAACGAAATATTTAGACGACAGTATGACAAGAATTGAAATAAAAACAAGAGAAAACGGAAAGTACTACATTTGGACTGAAAAAATAAATAAGTCAAATATATTCAACACTTTGCATGGTATGCAGATAAAGATAAAAATATGATTCATAATTTAGCCTTAGGAATAAGTGCCTTAGATAAGACATCTTTCATTTCATTAGCAGCATCGGTCAAATACCATTTCATGTAGTCGGGTCTCAATCCTTTCCCTTTCTTGCAACTAATGTGCACATGTAACCAATCATTGTTTATTAAGTAGGCCAATCCGAAACCTTCATCAATTACTTGTGAAAATCCCCAACTTTGGAAGTTAGGAGAAGGAATCTGGGAAGTAGATAAATACCACGAAGAACTGTATCCGAATACTGGATCCGAGAATATAGATGGAATGCTCTCGCCCGGCTGAAGCATCTGCTTCAAGCCAAATAAGTGGCGGTCGACACCCTTGCCATCAGCTGCCCCAGACAAATACTTCACATGCTGAGTACAAGCATCCTGAAAAGTATTTATCTTTTCTTCGGGAGTAGCATTTACATCTGTCCACGTCTCGACAAACTTTTTGGATTCGACAGAAACGCTTCTACCGGTTTCAGTTCTGCCCTTTAAATACTTTCTGGTAGCAGCACTTTCATAGGTGGGTCTTACTTTGCCTGTTAACTTATAGTATGCAAGTTGAATAAGCATTTGAACATAGGCATCTGGAGAAACTTTAAATTGCTTAATCAAATTCTTACCATAACCAAAGTACTGAAAGATTTCTTCGTCATGAGCAGCGATTGTCTTGTCAAACTTCTCAATTGCTCCTGCAATATTTTGTCTGGTAACTGGGCCTAAGTCAAATTCTAACAATTCAGGACGCGATACGTCCTTATTAAACGCAATATCGTTTAATAAAGAAACCGGATTCTCTTTACCGATTTTATCTAAAACATAGTTGTTTAACTGAACAGTTGGAGTAGCATCCATTTTTGAATGCTCACCTAAGAAACCTGAATTCCCGTTAGCACTTATGAAAAATTCTAAGGGTTTGTCAAAGTATCTGTTTCGTCCATTTCCATGCCAGCAGTTTCTAGACTTTTCTTCGATAGTAACAGGAATATTGTCATCAAGACAAATAACAAATGAAGAAGCAAATATAGTTTCGAAGCTTGACTGGTTTATTGGAGACTTAGACAAATTGTTATAAGCAGCAAGCCATTCGTCTCTATTCAAACTAGTCAAAGCTCCAATTGGTTCCCCTTCAGGAATCGGGGAATTCTTGATAAGTTGGAATTGATTATAGAGATCTGACTTTGATAAAGGCTGGCCATCCTTATGATGCGGAACCTTGAAGAAGTTATTCTTGAATATAACAATAAAATACTGATTTTTGGAGCCATCATACAGCTTTGTGATATCGCTTCCTTCATGTGGAACCCTAGAGTTGTTGAACATATAATGGAATGCGTTCATACAGTAGGGGTTTCCTTTGATAATTTCTGGTTCTAAAGTTTCATCCTGTACTGAAAGCATAAACTCGATTGTATAGTAACTAAGTAAAGTAGCTTTCAAAATCTGATCCTTTCCGATAGCGTTTTTCAAGTCTTTGTGACTGAAAAAGTATGACACGTAAGGAACGACTGGATCCCTATAAGACATGTAAGCGTAATCATCCCACCACTCAGCTAACCAGTTATCCTTACCTTTAGCAAAATCGGTCAAACGAGTCTGCAAAGTTTCCCCAATACCACCTGACTTGGTAAAATCTTCAACCTTTTTCTTTGTTTCCTCAAACTGTTCTTTTTGTAAGAATGGTTCAACTGATCTCAAATACTTGGATGTCGTTTCAGCCAAGCTTGGAACAGGCAACTTTGGTAATTGAGATTGAAACTTAAAGAGGTCACCTTTTAAACTTGATGTAGAGAATTTCTTGATTGTCATTTTGTTTAATTTCAATTTAAACATGGCTTGAATTCAATTCGCTTTTTTGTTTTATGGGTTACTAGTGGTGCAAACTTCGATTATATAGTTTTGCGGGGGGTCCCGCTGACTCTTTCCGAGGGAAAGACGAGAATAAGAAACCACGGTTAACTACGAAGACCAAGCACCACTGCACCACCACTGAACTCTCTTCGGAAGTGTAAGGTACAGGTAGCCGATCCGATTATTTGTACGCACTAATATATTAGATAGTAGCTTGAAGATACATATTAACAGTTTTATAAGGTTCTATGGTATGTGTTTCAAAAGCATACAATTCGAGAATACCCCAGAAACCGATTAGGATTAATCACAGACAGCCGGGGTTTTTTAAAATAGCTATACCTTCAAGTAGCAGCAACTGGGCTGATGTGGTTTGCTAACCTATAGCGTATTTACCATGCTTTTATAGACTCTTGAACTACAATGCACTTGGCGGTTTAAATTGAAGTGTTGCAAAACCGATGAAGGGCCGGTCATTGAGAATCTACATACGAGCTTTAAATAAATCTTTTTCCCTCTGTCCGATAGATGTGTGCATACCATTTAACCTGTTCGACAGAATCACTCCGGCTAAAAGTCAACTTTTCAAATAATAGGCACGCGTGTATCATTTTGAGATCTTGAAACTATATGCCAAAATGAGAATATTAGAAAAAAAATTTTTGGAACTAAAACAGATAGATAGTTCAGTGACTGCAACTCACTGTGGATTGAAGTATGTCAATTAGTTATCTTGACCAACTTTCAACGATCAGAGCATTTTCATCAATAGTTTTCTTCATCTGGTATGTAATAGTTTTGGGAGTTGCCTGCAACGGATTTATTGAGATCTTGAGAAAGTTCAAAGTTTCGCCCTCCGAGAAGCCCGAAGAGGAAGAGATCGAAGGTGTTACAATAATTAGACCGATCAAAGGAATTGATCCCGAGTTTGATTCTTGCCTTGAAAGTTCTTTTCTTCAAAACTACCCTAAGGAGAAGTTGCAAATATTACTATGTGTAGATGATCCGAAGGATGCATCTATTCCGATAATAGAGAAATTGATGGAAAGGTATTCTGATATTGATTCTAAAATCTTGATAAGTGAAGGATATGATTCTGTAAAGAACACTTCCCAGGATCACTTTGGCCCCAATCCCAAAGTTAACAACTTGGCAAAAGGTTTTTTAAATGCAAAGCATGACATTCTTTGGATAATGGATGTCAATGTTTGGGCGGGTCCGAACACTTTGAGGAACTCAGTGAAAGCATTAAATGGTAACTGCAATAATGGTCGGAAGTTGATGGGTAAGAGAAAAGTAAAACTAGTCCATCATGTTCCAATTGCATTGAGTATAAGCTCTAACAATATCACGGACTCGGAGTATATTTTAAGTCCTACATCATCTTCTTGCTTAAATGATAAAACGCCTAAAAAGAGGTTCTTAAAAAAACTTGGTGCCAGATTAGACGAAATGTTCCTTTTGACTTCCCATTCCAAGTTTTATGTGTCACTCAACAACTTAGCAATTGCTCCATGTGTAAATGGTAAATCGAACATTTATCGCAAATCTGACTTAGATAAAGCGGTCGCTTTAATACCACACAAAAAATCTGCATTCTTCAATACTGCATCAGTTATCAGCGCAGCCAAGATGTACTCGGCTGAAGGACCCGGAAGCTCTATCAAATTATTCGCTAGGTACATTGGCGAAGATAATATGATTGCAATCGCATTATGGGAGAACTTACTTGGTAGAACTGCGCAGACTGGAGATATTGTTATACAACCGCTAAGCGGATCTGACAATGGCATCAATGACTATATACAGCGTAGAGTTAGGTGGCTCAGAGTAAGAAAGTTTATGGTTTTTGCTGCCACCTTAGTTGAGCCAACAACAGAGTCAATAATATGTGGAATATATGGAACGTATGCAATTTCGACACTTTTTTTTAAGAAGTGGTTTATATGGAAGCTATTTATCTTCCATTTGCTTGCGTGGATATTGGTGGATTTTACACAGTATCATTGTTTGTTAAATAGTATTTCAAAATTCCAGAAATGTCCTAAGTGGCTCGATTATAAGACTCTTCCCCCCTTTCAAAGATCTGCTCTTCAGTGGTCTTATATTTGGTGCATGCGTGAAATCTTAGCATTGCCCATTTGGCTCATGGCTATGGCTGGTCATAAAATACTCTGGCGTGGGAGACCCTTCAAAATAAAAAAAGATCTCACAGCTGAAGATTATGACGGTACCTGAATTGCCCTGACAGTGCTCTTGTCACATGTTTCTTTTTATAGATTTTTTATATTTTACTTTCATGGTACATAGATTTATAGACAATTTTAATCTAGTTTGACCCTGTAAGTAGATTAACTTGAATTGCAAGTGGTCCCTTGGTAAGATTCTTTATTTCTCCTTCTTCAGCTATTAGTACTTCTTGTGATACGAAGCGTTATTAATTTATATATCCTGTATATTGTATCCCTATTTCCAGCATTCCTCACTGCATCTCAGAAGGGAAAAAATTGAATTGAACGCATTCTAGTCATAAAACGGGAATCAAGGCTATTGAAACAGACCAAAATCTCCTAAGATCTTAAAGAGTCTGTAAGGACTTTGTTAAAAGTGAAGTACATTGAAAGATTTAGACGAATTCGAAGGTAGACGGTGTCACAATCCATCAAGACAACATACAACTTCGTACACGTTGAACATTACGAATAAATATAGATTTTAGAAACGCATAAAGGCATCTTAGATTGTTTGACCGTATTTAGACAGGTATTAAAGGTGATAAAATAGAGGCTAGGATTTTACAAGTGAATTAACGTAACGTATCTCGCAATTTGGATGACTGATCTAACCTACACTATACAACCATTGGAAGACTTCCCTAGGTCTTGCAAAAAATGCTGTACTCCTATTCAAGAAGGACATGCATATGAGCTTGGTGATGACAGATGGCATATTCATTGTTTTAAATGCTCTAAATGTGATTCGTCATTAGGCTGCAATTCGAACTTTTTGGTATTGGGTAATGGGAATTTGATTTGTTCCAACTGTTCGTACAATTGTAAACAATGCAATAAAAAGATTGATGACTTAGCAATCTTGACTGGGGATCAGGCTTACTGCTCTAATTGCTTCAAATGTCGATCGTGTAAGACAAAGATCGAAGATTTAAGGTACGCGAGAACATCGAAAGGGTTATTTTGTATGAGCTGTCATGAGAAACTCATAGCAAAGAAGAAAAAGTATGACGCCAAAAAGAGAAGACAAGCGCAACTTAAAGATCAAGGTAGAGGAAGAGACTTAGAACCCCTGAAGTCGCCCAAAGGATTTCCGAATTTGCATGGCGATCTAACGAGGTCGAATTCAAGCGTTTATACTATGAGTTCGAAGAACAAGGGTTTGCCTTCGGCTCCACTGGAAACCTCAAATGCTTCATTGTCTACTCAGGTAGATCTGACGCCTCCGAATGCGCCTGTGGAAACATATTCGAGAGACTCGTTTCAATCAGCTAAGACAGAACAGTCGTTGGCCTCTTTAGGGACGTCGCAACTTTCAAATACGTCAAATGAAACAACGGCTGTGAAAACGAAACCTGTAGGTGACTTGACGATTGAAGAAATAAATGATAGTGACGATGAGTTAAATTTAAAGAGACAACGGAAAATATTGGAAACGGTGACTAACCCCACGAAGCAGGTACGAACACCTCCTTTATCAACAGAACGCGTCTCCAATAATGAAAGTGATCGTATTCGTGAACGTATTGCAGATCAAGACAATGGAAGTCTTTTTCTTGATATCATAGACATCCCCCCATCTCCACCAAGAAAAGATAAGTTGCAGTCTCCGGCAGACTTCGGCGATAGTAAAGATGAGGAAATCAGCTATACGGCAGACCGCTCGCCGGCTGAAAAATTCAGAGGAAAGAATCTTTTACTATTATCACCCAATCAATTTCACGATAATGGCTTTCATCATGCATCGCACCGTAGAAATGGTAGTGATGCTCCAGGGACGTCATCTTTGGCTGCCCCTGTTGATGATAGGATAAGATCCAACTGCTCCTCTCCGCTAGCTAGAGCCAATCGCCAAGCAAGGGTTGTTGAGACTAATGATTTTATGATTGACAACCAAGAAAATCTGGCTCCACCTCAAATTACTCCTTCGTCAACTCCAAAAAGGAGCATAATAACTAATGTCATTTCATCTCCGCCTCCCCGGGCCCCTTTGCCATCAGTGCCGTCAGAACCATCGACTCCAAAAAAGATGTTTGATTCCACACCGAAGTCAACGGACTCAAAAACGTTTAAAAATGATCAAGTCACACCTAGAGGATTAGGTCTTGAGGGTGTGAACTATGATGAGAAGGAAAATTATGGAACATCTGGCCAGCATTTGTCTAGTCCAAGGAATTTGAAAGCATTCGGGAATAATACTCCTACAGTAACGAATTTAGAAGAAAGCACGGAAGAGGCTCCGATAAAAAGGAAGAATACATTGGGCAAAAAAATTGGTATAAAGCATAAACGATCCATATCGGGCGGCAATGGTGGAATAACAGGAAAGTTAGGGTTTTTCAAATCTAATTCATCTAAAAATGGTGATATGTCCAATGTTAAAGGACACTCACGACACGTGTCTGATAGCTCCGTTAGTGGAGGATCAGCGTTTACAACACCGCCATTACCATTAACCACTCAACCTGCTCATAGTGCTGTCTTCAAGGGAAGCTTTGCGTATCGTGACCATGTTAGAGCGAGCTCTGACACTCCCTTTTTGACTAGTCTAGAACAGCGTCAGGTAGCCTCTTCCGAATTGGCTCTGGATTCACATGATAGCCACATGGGCAGGATAGAGATTTTAAAAAATGAAATTAGGAATTTAGAGCTGGAAAAGCAAAATCTCGGAAGTGAGCTAGATCTGATCCATTTTCGAATCACAGCTGAATCTGAAACTCTCGATTCTTTGCTAAAAAAGGTCGAAACACTCGAACTTAAGCAGAAGTCTTTGATAGAATCCAATCACGTATTAGTAGAACAGAACCAGCAATTAGAGAATGCTTTGAAGCATCATGTTTCAAGCAATATTTCCTATGATCATTTGAATGGTAGTGCAAACAGTCTAAGTAATAACGATACTGGCTCTGAGAGAACAACACCAGCAACCAATTTAGCCCCCTTATCATCCTCCTTGTCCAATAACAGGTCAAGTTCTTCAAGCTCACTTCCCCCTGTTTCCCACAATATTGACAACGTTAACGATGATGCAAATGGAGAGACACAGAGGGCCACCAGGTTGAGATTTTGGAGAAGACCTAAGCTCAGCTTCAATTCACCAAGTATAAACTCAAACACTTCACCTCAACTACAATTTCCTCAGCAACAACAGCCAACATACTCGAATGGTACTAGTAGGTTAACTCAAACATATGGCCTGCGAGCTGCACAAGTCAGTCCTCATAAACAGTCTAATGGCATACACCAAAATGACAACTTGCAAGTAATCGACAAGAAAGGAATTGGCTCATTTATCACTAAATCCAAATCTTCGCACCTCTTAGACACAATTTTAACCGGGAGTAATAGCTCTTCCTCGGCTCAATCGGGGAATACAGAAGCTAATGCTTTAACATCTTTATTCGATATCACAATACAAGAGAGAGCTGACTACGAACAAGAGAGAATACCTATCATAATCACGAAATGTATTGCAGAGGTAGAACGGAGAGGATTAGACATGGAAGGTATCTATAGGATTTCAGGAGGCAATTCTGCAATTGTGTCTATTGAGACAGCGTTTGCAAGCCTACCGTCCAAGCCCACAATTGATGATAAGCAAATGCTCAGATTGGAGGAGACTCTTAATGGTGATGTCAATGCTATCACTTCAGCTTTAAAGCGATATTTTAGGAAATTACCAGATCCATTGATTCCATTCGCATTATATGATGACTACATAAGAGCTGGTAGTACTCCACAGGTCGATAAAAAAATTGAATTTCTTAAAAGTAGAGTTATTGATAAATTACCTCCTGCAAACAAGCATGCATTGTACGTTCTTTGCAAGCACTTAGGCTTGATAAATCAATATTCTTACGCAAATAGGATGGGGTACAAGAATCTTTCAGTTGTCTTTGCCCCTACTCTATCAAGAGCAGAGGACGGGCAGCGTGAAATAAATGACACTGGTCCAAGGAATGATTCTACAGAGGTTTTATTGCAATATTGGGAAAAGATATTTGAAGGTTATAGTTAAATACTTTAAAATGAAACATCTTAGATAAGCTTATATTTGGTAGACTTATACATAGGTTGTACTGTAAAATATATTCAGATCGTTCTTTTATTATTTAGTTCAAATATTGCTTTAGAGCAAGTAACGATGGTAACTTGTAATGAGGTTTTTTTTTTTTTTCAGAACTTATGCATGGATGTCAATGAATGTCCTTGATTTGAGGACTCAGATACATTTCATATCTCTTAGTTCCTGTTCTTATTAAATGTTCAATTACAGAAAACAGCTTTTTTGGTATATGCTTATTCTTTTCAAATTCCATCCTAACATAATTTTTCCAGTGATCTTGATTTTGGGGAGGCTTGGACTTGATAGCTCTGAAACATAATCTATATAGTTTTAAAACTTCCCTTTGTAAGCCTGATAGCCGAGCCATGCTGTAATCATAAGGTACTATTGTGTGGTTTGAATATCAAGTGTCTCAATGTCTCATCAAAACTTTTTGTACATGTCTGTAAATGTCGCAACATCATTTACAAGTTGTAAAATTACAGTCATAATGCTAATGTCTATTTTTGCTCTATGTCCATTCAAAAATTCGTATAAAGAAGATAGATATGAGAAAGATTATTATTGTGCTATAGAATTCACCATATTGAGTAATCAATACAAGCTTTATTTAAGGTGTGTATAGTCAACCTCACCCTCTCTTTCCTGGCAGCCCTCCGTGACGCCACACGTACACTTACCTTTGTTTCTCATGCCACATGCACAAGCATTATCGGGAGCTGGGGTCTTATTTTCTTGAGCAGCCTTTTCGCAAGTGCATTGCATCGCTGGCTTCGATCCACAAGAACAAGTAGATTTCTTAGCACACACACAATCAGCAGCTGAGCAAGTCATTAAATAGAAATTAGGATAAGAATTATTTAATATTAGTAGGAATAACTTCGACTACTACGACATCTGTACTTCTTTTATAATAGAGGGAATCGATCCGCCATAGATAAAAGCATGATCCCTGTCACGTGTATCATATCGATATGCATATGTCAACCAATGATCATGCGCCAAATTGTCAGCAGAGAGTGATGCTTTCAAACAACGATCACTTAATTGGGTCACGGTGCACACAGATGGGGTCTTGATAAAAGGCTGAAATTAGTGGGGTAGCATTGGAGTATTTTAATGGGGGCCATACATGTCAGTTTTATTCAACTTCGAATTCAATGCCAAAAGCGGATCGGCTATACATATTGGGTTAGAAAAGCGTTCTTGATTAAATCGAAGGTATATTCCCTCCCCGATTTGGTTGTCACCAACTAAGTCACTAAACCTCGAATTATCAATTAAAGAGACAAGACTGGAATCCACCTCAGGATTGAAGAAATCTGACAAAAACTCTGATCCCGTATTCATATCAACCTCATGTTTTTCACCTAAACTCCAACTGTTGCTATTCACTTTTATTCTAGTTTCGACAACGTGAGGGGAAGACTGTGACTTGTCAATCAGTTGTGATGCAATTGGTTTCGATATTTTGCTGAATTTGTCACTGCTTTTGATATCTTGTTCAAATCCACATATCTTGGATACCTTTTCATTCCATACCTTGATTTTTTGTTGGTAACTCTTTACTTTCTCAGCGCAGTCTGCTTCTAACCCGTTAAAACCAGTAGTGGCAAGTTCGTAAGTCGTTTTAAAACTCGGAGAGTCCACATAAGTCCTTATTTCAGGAGAATTCGCTATCAGGTATAAATAATAGGAAATGCCTAAATAAAGGATATTAGCGGCAATCCACGAGCAATGCTTCTGTTGATCATGATAGATTTGAGAATACGTATATATGATTTCCTTTCCCGAATTGTAAAGCACATGATAATGATCGTAGTCTGTTATCATGGGAATAATTGGGGATATTCCAAAAATTTTTATTAGCGTCAGATGATAATTTAATCTAAGGACAGCCGAAATGAACTTTTGATCAGAAACGGTTTTTGGAATATTGTCATACCATTCATTAAGGTCCAGAAGAGTGCTATTTTTCCACTTATTGAGTGCATGGATATCAGACTCTACGTCGTTGGAGTCGTCTGTTGCACTTACTACTATGTCACCATCTTCATTGGTTGTTCTCAAATCTATTCTTTTGCTCTTGTCATTAAGGTAATTGAATATTTTGCCTTGAACTCTTCTTAGTTTTATGAAGTGTAATGACATGGATTTTGAAAATGTAGCCGTGTGATAACATTCTCTCTTAAATTCCTCTGGTAATACGACCAGATCATCTAGCATAGAAGGAAAATTCACATCAATTTGAGATTCGTCAATTCCAAAGGGGCGTTTAAGGTTAATTGAAATTTGACGATCAAGAGAATAGCAGCACCAAAATAACCTCCTTCTCATTTCGTGCACAAAAGATAGTCCATGTTGTTTTCTTCCTTTCATCAGCTGAGGTTCGCAATGCAAACTCAAATCCAAGCATAGTCTGCAACAGGTTCCGACCAAATACCATGCACTCGGCGAACACAGTCGCATCACTGAATAGAGCGATATGAGTAGGAGACGTTGCACTTCTTCGATCATTTCAAATTCATCGTGATTCACTTCAGAATTTTTCCGAATTGCATCAATATAACACATCGCTTCATCTTTATAACTATTTGACACTAGTGTTGAAAATTCGTCTTGCCTCGCCGAAGTAGATATTGCAAGTATCATGTTTAGGAAGAAGAGACAGCATTCTTTAGGGGGCTCGGAACTAGATGAATTTATATCAGAGTTCTCGCAATAATTAATAGGTTCCCCTATCACTTTCGTCCATAAATCTTCCCCTATCTCCCCATACAATGGCCTGAAATATTGGATTAAGTAATAATCTCGGTGTACGATAGGTAGTTGAATATTAATTTCAAGAAAAAATATCTGCAAGCATCTTTCGACAAAATTTCTAGGTGGTAAGTTTTCTAGATTATAACCCTGCTTTTGTGACCGGTTAGATAACAGCGATTCGGGGTGACCACCGTTTAGTGCATAAGAAACTGATTTCTCTCTTTTTAACCTTTCAAGCTCCTCGCTTAAAGTTTTCACCTTCAAGTTTAAATCATAGAGATAAGATCTGCTGACAATTTCTCCGGTACCAGGATCCAAAGACAAACAGTCTATGTGTCTGCCAGCTTTCTTGCAGTTTGTGCACTTTGGAAATTGTTTATCACACCTAATTTTCTTCGAGCGGCATCTCTTGCAAGCTGTAATTGCTCTGGTTATACGAGTAGAGTACGAACTTTCATCGTAAGAAGCTTTTTCAGAGCTCAGTTTGTTAACGTGTTCATTGTCGATTACCCTTGACTTTCGTTTCCGTTCTAGCTCTTTCATATTAGGCTAAATGACTTTTTAATTTTCTATGTCGTTATTAAATCCGATATTTATGGACTAAATTACTCTAGAACAAAACTTGAAGTTGTAAACTTTAATACAAAATATCTTCTCAATTTGCATATATTTAAATAACACTAAAAGAGTCAACTAGAAGGACAAGCTCAGTTTATTATGACTATACTGAAAGAATCAAAGCACCATTAAAATTTAGAAATTACATTTTTTGTTGATCTTAGAGCTAGTGAAAAAATTCAGCGATCCGCCCGCGGAGGTTCCGAAGTTGTAACTTCTGGGTTCGGGAATTACTTGTGACTCGTAAGATTTTTATATCTCTCGCTCAATAAAGAACCTAGCTCACTTGTAGAGTTCTCTGTAGTGTTATCATTTTGACTGGCAGAAATTTCGCCAAAAATATCTTTACTTTGGGGTTCCTTGTTTTGCTGCAATTCCTCTCCATTTTTTGACGACATATTGGTTAATACTTCTTCAAATAAATTTGATATAGACCTCGATTGAGAATGACTACCAGTATTTTCTTTCGAATTATGAAGTTGTGCTGAAGTTTCATTGCTAGCGATGACTAAATTTTCATTGTTGTTTGTGATAGAATGGTAAATAGTGGACGTAACAGAGTTATTTCTTTGGTTACTGTTCTCAAGAAATATATTCTCTTCAGAGTTTATCGCCTGTATTTTAGATTTCTTCCTTTTTCCAGAGTAAAAATCACCATTAGTATCCTTTCTGTCTTCTTTCGATATGTTCGTCGCCATTTGTGGTTGGATATCATACTCGGAAGACTTACTCAATTCAACATTTTCAAACCCCAGTGGATTATTCTGTAGCTGTGGAGGTGGTATATCGCTATCATCTCCTCCAAATCTGATACGAACGCCCATAGGAGTCCGCAATATATTCTCGACATCATCATAATTTTTATCTTTTCTGAAGTTCGGTGTAGTTGGAAATCTTTGTAGTCCTACATTACCTTGATGAAGCTTGGGAGGACTGAGATCTTTAGGCAACAGAACTGGAGATAATCTTTCATGCTCTTTTAAAGAGTGTGGCGCAATTGAGGATTCTCTTTCTTCGGAACCGCTAGGAGCACTGCGACCCACCTCAGACTGTAGAATAGGAGGTTCGGGTAAAGTTGGTGATGAGTTTATCAAATCTTGAATCATGGATGATCTCCTTCTTGCGCCCTCTGATGCAGCTTTTCGGCCTGGTGTCTTCGACTTTTTCGGGGAAATAGATATTCTATGAAAATTATCTAACGACTGTCTTATAGTCTGGGTCCTAACAGCCAGGACAGACTCCACTAGTTTCCTGGGGGATTCAGAGGTGATAGCCTCGTTGCTGCTTAAAGCGTTTGTCAAAGCTGGAGGCGGTTGCATGCCTATGCTATCGTAAGAATCAAACTTCGATGAAGGGAAACCATGACCTGCTAAAATTGAAGGTGCTTTTTGAAGTTGAGGAGTAGAGGAGTGCATATGTTTTTCAGGATGTCTCCTCTGTTCTGGCCAACTAGGAGTGCTTTCTTCGACGGCTGATTTCAGTATAGGTTTTTTAAATTCGTCTCTTTGATCTGCTTCGCGCTTGCTTTCTGCAGCTGTGACTCCAATGTCTCTTTCTTCATTGAATTCATCCTCATCATCCAGTAATAAAAAGTTGTTTCTTGTATTAGCGATAGTATTCACATCAGTCGTAGTATCGACTCTAGCTTCATAGCTACTTAATTCAACATTTGCAGATTGCTCAAAGAAATACTTCCAAAAGCTGACATTGCTCCACACATCATCAGAACTATTAGAATATTCTTTAAGAATTGGAAAAATTCTATCGTTTATGATGGAATTTGCCTTTGAAAGATTTTTATCGATTTCTTGTAAGACTAAGGTTGTTTCTTGTTCTAGTTTTTCCAATTCAGCCCTTGATGTTCCTGCTTCCGTGAAATTCGGATTTATCGTAGACCTTCGACGGGACGAAGAAGGAGCTATTGAGTATCTCTTCATGTACTAGATACTGAATAAAATATTCCCAAAATTTAGGTGCATCGATTTAGACTATCAGTGTTGTTATTATGATAACTTTACGCGTTACATTTCTCAAAAGAATTTCTTCAAGATCGCATGTTGAATTTTTATTTTACAGGTTAAATTTAAAGTTGAAATAACCTTGAAGGAATCATCAAGAAGTCTTTTCAGAATCTTTTACAGCCTTCAAGCATATATATACATATATATATATAAGAGACTCTCTGACAAATGGGAAATATAATGTCAGCTTCATTTGCACCGGAGTGTACTGAAGCCAAGAAAACCTATGATGATTGCTTCAACAAATGGTATACAGAGAAATTTTTGCAAGGTAAGTCACTAGAAAACGAATGCACTGAGGTATGGGATGAATACATAATGTGTGTGAATGCTGCTTTGGCAAAACAGAAACTCGATAACATGTTGGAAAAAGCTAGAAAAGATGAGCCATTCACGTCGGAAGAAATCAGACAAAGTGCCGAACAAGAAGATCAGAATCCTACAAAATAATTTAGTCCTTAACTATTTATGATATGGAAGTCCAATGTAGACTTCACTTTCTCGTTAACTATCATTGTTCATGGCCAGCCCGACAGCTTAGCACTAATCTTTGTAATCCTGTATATAGTTGTGTATGATGGCAATAAGAGGTAACGATGTTCATCGCAGCCATCCACAACATAAATTAAACGTTATTTTATCATGCTTGTAGAGGAAATACCGAAAGGTCCCAACTCAAATGGCTCAACAGTATATTTCACATCACTAATTAATATATCTGCGCGGCCCAGGCATCTTCGAGATGCTCAAGGGGATGAAGAACCTTTGTCAACTTCGAATATAAATCGAGGATCAAAGAATAGACCAAAAGTGAACTATAATGTGAATAAATTAATGTATGCACAGACCCAGGCTGGTATACAAATTGCTGATGGACCTACAAAGTCAGTACAACAACTTCAAATTGAAAGATTGGTACTTAAAAGGGTTAATGAATTGAACAAAGAATCCACCGCAAGTTCATTTGAGTTGCCTAAGGGCTTCTCGTATCATGCGTATGGTGGAAGTTCTAATAAGAAGAAATCTCGACAAGGAAACACACCGACTACAAAGAGAATAATATCTTCTAGGCGGAACCTTAATCTGTATTTCGAGGAAGAGAAAAACATAATGTGGATAAACTCAATTTTGAGCTTGAACTATCAATTTGTGGAATCTAAATCTTTTAATGATAATGTTTCAAAAAGGAGAAGAATTAATGATAAACCACCAAGAGCGAGGTTAAGACTTTGCTGTATATGTGGCGAGAATTCAAACTATTCGAGATGTCAAAATTGTGGCCTTTTTTCATGCAGTGTTAAGTGCAACCTGCTACATGAAGAACTGAGATGTAACTAGAAGTTAGGCTGGCCTTCTTGAGCTTACTGAAATTTTTTAATTTCTGAGGAATTATATCATCATTACTACTTATGCTTATCCCTCAACGACATAAAAGCAAGTTTGTTATTCAACATAATATGTATCGATTAATTTTCTAAAATGAACTTATACACGTGTGTGTGAATCTCTGTTTTATTTGATGTATTCGTGCTTTTCTTACTTACTCTGATTTAAGCATATTATTTGGATGTAAATTTTTTTATTATGTTTTAAGTAAAAGGCATAATACAATTGTTGAAAGCTTATAAAATGAAGCTTGGAAGAGATACTTTTGAATATGCCCAAACTAAAATATGATAATTAAAATGGTGCTGGTGAAAATTCGCTCTGTCTTGATCTTGTGGATCATTGCTTTAACGACAATGGTATTTTGTGACGTTTTGGACGATTCAGATGAGGATTATAGACAATTGGTATATTATGCAAAATTGGCATCGGTCGCTTATTGTCTCAAGAAAGGGCTTCAACCTGGTCTTTTAGGGGATGAACAAACGAGATGTCCTAAAACCATGTGCCAAGAAGATGAATATAAACATATCAAATTGATAAAAACTTTTGATTTTAACGACTGGGGAGATGTGGGGTCTGGTTTTTATGCAATAGATAAAGAACAGAAAGAAATTATATTATCTTTCAGGGGAACATCTTCCAGATTAGACTGGCTAAGTGACTTAGATATTATGCCAGTGAAGTATGAACCGTTAATCAATTTGCAGCCTTTCCAAAAAGTAGAAATTGAATGCCATAATTGCAAGGTTCATAGAGGTTTTTACAAATTTTTAGTTAAGAACTGTGTTTCGATAATCGAGGAGACAAAGCAGCTAAAGGAGAAGCACCCAGAATATCGCTTGGTTATTTTAGGACATTCATTGGGAGCTGCTCTTACCATTCTAGCCGGAATAGAATTCCAATTAATGGGTTATCATCCTCTAATTATTGCTTATGCATGTCCAAAGGTTGGTAACGGCGCATTTATGCAATTTGCAGATAAGTTATTTGAAACTAGCGAACTAGCTGATGAAATAGACAGTAAACATAAATTTACTAAAGGATTTGTGAGATTATCCCACACAAACGATTTAGTAACACAATTACCACCCTCTCCGGTTTTCAAACATGGTGGCTATAAGTATCATATTGAAAAAAAATTGTTGCCGCACCTAGCATCTGACATAGAGAGAAGAGGTATCAAGGATAATGAAGAGCATAGTGATGTCACTGATATGACATTTGGCAAGTTATTTTCTAATACCAGAAGCAAATACGCGCATTCGCATTACCTAATCAGGATGACTGGTTGTGATGATAATAAATTATAGTTTTTAAGAGAATCCGACAATATAGGATACATAACTCCTACAACTTATTTACAAGATATAGTGATCATTTCCTCCACATCACAAATCTTTTCTCTAGACTTTCCTAGTTTTTTTCCATTTTCTAATTCAGTGGTATTGATTTTTTTCCAGGCATCCCAACTTATCGTAGGTTCTTTTAATGATAGGAGAATTCCATCGCACGATTGAGGCCTAAGGTGAATCCTATTTGACAAATCTTCCAAAATCTTTTCTGCTGTGTCAAACGAATCCATCATTGTGGTAGCAATAACACCTTTGGGTCCAGTTTTAATCCACCCAGATGTATACCAGCCTTCTTTAAAGATTGCGTTAGTTTCATCTCTACCAATTGATTTTCTAGAAAGAACTCTTCCTCCTTTGTTTACCACCCTGTTGTTTTCGAAAAGAACATCAACATTATCAAAGCCGGACAATGAAGATCCCTTGTAGCCAATTGATAAGATTACTAGTTCATTTTTTATCTTAATCAAGTTTTTCGTTGGCTTTACCTTAACTGCCTTAGTGAGTGTGTCCTGGACAAGTTCATTTGTTCTGAAGATCGTTGAATCAAGTAAATTATTATCTGATTGGTTAATTATAAACTCTTGGGGGCTCTTTAAATATTGAAGTGACCACTTCCTCTTTGTATATTCTTCATCCTTAGACTCTGTTGCATACTTTTCGATTATTGAATATCTTCTTTTATCGACCCTACCTAAACTGCTGACATCAATATCGTTAAGTACATCAGGCTCTAAAGGTGTGCAGCGAATGCTCTGATTTTTGGATAACTCAAATAGCTCTCTGATCTCTTTATTCGTAAAAGCTGATTCGAGAAAACCTCTCCTTGCAACTATATTGACATTTTTAACCTTGCTTTTCTTTAGCATTGTGATAGCTGCCGACGTCATATCAGTTGAAGACCAATGTTTATTAACGTCACCAAGAAGGACTCTAGCGACATCTAACGCAACATTACCATTTCCAATGATAGTAACATCTTCGACCTTATCTAAATTAGGTGGAATGAACTGGCTACCTTTCCTGTACGAGTCTGGATGACCATTATACCAACTGACAAATTGCCTCGCGGATATAACGCCCGGTAAATCTGCACCAGGTATATTTAATGTTTTATCCGCTGTCGTGCATCCATATGATAGCACAATTGAGTGATATTTTTGTTCCAATGCATCCATAGAAATGTCTTTTCCTACCTCAACGTTACCAAAAAATCTTACTCTATGCCTCTCTGATTCTGAAAAGTTCTTCATTATGTCATTTAGATATTCTTCGCATTTTTTAACCTCGGGATGGTCTGGTGCAACACCATACCTACTCAAACCATATGGTGCAGGTAGTCTGTCTAATATATCGATATTCAATGACATTGACAGAGGTGCTTTATTTAACAAGTGATGGGCGGTATAAAACCCCGCCGGACCCGAGCCCACAACTGCTACTTTAAATATATCCTTTGATACATAACGAGATATTGAGAAATGGCGCTTCCAGTTGCTCTTGTGTATATAATTTAATTGTTTTAAAAGCATTAGTTTTATGGATCAATGTCTATTTTCTCTGCGACCGAAAATCTCAAATATGATTAAGTCTATAATTTAAATTAAGAATATAAAATACATTTTAAAACTACATCGAATTAGTAAAGTGATCTTCATTATAATTTTAGCTTCAAAAAAGCTAGAACTTGGAGCAAGTGAATTGGATTGTAAAGTTTCTCTTAGTTAATCCCTGCACTTTCCATCCGCAAGTTAGCCCAACTAAACCTTCGTCAAATGCAATGATGAGTTCTTCGATCTACCATTCAACTCTATGCATCTGAGATGAAATGTTATTTCTGACCTCTTTGACGCAGTCCTCTTACAGTTAGAATAATGTTTTGTAACTGATAACTCTTAGCTAGAGCTAGTGAGCTTTGATATAGTTATCACTTGACACGACCCGTCCTCTTTGCGCTAATGACGACGAAATTTAAACTTGAGTTTCGTAACGGATCTATTGACTACGAGTGCTAGTGCTGAACTACGAGAAATATGACCGATTTATCTCCCGATGCGTCCCTGGGGCTACAGAAGACAGATCCTTCCAAATTTTTGAGCAGTATCATTGGTTCCGCCGTGATTGTAAAGCTACATAACGGAGTAGAATACAGTGGAATATTACAAAGTATAGATGGATTTATGAACGTGGTTCTTGAAGAAGGAAAAGAGATCATAGATGGCCAGCTTAACAGAAACTATGGAGACGTTTTTGTTAGAGGTAATAATGGTAAGTAATGAAGTCAAAGTCTGAGATAAACTTTTTTTTTTCAATTGAATATTCAAATTATATCGGGAAAAATTAGTGGAAGATTTTATATTTCTATTGTATATATGAGCCATTGAAGACAATACTAACGATCTAGTTTCGTATATAAGTGAGGCATAGTTGTATAGTAAAATGTGATGCTAATAGTTATTCTTTGTAGTTAATGTCGTACTCGATGTCGTCTTCGATGTCGCGGGAACTTAGTTTGTGTTTTATTTTGAACGAATCACAATCCTCTTTCAAAGTACCGAGAACGAGGCCCGATTTGAAAAAGTAAAATTGACAACGATAGTAATCTTGCAATAGTTTTTAATTCAATAAAGAGATAGAGACTATGTCATTCATCATCAGAAGACAATTATCAACTTTGATTCCTCCAAAGATTGCATCAGCAAAGGTATGTATAGGCTTGGTCTTCTAGTCACTATAAAGGTATACGAATAGAATGACAAAGATATGGCGACAACCTATAGAATGTTTTTAAAATTGCATGCTTTTTAAATTAGCAAGCAAATGAAGTATAGCTTTAGGCTACCAACTCTAATTAGCTGACGTGAATGGCGTAAGTCATGAGTGAAAACTAGGGATTTTCGAATTTTTTTGGATGAAGTGTGACTTTTTAATACAAATCACTTATTATATTTCTTAATACGCTACACAATGGTATTATACGATGGATATATTAAAAACAGTTGCTATTCTATGTCTTCCCTAATCTCCGTCGATTCGTTGTATTGATACTAACATTTTTTAGAATATTGGATCAAACCCTAATGCCAAAAGGATGGCAGATGTCGTTTCTTTCTACAAGAAGTTACCTCAGGGCCCTGCTCCAGCTCCTGCTAAACCAAGCAATCCTCTTTCAAAGTATAAAGCTGCTTATTTTGATGGTGATAATGCGTCAGGAAAGCCATTGATTCACTTGTCATTGGCTGTGCTTATTTTAGGTTATGTCTGGGAATATCAATCTCACTTAAAACACCATAAGGAACATTAGATGCAATGTGTTTTCCAAGCAAGGTTTGACTAACTTTGTCACGTTTGGACGCGTGAAAGGCTCATGAAACGGCTTGTCATGATCTTTTTGAACCAAATTTGATATTGTCATATAGGTTTCGATATCGATTGCAGTAGCTACATAACTTTACTCTGAATTATAAATGTATACAACTTATCAGATCTGTGTAAGTTTGTAGAATTTTATTGTAAATACCTAGTGGCTAACTATCTTTTTATTTCTATGCACAACCAGATGGGGACAGCCAGCGCTTTCATTTCAACAACAAAATCAAATTATAATTAACAACTTCAAGCAAGTTTGAGTAATCAATTTGACTAAGGACTTAATATAGTCCAGATAAAATAGAGGATTCCCTTGTAACTTTCAATTTCCGTCTTCGACTTCAATTGTATAGCAAGAAGCTCCGTGAAAGAGGATAAATAGCAAGCATGGATCCCCTGGCTAATTTTGAGTATCAAAAGGGCTCGGAGCAGTCGCCTCCAATAATGGAAGATACAAATCAGCTTCTAGGTGGAAACTTTGATTCTGGAAATCCCAGTCATCCCGCCACGCCTAGAATGCTTCGAAGTGTAAGTGGTAATACAAAAGCTACAAGTAGTGATGTTAATCAACAATGGCCACCACATAATCAGAATAGCTCAAGGACTTCTGAGAGCGAAGGCTATACTCAGCAGTCAAGTAAAGGCTTAAGGAGAGATTTCCTGCAAGGATCTAATTCAAGGGACATAAATTACCATAGGCCACCAGAGACTCAACAATATCAATACCAACAGCCGCATCCTCAGCAACACCTTGAACTGAGCTCATTTCATAGACGTATTCCGTCCGGTTCTAGTGTCTCGAGGACTCCCAGCGTGAACAAGAAGCCTCCATCTTCACCGGCACCCATGGGCTTGTCCCCCTCGCAGCCTCCTAAGAAGGCTGAGCTTCTCCCTCCGGCTGCTATATCTTCGCCTGCGAATGAACCTACGCCAGGAACAGCAAATCAGCATCTGCCTTTAAGACAATCACAGCACCCTCTGCGAGACTCAAGTCAACATCATCATCAACAACAATTTCATAGAAAATCGATCGGCGACTGGACATTTGTTAAGACCATTGGAGCTGGTTCGATGGGAAAAGTTAAATTGGCTCAGCATAACACTACAGGGGAAATATGTGCCGTAAAAATAGTACCTCGAGCAGCGAAGCTTTATCAAAGAGCTCACGCAAATGATTTACCGCCAGCAAATGCACAAGCGGCAGCGCAAAGACAAAAAGAATTTGAGAAAGAAGTTGCTCGAGATAAACGTACCATACGTGAAGGAGCCCTTGGAAGGCTTCTATTTCATCCATTCATTTGTAGGTTATATGAGATGGTTCCTATGACAAACCACTATTATATGCTTTTTGAATATGTGGAAGGTGGGCAAATGCTTGATTATATTGTGTCACATGGTTCGCTTAAAGAGAGAAATGCTAGGAAGTTTGCTCGAGGTATAGCTTCTGCATTAGATTATTGTCATAAAAACAACGTGGTACATCGTGATTTAAAAATCGAAAATATAATGATTAATCAAAAAGGTGACATAAAAATTATAGATTTTGGCTTGTCAAATTTATATGCTCCAAAGTCGTTGTTGAAGACGTATTGTGGATCGTTATATTTTGCTGCCCCTGAGTTGTTGAGTGCAAAGCCCTATATGGGACCAGAGGTAGATGTATGGTCATTTGGAGTGGTTCTCTACGTTTTGGTTTGCGGTAAGGTTCCATTTGATGATCAATCTGTGTCTGTACTACATGAAAAAATCAAAAAGGGTAATGTTGAATATCCTGCTTTCTTATCTAGAGAATGTGTTTCATTATTGTCTAGAATGTTGATTGTCGACCCCCTTAAAAGGGCGACATTATATGAAGTGATAAATCATCCTTGGATGAAAAAAGGATACGATTACCCAGTATCCAATTTCCTTCCTAACAGAGTCCCATTAACATTACCTTTAGATCCAGAAATAATAAAGGCAATTGCTTCATTTGAACTAGGTTCATACCAATCTATTGCTGAGGAGTTGGATAATATTATTGGTAGTGTCGAATATCAAATGTGTGCTGAAAATTGGTACAAGCTAATGGAACAAGGTAGAGAATACGCATCCGCATCTAACTCTCATATATTACCGGATCCAACTGGTGGATTTCATCCTCTAATATCTATTTATTACTTGGTGGATGAAATGAGAAAAAGAAAGAAAGCAAAGGAAATGTCTCTTAGAGCCCAATTGGAACAGCAAAACGAGTTGCATGAGAAAGAGAAAGTTGCCGTACCTACTCAAGATGTAGACTTTCGATCTCAACAAGCTGAAACCCCATCTGCAGCTAGACAGCAGAATTTGCCGTCACTTCCGTTCCCACCACAAGCACATACTTCTATGTCTCCATCTACATTCAACAGGAGCTCACACTCACCACCTACTACAACTGACCAACAACAGACAATACCTAATCAGCAACCACTTAGTGCAAGAGATACACTTCCAATCCATGACACACTTGATCCGAATGCCGGCAAAGGAGGGCTCAATTCTATATTACGGAGATTGTCTTCTAAGAAATACAAGAATCAATCGTCGCCGCCACCAAAAGAAAGCGTTACATCGCCTCCCGAAACTTCGGAACAGACGATTGCACCTCCACCGCTTCCAAAAGTTTCAATCACACCGGATTCCAAAGAGAGATTGGCTTCTCAGACATCATTCGCTTCAGGTAAGAGAGACCCGCTAGTTCGTCGTGGTGTGAGTATGAAGGTTACAGCGAAAGAGAAATCGTCTGCATCCAGACTCAACTTGGCCGAATCGAATACACAACCACCACAAGAACAAGAAACTGAGAAGAAAACCACACATAATAGGTCTCTGAGCTCTTCTAACCCTAACAAACTTCATGGCTTTATTCCTGTTGAATACTTACCTCCCTTGCCAAACATAAATACGGGTTCCAATAATACTGTTACAATAGGCAGTCCAAAGTTACTGCCAGCTACAGGAAAGAAAATGCATCCAACAGCCAGAGCTAAATCTGTTGGTGGTTACGTTGGAAAAGAATCAAATGGAGGCTATCGTCATCGCGCTCAGACACAGAATATTGCTCATCCTCCTTTACCAAATAAACTAGCTTCACAGAATAGTGATGAAGCTATCACGACAAATCAGGACCAAAGTGACGGCTTCTTTGACGATGTTACACTAGATGATGTTCAGTATCAAGAGATTCCTAACCTTACTGAAAACCAAATTATTGAGCAATTTAATAGTGCTAAGCCAAATAGCATGCCCTCAATTGAATATCCGAAAACATTGTTCTTGAAAGGATTTTTTAGCGTGCAGACTACTTCAACCAAGCCATTGCCTGTCATTAGATATAACATCATTAACGTTTTAAGCAAATTAGGGGTCAAATTTCGAGAAGTAAAAGGTGGCTTTGTTTGTGTACACGTTCCCTCTGTTCAACAACCAACAAAGACGCTGAATGATCACTCATATGATACATCGATCCAGCAAAATATGAGTGCCGAAAATAGTGAGGAAGATCGTTTATATGGCGATGCATTCAAGTCATCTTCTTCTCTTGAGAAGGAACAACCCACTAGATCAAAAACGCCTGAAACGGAGGGACCCCCACAAACGCGAACTCCAAGTAGGCAACCATCATTGCATGTTAATACTCAGAACTTTCCGATGTCACCTTCGAATTCTACATCGAAAACGCATAAACCTTCAAATTCAACTGGAAGTAGCCACAGGCGAAAGTTTTCCATAGGAAACTCTTTGTTGGGTTCTTATCGTAAGAAGAATGGATCTCAGGTTGTAATGCCACCAAACACGCCTGCTACTGCCAAGCTTACCAAGCTGTTATATTCTGAAGGAGATGATACAGTTTACGGAGACGATGAGAATACGAAGACTTTCGATGATGATTCTATTGACTCTTTGAATGGAATCATGATTGGGGGAGGTAGTGATATGTTGGTATCTTCAAGACTAGAACAAAAGACAAAACACCAGCATGCCACTAATGGACAACTCGGTAAGAGATCTCCATTGAAGTTTGAAATTCACATTGTCAAGGTGCCGTTGGTGGGATTGTATGGTGTTCAATTCAAAAAAATATTGGGTAATACTTGGAACTATAAAACGTTGGCAAGTCAGATTTTGAATGACTTGAATTTATAAGCAGGATGAATTTAATTTACCTAACGAATCTTGAAAATTTACGATTTAGTTCAAATTTTTCGATTCCTTTATTATATTATATTATATTACATTACATACTTAATTGAGTTTACTTCATTTGAAATGAACCCATATTGAATATTCGAGTTCTGTAAAGATTTTAATTAGATCAAAGCAAATCACGACTGATGTTAAATGCCGTCGGGATGTGTTTAAGTAGGATATGAAAATCTTTCAACCAGGTCTGCTGTGTCTTTTTCTACATTTGACTCACTTTCAGTATTAAAGCTTTCATGTTGTTTTTGAGCAGGCCATATCAATTCAGTTCTCGATATCAATGCACTCTCATTTTGATCGGCTACTTGATTATTCATATTTGAAGTATGACTCTCAATACTTGTTTCATCGCTTGCCTTAAGGGCATCTTTTTCAGAATCTGAAGTAGCAATGAACAGAGCTTCTGGTTCTGGAGTAGCAATAAACGAGTTTTCTTTCCTGTTCCTTAGCCTTTCTTCTCTAGTGATTCCATTTGAATTTGAAATGCCTTGAAATTGTTCATCCCTTGCTAGTCGCCTTCTTTCCAATCTCTTCTCAGCTGCAACTTTCAATTCCTCTTCTTCTTGTATTTTCAACAATCTAAGCTCTTCATTCTTTTGTTTTTCTTTGGCTTCTAATCTTGAAGACCGCTTTCTAGTAGCTAAAAGATTTGCGAGTTGGACTTCCTTTCTCCGGTTCGTTAAAACTTTTCGCTTTTTTATTTCGCTATGAAACACAGCATCTACTATAGAAGACCGAGAAATTTTAGCTGAAATATCCTTATTCATCTTTGAGTTTTTCTTCTTTTTCAAATTTTTTAAGTAAGAGCTGAATTCGTAAATATTTCGGTATATCAACTCATAAGTCACGTTGCGAACATCGAATTGATCTTCTTCATAAAACGACTCTGGATCTGATGGTGCTTGCAGTCTTTTTTTTGGTATCTGTAAGGAGTGGAAATTAGAAACTCTTTTGTATAAACTAGAGCTGTCAAAGAATAATAAATACTCTTCAATAATACCCTTATTTAGGACTTCACTGTAAATTGGAGTATTCCTAAGCATGTCCATGGAAACGTTATTCTTATCAATCCAAGTCCTGAACAGGGAATATTGACTAATGTAACTGATGAGTATATAAAGTATTTCAAACTTTTCGTAAATTTTTAAATTATCAAATAAAGGCTCCTCAGTGATATCATCCTCGTCTTCATTTCCTTTCAAAGATGTATCTAATCCAAACCACATCCTAAAAATCTTCTCAAAGTTATTGAGAGATGACATTTTTGAGTTTTGTAAAGTAGTGATGAGGGACACTTTTAATTTGTTTATAAATAAAACGGACTCGTCGATTGGGGGAGGATATACCAAATTAAGCAACTCTATTTCAAATAGGTCAATATCAAAATGTTCTGATTGCAACTTTATAAAACCTCTGCAAGTATAGAGCCAGTTGGTGACATATAAGTACTTTGGATCAGATCTCAATTCTTTTATGGACTTCTCATCTTTGAATCTCTGGTTCGGTAAAATGACGTGTTGTAACTTTGCCAATGCGTTGATTTGATCGTCATTTCCGAAAACTAGATCACAAGAAGAATCATTCGTATTCAGAGAAGATTGAGACGACTTAGACATTGTTTAGAAATTCCGTAATATTTGATCCCTTTGATAACTTAAGTTTTACAATGTTCTCGACAATTTAAAACCGCGATGGATATTTCTCTCTACTTCTAATTTTACAAAATTATCCAGGAAAAAATATTAATACAAATAAATAAACCTAAAAACTGAGCAATATATAGATCATAATATCGTTATAAGTACAGACCTTAACCGATAGCAGTTTGGTTTTGACATTTTCTGAAAATAAGTAATTACAGCTTCTCATTAAGTAGCCTTAATAATTCCTCATTCTTGCATTTTATTCTCGTAATTTCATGACTTATTTTAACTAAAGCAGTATGCTTTGATAAGTTTGGCAAGCCGTATTTTTTAAATTTCGCTCTTTTAGACTTTTTGTTATTGTTAACTTCTTTGTTGTATTCTTCAACGTTCACTATAAGTCTTAAACACCTATCATATGCCATCTTGCACAATTGCCTCCTTTTTTGCTCTGAGTGAGAGTGATTTAATCTTTTTTGCTCCAAAGAAAGCAAGGGTTTATGAGATAATCTCTTACGTTTCTTCGGGGAAGGTGAAGATATCCCATTATCATCAAGTCCTCTTTTTCCATACGTGATATCTTCATCGCCCAGGGCACACAGAGAAGACTGCCTGCTGTCCACTGGTGTGGGCAATTGATTCTGCCTTGGTGATGCAGTTTCAGATCCACTAAAGTCCCTCGAAAGTGGTTGGCCGAATGCCTCTGCTAATTCATCCTTCATATTTTCATTAATTTTATGCTGATCCTTAGTACTCAAGGATTTGTGTTTTTTATCATACAAGCTAAGTACCTCATTTGTGGTATTGATAGGTTTCGAAGTCGCTTCATTATGATGATCATAAATATTATAAAATTTTAATGGATCTGTTGTATTCGGATTTGCCAAATTATCCAAAAACTTGTCCAAGGCATCAGACTCTGTATTAGAGAAAAATTTATCAAATTCATTTTCAACATCACTTGGCTCATCTTCTAATCTACCTTCTTTCTGTAATATGTTGCTAAACTCATTAGAAGGATCAAAAAATTGAGCATCAACAGTATGTAACATGTCAACCTTCTGATTCTCTTCCTTTCTCAATTCATTTGATGGATTTTGTTGATAGTCTTGAGACGGAACGTTAATATCGCAATACTGGCTATGACTTGGTGGTGCAGTGGCAGCGGATGGAGTATTGTTGATATTGAAAAACCGATACTCCTGGTTTCCTGGAAAACTAGTGCTTAGAGTCTGTGTTTGCAGTAGCACTGTCTTATATTGTTCATTCAACATTTGCACTTTTTTCAATTGTTCCACGGCAGCTTTCGCATTTTTGTGCTGTAACGTATTGTACATTGCGTACGCATGTTCAAAGTCCATTTCAGAAGATAAATCGAAATTATCTTTAAAACTCTTTCCAGCGCATGAAAGGAAATGTGAAGGAAGCTGGTGCAATGTTTGCTCACGAATTTGCTCCATGTTGTAAGTATGCAATAGACTTCTTCGGATTTTTTTTTGGTGCTGCTCCAGAGCCCACTTTAGTATTCCTTTGAATAAAATGAGAGTGTGAAGAGTATTATACTTCTCTTCTTCTGTTATCGTTTGCTTTGAGGTGTAATACTCAGCACTCCAATTGTAATAGAAATTTTACGTGGAAGCTTGGTGAATAAATAATAAGATTTAGTAGCTTAGAGGAAGATACAACCTGTGGATATCGTGGGGTTTTTAAAGGAATTCTGAGGAAATCGTAAATTTGTTCCTCTTAATACGAAACCACTCCCTGCGCTATGCATAGCAAGGGAGATTACTCCAATAAATTATGTGCCGATTTTACTACAATACAGAAACAGCAAAATGAAGCCATGGAGTTCTAAAGCAAAAAAAAAAGGCTGCGCTTAAAAACAGGAACATACTTAAGTGACTACATCTGAGAATAAATTCCGTCGGTTGCATAATTTGTCGGCGCAAATTTCTCCCTAATATGTATTCTGGAGGAAAGGATCAAAGCAGTTTACAGTTTACGGAGGAAAGTAATCTTGCATAGAAACAAGCCGCTAATAACCAACATCCCTTCAGTGCCCGCTTCTGCATCTGCCGGATATACTTCACCCCATCAGGCGAAAAAGAGAAATTGTTACCCGTCAGATGCGTTCGATTGACCTAAAAAGTCACTATGTGTACGCAAATAGGCTCCGTACAATGCATTTTGTTATGCCGACATGTGCGTCTAATTGCCGTAGACACAGAAGTTTTCACCCCATGATTGAGATGATTCTAGTGCAATGGTTATCGTGTTATCTGAGGGGAGGTTGGAAAAAAACGGTCGTTGGCCAGAACAGTGAGGTATTCAACCCGATCGACAGCTATTCTAATTTAACGCGGGGAAAGTTTACAAGACAGCAAGGAACGCTCGAAATTTACACAGTGCTCTCTAGCTTAATACTTTGATGACAACGTTAAAGTTCCTTGAACCAACAAATTATGGTTAGAAAATAGCAGGCATAATATACAGGAGTATTGCTTTAGAAATACTCGAATCACAAGGTGATACACATCGAATGAATGCAAATAAATGAGAGATGTTGTTGACTTTAATATAACATGATTTATTTGGCTGAGACTATTAATCGAAATGATGGCGGGGTCTGATTCTTATTTTATGGACAACAAGGTCTTATTTTGAATATTTTTTACCTTTTTTTGAAGCTGAAATTTACATGAATCCCCCCTAATTCCTTAATTAAAAGCAGCGATAGAAACACAAAAGCTCTTCCAAAGGAAATCATAATTACTATAAAAACGAGTAGAAGAGGATAAACAATATATTTCTAATATAAGAATTGTTCGATAGTATGAGAGAAATAAGAAAGGGACGTGATTTCAAACAAATACATTTTATACAAATTTGTAGTAGTAATGACTCAAGCTTCGGAGCTCAAGGCTAAAATGTATTAGATGTTACTTCTTCAGATCTCAATCTTCCAAACTCTACTTAACATTCCTTATTAAGCTTGATTTGTATAAGACGCTATGGAATAGTAAAACCCTTTTGGACTTGAGAAAGCGAGTTCAATTGGTCAAACCATTCTTTAACTAATGGCCATTGTGCAATATCAATGTCCAACTTACTCAATGATTTTGCCCATGCTACGATTGCAATGTCAGCAATAGAGTAATGATTGCCGACTAGATATCTTCCGTTGCTTTCGTTCCTTTTCAAGTATTCCTCGACAACAGAGTAGAGCCTTTTAGTCTCATTTTCATATCTTTCAATTGCATAAGGAATTTTCTCCTTGGCCGCAAACTTGAAATGGTTCGCCTGTCCTTGCATAGGTCCCACTCCTGCCATCTGGAAATAAAGAATTTCCAATTGCTTGTAATATTCTTTCGTTCCTACTTTGTAGCTATACTTGTAGTCCTTATCATAGGTATCCACAAGATATTGAAGGATTGCTCCTGTCTCACTAATGGTAACTCCTGTCGAATTATCAACTAAGGTTGGAATTCTACCATTGGGATTGAGCTTTAAAAACCATGGTTCTTTTTGGACATTATCTCTAATGTTTACGGATTGTGTATCATATTTTAATCCCAATAATTCTAAAAGAATGGATATTTTATACCCATTAGGTGTCGTGAAACTGTACAACTTAATACTAGCTGAAAATTCTGTTAGTATTGAATGCAATTGCTTGTATCATTTATTGATAGAACATACCAGACATGGGGGAAATGAAGTGGAATTCTGGTATAGTTCATAAAATTGCTTCAGAAATGTTCCGGTCACTCCTCTTATACGATATCTGCAAACATCACGGCATTTGCAAGCAACGCCACAACTTCCTCTTTCACTACCGAACTTTATTTAAATTATTAGGATATATAGGTAAATAATGCAAAAATACCAGCAAAAATAGAACCTGAGTGCTAACCATCTCTAATTTCTTACTAAATTTTTTGGAAAAGGCATGTCATATTGAATCAAGAATCGCACTCGAGCCACATAAATTTATTTATGCTTCATTGGAAATTTGATTGATTTTCGTTCATCGGAAAACAATAAAGGGAACCATATGTGAATTGCGTTAGATAGTAAAAGCTATTCGATCGGGTGTGACCTCATTACAAGTAATTAAATATTTTTACGGTTTAGAACTTGTCGTTCAACTTCGTTATGGAACAGAGTTGAGACTGTCCCTTGATATATATAACGCTCTTACATAAAAGACAGCCAGTATCGTCCTCCTACTTAGAGCTATATTAGCTATATTTTAAAGTTAGATCAAATCGATCGATTTTTTTTTCGGTGCAGGGAGATTGAAGATTGATCTGAGATGAGGAGTTTAGCAATTATAGCTAGAGCGTGTGCTTCTCTCAAGTACTGACTCCGATCGGTCTATCTACGTTTATATCATTTGCCTAAACAAAGTATTGGCGACGATTTCAGTGACCAACGAAGATAGTTTTCCAAGCGTTGAGGATTTCGTAGTTTATTTGGAAAGCTTCATTCGAATCCAAAGGTGCAAAAATTAATGATAATTACACAAATTGTTGCAAAAGTTGTATCAATTATTTATATAATTTCTATCAAAATTCATTCTTAAAAATTCAAGTATACTACAAGATTGTGCTGTAACTTTTTTATAACTACTACTACCAATAATGATACTTTAACATACTCGGTTTATGGCACTGGCACCAATATGAACCTGTACAACACACTTGATGATATTTTTTGCAAAAACGTTTCACGGCACCGAAGGTCATAAAATAAGAGGACGAATATGCTATTGAAATTTATTGAGCCATTACTGAACCTTGAGATGATCTATCTATGCTCCCTTATTTGGAACTATCTTATGGTTTTAACCTTCTCTTGCGGTCGCACTGTGAAATTCCAGATATTTTCTTGCAGAAGTGTTCAGCAAATCTTTTAAATACATTTCTTCATTCAACCCTTTCACTTTGCCGTAATGATTCACCTGTACCACTATAATGTCAAGCTTATTACATGTATCTTTTAGAAAATAATCAATTTTGCTAACTGCTTTAAATTCAAAATATCATGTAATCCAAATTCTAAGGAGCTCAAAGCTCTTCCACAGTGTCTACTATTATTGGAAATCCCACTCGAAGCATGACACTCGAAGAATATGGCTCATTCAGGACTCATTCACCCCAGAGAAGGGCCCTAATTGCCTTTGTATTACCATCAATTTCTCTAAGTAATTTCCAAGGCAAAGCGTAAATTTCAGCACTAACAATACTGAGTACAGCAACATTCTCATTATTTTTGTTAGTAACACATTCGCCCCCATACAATACTTTATTAACTCAAAATTCTTCTAATTAAATTCTTATAGTTAATTTCTACATAGTTAAGGCTACATAGTTAAATTTACTACACTCAAAAGTAAGTATGACAGAAAATGGTTGCAGCACATGAAACTTGCCATCAATACCAAGGCATATTAATTGAAGATAATCATATTCATTGTCCATCGGCTACGCTGTATTAGAAGCTCCAGCTTGATTTATGGAAGCTGAATTGACAACATCATGTTTTCACCGTGTTGACGGTTGCGAAATCCATTTCAGACCTGGGAGATGAAAATGCCACGCAATGTCCTAATCATTTGTCTATTCTAAGCATCAAGTATATATTACTTATCCTGATAGCGCTGTGAAATGATGTCTACAATCGAAGCAGGCGGAGAGTTGGGGAAAGTGGATATTGCTTTGACTAGGAACAGGTCTTGAAATTGAGAATTGGGTAAATTTAATGATAGATTTCGAAAGTTGTGCACAATTATATACAGGATATCGCAATCGACGCGCCGAGTAGCACAAAAATCGCTGAAGGCTGGCAAGGACCCGAATTGCAGTGAATAAAAGTTATTGTCGGTGGGATGATATGCAGGTCATTACGCGTTTGTGGGCATGGCTGCGGCCATGCTTTGTTTATTTTGATAGAAAGCCATAAACATAAAACGCTGTATTTCATAAAAGCTTCCTCTCTTTTTTATTAATATTCAAATATACTAACTTTATCAGCACGATGTCAACTGAAAAGAGAAAAACCACAAGAAAGAAGAAGGACCCAGATGCACCAAAGAGATCTTTGTCAGCATACATGTTTTTCGCAAACGAGAATAGGGATATTGTCAGAGCAGAGAACCCAGGGATCTCGTTCGGCCAAGTTGGTAAGTTGTTAGGTGAGAAATGGAAAGCATTGAACTCTGAGGAGAAGGTTCCCTATGAGAGCAAGGCTGATGCCGACAAGAAGAGATACGAGAAGGAAAAGGCTGAATATGCGAAGAAGAACGGCAGCTAGACTGCTCATACGTCTTGTATTGAAAAAGGCATACTGAAGAAATAGTGTACCATATTGTGTCGCTTGAGCCCTCACCAGTGGTAAGTGTGCTGATGGCGACTAAACAAAAAATGTTGTGACAGTCGTTGTATTTTTCCTATGTTTTGTTTTTTTCTTTTATATAAACCATGTGAGTCCTATTTGTTTTCAATGCAATTCCTTAAACATTGATAATAATAGTCATCCATCGGATTTAATATATGTTTTTCTTTTTCTTGCTCAGTGTAGAATCTCGAAGTTATTGAGTCGCAATGCAAATATTTTTGCTCAATATAAATAATTGAGGACGAGATTCAAGCGGTCGCAAGTATTTCTTTTACTCATACGTACCAAACTACAATGCAATTACCTGAGCCTTATTATAACGATGATCCTAAATCCTTTGCGTATTCGACTGTACGTAAGAGATGGCCAACTATAATTAAGGAAGGGATTGAGCATTTGATGATGGAAATTGAAAACCAGCCTTCTTTAAAAGAATCGGGGGGTGTTTTAATTGCCAAGCTTGAGCTGCTACTCACTTCTTTTAAAAAAGACGAAAAAGTTACTCCATTTGATAATGCCGCGATCAAGAAGAATGGTTGCTTAGTTCACTATAATAAATCTTTAGAAAAATTAAACGAAGAAAAGACCGTTACATGGCTCACGGGACCTTGGCTCTATCTCGAATGTTATTTGTATGAATTGATTCATTTGTATTTCATTAGTTCAGAACATTCGTATTGGAGATCATTTGATATCTTTGAGGCACAAAAGAATAGCAGTTTTCAACACTCACTGTCTGGCGTTCTTGAATTATGCAAACGATATGAGACGCTATCTGATGAGTTACAGAATCAGGACGTGAGCCCAGATGCTCTACAAATACTTTTCAACGAGTTTATAAGCATATCTTTGTGGGGAAATGCAACAGACTTGTCTTTGTTAGCTGGAAGTGTTTCCATTGAGGAAATCAAATCAGTCCAGGCAGCTGACTTTAGGAAAAAAAATGAAGAAAAGATTATAGTTAATGATTTAAATCAAGCTTGGAATCATTTGGTTAAAGAAAATACAAGAAGAATCGATATTGTTTTGGATAATGCCGGATTTGAATTGTTTGCTGATTTAATCTTTGGACTATTTGCACTCGATTCAAATTTGGTTACGTCTGTCCACATTCACTGTAAAAAGATCCCTTGGTTTGTGAGTGATACATTACCAAAAGATTTTGATAACTTAATTGCTCAGTTGGGCGATCTGAAGTTTTTCACTGAGATCTATAACGAGAAACAAGATGCTCAAGCACTTATCTCCCTTCATGATAGATTAAGACATTATATCGAAAGCAATCAGATCAGAGTTGAATCGCATGACTTTTGGACATCAGATAGCTACTTTTGGGAAATCCCAAGAACCGAAGACTTGTATAAAAATTTATTAAACTCAGACCTAGTCATCTTCAAAGGTGATTTAAATTACAGAAAGTTGACCGGTGATTTGCAATGGCCTAAAACTACTCCCTTCTCAACGGCAATCATGGATTTGGCAGATTCTAAGCTTCCCATATTATCACTACGCACTTGTAAAGCAGATGTTGTAGTGGGGTTGCCGGAAGGACTAAACGAAGAGTTGATTGAGAAATATAAATCGATGGGGAATGAAGTTGGCGAGTTTTGGAGCTCTTCAGGTAAATGGGCTGTTATATCATTCTGTAAAGGTTCATAGATGTTAAGACAGCCCTGTGCACTAAAAATCTTACAGCACTAGAGGTGGTAGGCCCCATTACATATTTGTCCAAATATTACGGTATCACAGACCTGATCGAGTCAGACCCAGACCTCAGATTCAGGTATAAGGTATAGACGGTTTAGCTTATAGAAAAGAACCCAAAATTGATTGTGATACTGCGTAATTCGTTATTTAACTACGCCTTTTCATCTCATTTCTTCTGTTGAACCAGTCAGAGCTTCCTATTCATATCTATTCTACTTTTATATCTTGGGCCTCCCAATATGTTTCAATCTGTCCCACCTTTCTTTCCTCTCTTCTCTACTATTATCTGATGGGGGCAAAATCAAAGCCGCGGTTAAATATTCAGATAATACAATCTACTAACGTTATCTGTTGTTATTTATTAGTTTGACAGCCTTTTTGAGGTTCCCCAATTCCTGTAAAGATATCCTCATCATATCTCATGGGTTTGTATTCTCCTAGAAATGACGAGGCCATTCTTCTACAAATATTGAAGTATTCTACCGCCAATTGATATCTCCAATCGGTCGCCTCTTACAGAAGATCGTTAATACACCTGTGTATTCCCTAACTTTTCAGAGGCAAGTTAAACTGCCATCAGTTTATTAATCCAGTCGTTTGTCTTAGGAACACTACAGTTATTGTGGGTGTTGTACAATAGCAACAACATATAGGTGAAAAAGCTATCATCCCTAATCAACGTAGTTATGACTCTATTTCTTTCGTTTAATACATGGACAGAATTGTATTTTAGACTCTTTCCATTTTGTTTACCTAGAAGAAAAATATTCTTTGATTACTCAAATGATAATGTTGCGCAACATAATTTTTACGTTTAGAGAACAGATATATTTAGCGATGGCAATAATAGAAGATCAAGATAGGAAAAATCTTACGTTATCTCAGCGCTTTAGGCTAGCTATAAATGATTTCTATCATGACTTTAAGGCAGACATTAGACCCAGTGAGAGGCAAGATTCAATAAAATTTCAATCTAAACTTTTGCATTTGATAAAAGAGTTTCAATTGATTAAACTAATCAGTGAAAATTTGCATCTTTTTAGTGATAATGAATCTATTGATGAAATAAGCACCAGTTATATTCAATTTCTAAATGTTGATTTTTACTTGGGATCACTCTACCTTTTATCTTTATCTGATCCTAAATCAGGGTCTTTGGAAGACCCTATAGATATTCTCGAATATAAGGAGGCAAACCTAAATATGGCGAAGAGGTATTTTGTGAATTTTTTGGTGCTTTTGGATGGATATGAGATATTATCCAAGCAACAATCCGCAAGAATCAAATCATTTAAAGAAACTTACAATCCAACATTTGATGAGATATTACTTTTTGATAATAATCCAGCCAGAAAAAGAGCTCAAAAGATTGCAAATCATAGGGAGGAGAAGGAACTCGGTTCTAAGGTTAAAATGCTAGACAAATACTACGACCAGGGAGAGGACGATGCTAACGATTCTTTTGAACGCTTTGATAGAGAGACCATTCGAGAAGTATTTCTTGACCAGGTCAAGCTTTTTAGTATGAAGGCATTTGAGTGCCTTGAAAACTTAGTAATGGAACTTGACGTTCTTTCAAGAAGACCAAACAACCATACGCCTTCTGAGAATAATAAACTTAAGGGAGAGAAACCGACAGACAGAGATGACTCAGGATACACAACGAGGTTGGAATCGTTGCCTTTTCAGAAAAAAGGTATTTCAGATCTTATTTCTAAGCAAGGAAAAATACTCAAACCTTTTACAATCACCCTGGATAGGCAGCAGTTGAAGGACAAGGTGTTCGGTACAGGTCAGATACTACCATCCATGACTGTTGACGAGTACTTAGATTATGAATTGGCTAATGGTAAAATGGCGTCAGAGCCAATCGAGAGTAAAATCAATGAAGAAAGTGACTACGAAGATAGCGAGGAAGAACGGGAGCAAAGAAGATGGGATGATTGGAAAGACGACAATCCCAAGGGAAGTGGTAATATGAAGGCAAATATTGGTTAAAAATTTATCCAGTAATATTAACAGTCAATTGTTTATTAAATATACTTACTTACTTTCAAAATTCTTTGGTGTCAGCAAACAGTTAAGAATCACCTGCTTTTCTTGAGTTACAAGCGACTATCTTGAATTTATCAATACTAATTTCATTATCCCCTAAAGTATCACCTCCTGAATTTGTAGCATCAGATAATTTTATAGATGCATTTTTTATACTAAACGTCCACACGTCATCACAAAAACCATATGTGTGTAAATCTCCCTTAAATGTTAACTTCGACTTTGCGATTCCCAGGTCAGACTTTAATAATTCAGATATAATTCTGTCAAAGTTATTTAAAATACGCATCGCCAATTGAGGTTGGATTTTCTCATCCAGAATAAGTGTGTCTAATGCGTCGGTTAACGTAGAACCAATGGTTGAACGCCGATAAAGCTCATAATAAGCGGGTGCACTCATTCTATTACGAGGAAAGCTATTCTACAACTATCATATATTTGAAAAGCGTGATTAGTATTACTTTATTTCATTTTATAGTACGGCATATAGTACATATACAGGCCCTTATATTTTCTATGGAAAAAGAACGCTGATAAGTTGAACCAGCCAATTTTACGAGACTATTCTAAAATACCACCGTATTTTATGTCTTTTAGGTCAGTCAAAGTTTAATGAAATTGCAACCGCCTATTATTCCAAACTACCATTTAACTCAAGTTCCAACTCTTTGAGCCACTCAAAATACTCAGTGCTTAGATCATCTAACTTCATTATTGAGAGTGATTCAGAATCGATAGATTTTATAAGCCACTTATCCTCATCATTTTCGAAGCTCTTTAGACAATTCAAAATGACAAGGTACAATTCTAAAATCTTTAATTTATATTCTTTAATATCTTCAACTGTAGTTGTGGTGTTTGTCAAGAGGTTAGATTTTTCAAACTTGAACCTAGTGATAAACATGTACAATGCTTCGACAGCTCCTCTCTTGTCGGCCAAATGCTCTGAATCCATCTGAATTGAACATCCAAAAAGCCTCCAAGAATAAAGGAACTCATAACAACGTAGCGAATTCGACAATGTTAACTCACCATTTGCTAATTCAAGCAAAATGGAGTCGATTAGCAGATAGTGCTTCTGATAGAGGAAGCGCTTATCTTTATGAAACAATTCAGAAATTGCATGATTGGATATTAAATGGCTAATGAATTTGGTGAACAATTTGAAATAATCGTAGTTACCCTTAAACTTTGAAATATCTAGGTTGTATAAAGCATCGTAAACCATTTTGTAGTTAGACAAATTTAATGACATGTCCAAGATATTCAAATAATATTGGTCCACCATTTTCTCTACTCTTTCATCAAAATTTTTGGTCAGTCTCAAGCTTTTTATTGCTTTTTCTTCAAATTTGAGTGCACGAAGAATAAAGTCTTTTTCAATGGACTGTGTGTCTTCTTCTGGGCTGATGAAATCAGTAAGGGAATTCGAATGCACTCTATTGTATTTCACCTGAGATCTACATAAAGTAGACAATGCATGAAAATAATTTGCCTTCTTTAGAGACTCATCTATCTCGTCAGCAAGAAAGGTATCCAAAAACTCCTTTATTCTATTATCCGAATCAAGGAGATCAGATACTCTGTCTCGAATGATACGATTATTCATATCAAAGGCCTCGTATTCATCAAAAATTTCAAAGAATTTTGCAGGCTCATTATTGATCAAGTAAACTAGACCTATCAAGAATCTTTCAATCGTTTCGTTTTGGTGTAACCTAGCAAAAAACTTTTCCTGAATAAGCTTTCCTTCGCCATGTTTGATTAAGTCAAGACTCACATCCACCACAAATTTATCTCCTTTCGAAATTATCGAGCTATTAAAATAATCATAAGCCTCATTTATTTTAAGATCGCTTATGAGTCGTTTAAGTTCTTCGTTCTTGTCCACTATTCCAGTCCAGAACAAAGAGTTTTCAAGCTTGTTGCAAGGAGGCTGCTTAGAGTAAGAAGGAGCAAAGCCTGTATCAAATATCGATTCAATCAATCCAAATGATGAAATTTTTTCGATGATTTGATTACTTAATGACAAAATTTGATCACTTGGCTCACATATTAAGATCAAAATGAAAAGGCCCAACAAAATGAATTGATGTTGATGCTTTATATTTTTGAAAGATGTGATTGTACAAAGCTTCGTGAAAATTTCCAAGTCATCTTCATGGCTACTGAATGGACCTAGACCAGTTTCTTTTAGAGGACGATTGATAAGCAAGCTCATAATATCCATCGCGTTAGGTATTGTTTCCATTTCGTTCATGATAGCCTTTACTTCTTCATCTGTGATTTTTTTGTAGAGATAAGTATCATATAATTCAGCACTGCTTTCGACCGTTAACTTTTGAATTCCCTTAATGCTCTGCAAAATTTTGTAATAAGTCTTAGTAGACAATATTAATGACAAGCGATTTAATATTTTTGCCAATTTATCTTTAGAATTTTCGACTCGAAGATATTCTTCATAATAGTGAGATTTTCGGAATATTCCAATTCCATTTGCATGTAAACTTACTAAGAATTTGCTATCAACGTCAACAAAAGATAAAGATTCATCACTTAGTTTCTTGAATTCTTCACATAGGGAAAACAATCTAAACCAACAAGATCTCAGGTCAAGCAGGTTTTCTTTCGATATGGCATTTATGGTTTCTATTACCAGATTTCGAATTGACTCTCCTCTAACTGAGGGGCTCAAGGTTGCATGCTCTCTAAAAATGTTTAATGAGGTAATAACGACCATATCATCGTATCTTCCAGAACTCAAGATCATGTCACGGTAGTATTCTATTTCATGGTAAGGAGCTATTTCAGCGAGACTACCACTCAGGTTCAACTCAGACCACATCACTGAAGTTATACTACCGCTAGGAAAGACAACATCATATGTAGAAACAACTGATGAGATGTTGGACTTCCATAATATATGAAATTTAATTCTATCTTCTTCAAACTTCACTAGATAGTCCTGAATGAGCCATATAGAATGTTGATTTTGATCTTCTTGTTCGTTATATGTTGGCAACTTAGGGCGAATAGGCAGAAAATTCAAGCTCTGAATTTCCACGGCTTCAAAATGATGCGAGTGAAAGTTTATTTCCCAGATTTTGAAAGTGAAACCGCTTCTTGAATTATTCTTTTCATTCATGACTGACCCAGCTATTGGCAAAGCTAAATATTTCTTTCCCGTGTTTCTATTTTGAAACACATTTAGATACTTGGTTGGAACAGTTGTAGGTATGGCTTGACTTGAATTAAGCTTGCTCAAGTCAATTGACTTGCATATTTGTTCATGAGTTTTGATGTTCCAAAATCGTAATATCTTTGAAACAGAGTAGGTAACAATAAAACTAGAATCTAATGCAATTAAGTCAATAACGGCATCCGAAGAAATGCCACCTATCAAAGACTCCAGATTTGTTTCTCCTTTCTTGAGGATTCCACCAAAGATATTTAAATTGAATAATGACGAGGCATCAGTGAAATTATATACATCAAAATCCTTTAATAGGTCGGTCCTTTGAAAATGGAGCAATCCACCATCCTTTAACGAAACAATAATATTGTAGGGATCAATTGCTTTTGATAAAAAAGGAGAAGATCTCAATTCGAATGAATAAGGCACCGATATATTTCCCCAAGACTTGAAATTATCAACGGAAAGTCTATTATGCTCTTGAGAAACAATAAAATCGGACAATTGAATTTTTAACGAAATAAACAAGAAGTTTTCGTCTATCAAATCAACAATAAAGAATGGATCATCATCATTTGATTCATGAACAGGAGCACTATATATAATGCTGAAGCAATCCTTTGCGATTATTTCATGAGGTAATGAAATCTGTAAGCTCCTAAAGACAAGTCCTAGTTCATTTGTCTGCAAATTTATGGGAGTCAATATTATTGTCTTCATATCACTTAGGATCTCATATGAGACAAATTGAATATAACTGTCAAACTTATCTTTCAATTTAATGAGAGAACCAGACGCAGTCAAACTTTCAGAGAACGCATCGGCAGCTGATTTATTTTCGAGAACTCTTGGATATTTAAGCGGCAATGTGACATTTTGTATAGGTAAGTGTCGTCTGAATCCTGTTATAATAGAACAGGAATAGCCGCTACTCATTTCGTGACTCTTTTTTCTTTGAAATTAAGTTACTAAATCAACTTGTTATTATAAAGATCTTTTGTCTACGAACTTACTGTATTTCGCGGTTTTGTGCAACTTACATCTCCAAAATATTGATAGTCAGGAAAAGCATATTTAACTCAAAGAATAGCACACAAGAAAATATAAACCGAATGGCATGTCTTCAACGATCTTTTATAAGTTTTTATCACAAAAGGATCAATCTACAGTCCACTTTGATGGGACAGGGATAAGTGTTTTTGACTTGAAGCATGAGATAATAGTACAAAATCAGTTGGGACAAGGAAATGATTTTATGTTAAGATTGTATCACCTGGAACAACCAGACTTGGAATACGAGAATGATCAGGATGTTATACCAAGATCAAGTTTCGTACTCGCTAGAAGATCACCAAGCTCACATAAAAATGGTAAGTTTAATAATGCGTCGAGATATGTTAGCGGTAAACCAAGAATAAATAGGAAGGCAATCAGTACAACCACAACCAATAGCGTGGGCACTGTGACTGAGCCCAAGACAGCAGACGAAAATATGACAGAAGAGGACCGTATCAAAATGATGTTTGAAAACCAATCCAATGCCTGGGCACAGACGCAAGATGAGTTGTCCACACATAAGGCAATATATAATAAGCCCAACAGTGGCTCTAATCCAGAAGATCTTCCCCCTCCTGGGTACATTTGCTACAGATGTGGTGCAAAAGATCATTGGATTCGAAATTGCCCTACAAATACAGATCCTAATTTTGAAGGTAAGAAGATTAAAAGGACAACGGGTATACCTAGGTCATATTTAAAGACAATATCCAAAGAGGCAGTTGAAAATCAAACTGATGGAGCAGATAATGGGATTACAACGAATGATAATGGCGAATTAGTCGATCAGCAAGGAAATACTTACATGATCACCGATACAGGAGAATATGTGATCGCTATGGCCGACAGCAAAACTTGGAACACATATCAAGAGAAACAACAGAACGCAGCAATGAAAGCTAAGCAAGAATTTGAACAACAAATTTTAAACTGTATAGAAAAAGATGGAAGAAACGAGTTTTTAGATCCCTTGTCGACGACTAAAAAACTTTTAGTTCCTCCAATAGTGATGACACCATGTTGCCAAGATAAGTCGAAACTAAAAAAACTAAAGAATTACAACTATTCTCAACCACGTATTGAACAATTATTGATTGAAAATGATTTTCATTGTCCCAACTGTGGAACTGAAGACGTATTTATAGATTCTCTTATTAGGAATGAGGATTTAGAAAATGAGTTGGAGACATATATTAAGGAAAAGCAAGAAGAAATAGGTATCGAAAATCCGGCCACTTCTTTGAAGCATCAGTTAGACTCTGGTGATGGCCCTGATTTAAAGAGACAAAGAATAGATTTACCTTCAAAACCAAATATGTTTGTTCCACCTCCAATGCCTTTTGGAATGCCAGTTCCTCCAGTTCCAATGGGAATGTTCATGCCTCCACCACCACCGCCATTCAATGTTAATAATGAAAGTGTGAACAGTAATGCTGGTCAAAGTAAATAGCCATTTAACAATAATATTAGAGCATAAATCAACTCTACAGTATTCTTATAGATGAGTATTTTACCCGGCATGAAAAAAAGGACGGTATATAAAGGCTCGAAAAATTTTCCTGCCTTATATTTTGTCGAACTCTTAATAAAAAATGGTAATTCAATAATCTTTATGACATATAGATTGATTTACTAGATACTAGATACTAGGTATGTTTTTATGATTCACATTCTCTTATTGGCAGACAAAATTAATGATGATCCAAATACACAAATCAAACTAGAGTTTGTGACTATTTAGAATGATCGCAAAGTAAATTCTGAACTACGTGCTTGATTCCATGAGAGATTTTCGATTGAACTGAATTAGACTTACTAACAAGCTTAGATTTTATAATGAATTTGATGAAATACATGTGCTTAATATGACTGATTTGTATAGGTGACAAGTAAGTGAATCTCCTATGAAAAGAAATCGATTAAAAAAGGCTCTTTTAAGAATTAATGATGATTTAACAAAACAAAGCTGGAATTACTGGCTGAATCGTATGATTGATAAAAGTTTTGCACCATACGCTACTGATATTCTTGACCTTTTTTCTTTTTCGATATATCTTTTGAGTCTTGATACTAACAAAAGCAGGTAAGTTTTTAATTACTTCGTAGTTGATTGAGTTTTAATGAGGAATTATTGCACTGGGCGCTGAAACATATGAATGACCATGCATTATTGTGGGCCTCAGAAACCCACTTAAACTGAAGTTATACTTTGTCATACAAAACGAATTGGCTCTCACCATCTTATGTATACTAACATGAGCAGAGAAATTAATTTGTTGCATTTTTCCTATGAACGACGCCAAAAGGTATGTAAAAGTTCCTGAAATTTCAATTAGACTAGATGAAAGATGATCCTATAGATGACGAGTCAGACTTCAGGATTCTCCTGCTGATGACAACCTTTACAAATTACCATTCATGCATTACTGATTTCTTTTCGGTTGAAAATCTTGGTTATTTTGAATCAAAATACTAACAACGACTAGATTTTTTATAAGCTTTCTCTAAATATTTCATTGGACCCACTCAACTCTACAAAGCTAAAAGATGAGAATGGAAAAAAATAGACAAGCATATGTCTGACTTCTGAAGAGAATTTTTCATGTCTGATACTTGTTCTGTTGTTTGACTAATGATAAATATTTATAATTTTTTTTTCTAAGATCTACGGCGGCGTTTTAAAATGAGTTTCTAACTTCAATTAGAATTAGTTTATGATGATTCACCACAATTTCACGACGGTCTACTGTGTTTTGGAATTTGTAATTCCTTTACCTTGATGATATAAATGGCCTTGACCGGCCGTGGTTCCTGATAACTATTATTTTAATTGCTCTTAGAAGCTCATTTTGAAAATAGGCATCTCTTTTTTAGTTCACTTGTATAATGTTTTTAATAAATTCTTTAATACTATGCTCTTCGTACCAATAAGGAAAGAGGATCGATATCAGGATTTTATCGCGATATATTATAAGATTTCAGATTTCCAATTAAATTTAATACTATCGTATTATATTCTTGGAATGCGATTTCAACTTAGAAGGCTGCATGCTGAATCTGAAAGTGGCCGTTCAAAGAATATAAAAGATAGTCCATCTAATGACCCTCCTTCCTACTCAGTTTCGACGTCTTCGCTTTCGTCAATCAATTCAAGATCTTTTACAGACCTTGCTCCGCTGTCCAGTACAGACAGTAGCAGATTGACTCCTCTGAGGAGTGGTACAGACTCAAGAAGACCGAATACGGCTCCTTATAGACCATCGAGGGAACAACAGAAGCAAATAGATTTGCTCACCAAGTCGAACCCCCAATTACCGTTATCAGCTACGACATCTAGTGCACACACTGATTACTTTGATGTGTTGCCGTCATTTCAAATGTTTCAGTCTATATTGAAGCGAGATGATAACCAATTTGAAGAAAACTTATCCATTAATCCACCTGAATATGGTGATACAATGAACTCATCTCCTACACCACCTAGTGCATTGTCTCCAGTTAGCTCACAAAGAAACCATTATAACTTGGATACAGTTGTTGATCAGGTAACTAATAGGTTAAACGAATTTCAGTTGCAACGAGAGCAAGGACAGGAGGAGGAAGAGGCTGAGGGGTTTCTCATAGAGGACAATGATTCTGATAATGATAATGCATCGAATTTTGTTAGATCACACGAGCTATATGGTCATACGGTGTTAGATAACATTGATCGTCTACCAAGGTTAAGGTCATCGCCTCTAGATATTCAAATATATGTTACAAAAGGAGTTCCTAGACCACATATGGCGTGCGAAATGGAAACAAGGCTAAAAGAATACACCAGCGGTGATGCTGTTAATGGTTATATTATCATCACCAATAATTCGGATGAGCCAGTAGACTTTGGCTTATTCATGGTGAGCTTGGAGGGTACTATCAAGATTACGGAACGAAAACTAGGTACACATGATGCTGCTAAGCCTTATAGTCGTATATTAATTAAGAAGTTTCTAAAGATGTACGATTTGAGTGCCTCTTATGGTTATACGGACGTGCCTAATAGCGCCGGAATTGAATATGAAGCATTTACAATAGACGAATATGATGGATGCCAAATTGGTCTACCAGATGAAAGGGTTTTAGAACCCAGAAAAAAATACAAGAAATTTTTTACCTTTAAATTTCCAGACAGATTATTAGATTATTCTTGTGCTGATGATGTTTTACTTCACATATTACCACCGCCCTCTATGGGTATTGACAAGCAAGCATTTTATAATGGGGCAAAATCTCTACAAATCGATAAATCCCTAGGTTATGCCACATTGAATGTTCGTGGTACCCCAATCTTAACAAAGGATTACAGCTTTGACGACGTGAGCATCAATTATACAATTGATGCCAAATTTATTGATAAGTTACATACAGAAAATCAGAAGACACCTCTATCGGAGTCAGATATCAACGATCCTAACTCTGATTCCGAGTATGCAATTTCAAGGAGTAGACAATATTTTGTGAGATTCATTCCCGATTTAGAGAAGCAGCTTGCATTTTATGACAAAGTATTGTCTTATAATGGATTTGATTCTTACGGCACCCTTGGTATTGATGGAAGTTTGTTTCAAAAGTATAATACAATGTCTACGTGGGCTTCAATAAACGAGTTAAAAGCTCAAATCGAAAAGGAAATTGACTCGACTTTGATTCATAAAGACTTAAGCAGCGAAGAAATAAAAAACCGTAACCTCGTTATTAGTATACCATCTGAGGAAAATAGGGGTACCAAAACAGATCCAAAAGAAGAAAGACTAAAATTATCCCTGAAGGTTAGCTATGACTCCTTTTATGCATCGGAGCGAATGATTGGGAATAAAATTCCAGTCGACATTTATGCTAAAAAGAATGTCTTGTCCCCCTCTATCAAGATCGGTGACATGAAGCTTTTTGTTAAAGTTCCAACTAATCCTCTTCCTTATACATCACCGAGCTTGATTCAGAAGTTCAATAATGGTAGCATCAGCTCCTCCTCAACACCTGCAGGTGGTGGAAGTTTTTCTAATATTAACGAGTTGTACAATAAGAATGATAAGGACCTAATCACGTCAGTTGAAATTTCGCTCCATTTTCTATCTAGCGACTTTTCAGTACGCCCTCATGATATCAGTAGTATTGCAATCAATGTGGTACTTTGGTCATATCAGACAACTTTTCCGTTACCACTTGAACTAGACTACGACTTCTTTTACGCCAAGCATGATACAGCCGAAAGGTTGAATGACAATGTGTCAATAACTAGAGATAATTTGCAATCTTTGAAAGAAACCGCAAATAAATACATTACTTACTTGAAGGCCAATAAAATTCACATTTCAAAAAGATCATACCATTACTTGAAATCCATGAAATCACTAGGTATTAAAAAAGATACAGTGAAGGATTATTTCAAAGCCATATACCCATCAGACTTGGCATCTTTAAAGTCAGCGTGGAGTGGATCGCAAAGCTCTGAGGGTGTTCTTTGGAAGAAAAAACTTACATTACCGTTGACAACCATTAATAGAAGCAACAACACAATAGCGCCTTCTTTTCAGACTTGTCTCGTAGGACGGTTATATTGTCTAGAAGTTTCGGTGAAATTTAAAGGATCTGGTACAGATCAAAGAGAAAACTACAACACCGTCACAGTTGACGTTCCCATATTAGCAGGTTAAGTAGAGATATTTATTATGGTAGATAGATAATCGAAGGATTTATTCGAGAACCCAATTAGGCAATCACTGAAAATTTTTTAGCTAACCGCGATCCGTAATCAGTCATAATTTGAGAATAAATTTTCAACAATGTCTCATCTGTCATTTTGAAGTTTATCCTTGAAAGAACAAAAGTAAAGAATTTAAGCTATAGTTAATTCTCTCATGTCTGCCATGATTTCAAAAATTTTTGGTAAGCGATTCTTAGCGACAGCTTCCAGTTTCGTCAACAAAACTTCTCAATTGGATAGGGCAACGTTGACGATCAAAAACGGTCCCATCTTTAATGGGTATTCCTTTGGAGCTAACAAGAATGTCAGTGGAGAAGCTGTGTTCACTACTTCTCTAGTTGGATACCCAGAATCGATGACAGATCCATCTTACAAGGGCCAGATCTTATGTTTTACTCAACCTTTAATCGGAAATTATGGAGTGCCATCGTCGTCTAAGAAAGACGAATTTGATTTGTTAAAGTACATGGAGAGTCCACATATTCAATGCATTGGAATCGTAGTGGCCGATGTTGCTTTGGAATACTCTCATTGGACTGCCGTTGAATCTTTACAACAATGGTGTAAGAGATCTGGTGTCGCAGCTATTACTGGTGTTGATACAAGACAGTTAGTTTCGTACCTTAGAGACAAGGGTTCCTCCTTGGCAAAGATCACCATTGGTGAAGAATATGATGCAGATGAAGACGCCGCTTTTGAAGATCCTGGATCTATAAACTTAGTCCACAAGGTGACTACAAAGGCGCCATTCCATGTTGCTTGTCCCCCCCAGTACTCCAAGAATATTCATATTGCGGTCCTAGATTGCGGTGCGAAAGAAAATATTTTACGTTGTTTGGTACAGAGAGGAGCATCTTTGACAGTATTTCCTTATAACTACCCCATCCATAAAGTTGCTAACAAATTTGATGGTGTCTTCATTTCTAATGGACCTGGAGATCCAACGCATTGTTCTAGTACTATAGAGAATTTAAAAGAAACAATGAATAGACACCATGATTTGCCTATATTTGGAATTTGTCTCGGTCATCAATTGCTTGCGTTGGCTGGAGGCGCTAAGACAGTTAAATTAAAATACGGAAATAGAGCTCACAATATCCCTGCATTGGATTTAAGTACTGGAAGCTGCCATATAACATCACAGAATCATGGTTATGCAGTAGATGTTACTACTTTAACCGATGACTGGGAGCCGTATTTTACGAACTTAAACGACCTAAGCAACGAAGGTATGAAACACAAGACTAGACCAATTTTTTCAACTCAGTTTCATCCAGAAGCAAAGGGTGGCCCTCTTGACACAGCATTTTTATTCGATAAGTTCTTTGATCACATCGCTGAATACAAGGGAGTGAGCGGTAACGGCATAACTAATATTGATAACAGTCTATTAGTAGATATTTTGCCAAAGGAAAGGGTTATTTAAAGTGAACAAGGTTATTGTTTCTAATATGAGCAGAGTTAATTCTGAAGGTAGCTATTTCAATGAACGCCAATTGTTAATGACCGAAGTAGAAGAGTAGTATAGACTAAACGCATTAAGCATTGAGCATTGACATTGGTGAGCGCTTTTAGACTGGCTTAGGGCTTCGAGCCATAGGCACGTGCAAATCAGTATACCTTTTCAATAGAAAATTTTTTTTGTGTCATTTTTGTGTAGGTTCTCACAGATGGAGACTCTCTAAAATTTACAGGTCAAGCAGACTCATCTGAAAAACCTGTGGAAAATCTTGTTTAAGAAGCTAATAGATTTGGAACTATAATAGTAAAGGTATGTCATATTTTCATTGAGTAAGAGTAATAGCAAAAGGAAGTAGCAATGTGATAGAAGAGCGATCGAGGTTTTAAAAATGCAAAATGAACTATGAAAAATTTCAAGGATGAGTTGCTTGAAGATTGTCAGGCTAATAAATTTTGTGAGTTAAGGGTTGTAAAGAAGAGCCCTAAGGATTCATGCTTAGGAAGGTATAATTTGAAATGAAACATATATGAAGACAGGATCTCGAAGAATCAATATTTATGAATATAATATGAACTACTACTTTTGCATGGCTCTTGCATTATGCCTTAAGTGAAAGTGAAATAGTACTAACCTTTATAGAATGTCTAGATTAAACGAATACCAAGTTATCGGTCGTCGTCTCCCTACTGAGTCAGTTCCGGAGCCTAAGTTGTACCGTATGAGAATTTTTGCTTCCAACACTGTTGTTGCTAAGTCTCGTTACTGGTACTTCTTGCAAAAGTTGCACAAGGTTAAGAAGGCTTCTGGTGAAATTGTTTCAGTTAACATTATTTCTGAACCTCACCCAACTAAGGTCAAGACCTTCGGTATCTGGTTAAGATACGAATCAAGATCAGGAGTTCACAACATGTACAAGGAATACAGAGATGTTACCAGAGTCGGTGCTGTCGAAGGAATGTACCAAGACTTGGCTGCCAGACACAGAGCTAGATTTAGAAATATTCATATCTTGAAAGTCGTTGAGTTGGAAAAGACTGATGACGTGAAGAGACAATACGTCAAGCAATACTTGTCTAAGGACTTGAAATTTCCATTGCCTCACAGAGTCCAAAAATCAAAGAAGTTATTCCAAGAAGATGCTCCAAGTACTTTCTACTAATTGTTTTCGCATATAGTTCGGTTATGCCTATCAACCTGGTTGTACTTCTAAATGAAAGTGATTGAAACTTCGGAATAATTTACTCTACTTACACTATAAAATATATATAAATATATTTGATTCATTAAAACTCATGTAGTAGTGGCTCTTATCAATGTCTGTATTTAGTATGTGAATTCGCGCTCGGATCCCGAGACCCGTAAAATGGTTCAACAAGAACCTAAGGCTGGAGCCGACAATTGAACAAACTATAAAGCAAGCTCCTTGTCCCTGACTGAAGCTTTGGTTGTTAATTTTTACAAAAAGAGATTCTATTCTGTTGCATTGAAAATTGAATATGTCTTACGGAGCAAAAGCGGCTGAAAGATTAGCTAACAAGATCATTCTTATCACTGGAGCTTCTGCAGGAATTGGTGAAGCAACTGCTAAAGAGTTTGCTTCAGCAGGAAAAGGTAATATCAAATTGATCTTGACTGCTAGAAGAAAGGATAAGTTAGAGAATCTTGCTAAAAGCTTGAAGGAAGAGTACCCTCAAATTAAGGTCTTACCGTGTGAACTTGATGTCTCTAAGGTTGACACGATCCAGAAGTTTGTCGATGATTTACCAAGCGAATTTGCGGATGTGGATGTCTTGATAAACAATGCTGGAAAAGCACTAGGACGTGATCCTATTGGAACCATTTTGACCGAAGATATTAAAGAAATGTTTCAGACAAACGTGCTTGGTTTAATCACACTTACTCAGGCTATTTTGCCAATATTCAAGAAAAAAGACTCTGGTGATATTGTTAACATGGGCTCAATCGCCGGAAGAGACCCCTACCCAGGTGGAGGTATTTACTGTCCAACGAAAGCCAGCGTCAAGTCTTTTTCGAGTGTCTTAAGAAAGGAATTGATAAACACCAAGATTAGAGTGATGGAAGTCGATCCTGGTAACGTCGAGACTGAATTTTCTAATATCAGGTTCAAGGGAGATTTAGAAAAAGCCAAGGCTGTGTATGCTGATACTGTGCCGTTAGTAGCTGAAGATGTGGCTGAAGTTATTGTCTTTGGAGTTACAAGAAAACAGAACACTGTGATTGCAGAAACCCTAGTATTCTCTACCAATCAAGCCAGTTCGGTACATCTCTACAGAGGTTCCGTTTAACTTATTTTTTGTAGGTAGTATATATATATTGACAAGTAGAATCTCAAATAAATGTGGTTTCATTCACGATTAACATAGTGAGCACTACCAGTTCGCATTTATTCAGCAAGTAAACCTGGCCCTTACCTACTTTCTGACCACATCTATCAATTAAATAAAATTAAGGAGAAATAAAGAGCCATGTCATTCGGAGCCAAAGCATCTCAAAGGTTGGCTAATAAGACGATTTTGATAACAGGTGCATCATCTGGAATTGGAGAAGCAACTGCCAAAGAGTTCGCAGCAGCATCCAATGGTCAGATTAAATTGATCTTAACTGCTAGAAGAGAAGAAAAATTACAAAAGTTATCTTCCTTGTTATGTCATCAATATCCGAGTATAAAGATCCATCCTTCAAAGCTTGATGTCTCTGTTAGTAACACAATTGCCCCGTTTATAAACCTGCTTCCGACAGAATTCGCAGATATTGATGTCTTGATTAATAATGCTGGTAAAGCTCTAGGCAAAGCTCTGGTTGGAAGCATTAAAGACGAGGAAATTAATGGTATGTTTGACACCAATGTTCTTGGGCTCATTCATATGACTCAGGCTGTAATGCCGATCTTCAAGAAGAAAAATAGGGGCGATATTGTGAACATAGGTTCTATTGCTGGCCGGGAACCGTACCCTGGTGGAGCAATTTATTGTGCTACGAAGGCTAGTGTTCGATACTTTTCTCTGGCATTGAGGAAAGAGACCATCAACACTGGAATTAGAGTCTTAGAAATCGATCCTGGTGCAGTAGAAACGGAATTTTCTTTAGTCAGATTTGGCGGAGATGCAGAGAAAGCAAAGGAAGTGTACAGTGGTACAGAGCCCTTGACTGGCGAAGACATCGCTGAGATAATTGTCTTTGGGGTTAGCAGAAGGGCTAATACGGTGATTGCAGAGACTTTGGTTTTTCCTACTCATCAGGCTGGCGCTAGCCATGTTTATAAAAAACCCTCCAATTAGTTAGTATTTTGAATATATATTTTAAAAACTAAGTTGCTCCAATGTCTTGCTTAACTTTGCTGCGCCATCTATTGCTGAATTATTATTAATGCCTACCTTTGGCCTATTAAGTTCAAGTCCTGACAATAAGGAGCACGCCTTACATATTCTATTTGATGACAAGTATCCACATTTTTCACATTTGTTTCCATCTTTAAACTCTTTCCGATCAATAGTGACAGAACCATCCGCATTTATCTCATGCTCTTTATAGTTGTTTGATATTTTTCCCCTGTTCTTATATTGCCTAGTTATCTTCTTCTTCCTTGGAGCTAAAACTAAATGTTCACCACTGTAGATGATATCCATAATACAAGAAGGACGAATCGATTCCAAAGACTTTAAGAGTTCTCTGGCCGTACCTCTAAAAGCTTCAGGTGCATAACTGCACTCGGTTGAAAAGTAATCCAATTTCTTGTAATGAGCATACAACACAATCTCCTTCTGATATGCATATTTAAATGGTTTAGAACGCTTTATTGGAGAACCCGGAGATTGAGTTAAAATAGAACATGATTTATCTAATCTGGCAGTATCACCTCTCAACAAGTTCATTAAAACAGTCTCAGCCATATCATCTGCATTATGACCTGTTACCACATGGCTTATGCCTAGTTTCGCAGCACCCCTATCTAGAGCTTGTCTTCTTAAAACACCACAATATGTACAAGACGATCTGATTCCAGCACAGGAGACGATCTCATCCATCGACCAGTCGTAGAGATCTTTATAGGATATTATTTCTAGCGGCATCTCATATTGCTTCTGATTTCTCTTAACTGTTGCCAAAGAGTCATCCCTATACCCTTTTATACCCTCATCAATTGACAAAAGCACTAATTGCAACCGATAATTATAACGCTCATTAAGTGTTTTTAAAACTGATGCTAAAACAGTAGAATCCTTACCACCGGAGGCTCCAATAGCAACCTTTTCTCCTTGTTGAAATAACTTAGCATTTACGATTGTGTTGTGGATTTCTGTTTCAAATACCTTGAAAAAGCACTCTTTACAGAGCTTCTGCAAGTTCTTAGGCCTTTTCATAACTGCCTTGCGACCATGACAAAGTTCACATAAAGCTGTTATCTTAACAGGCTTATTACCCCTGCTGATATCTCGATCTTCTACCATTATATTAATACTGTATTTTCATCAGACACTAAGACCTTTGAAGAGCAGAGCAGAAAATTTTAAAAGAAAAAAAGTCAAAAAAAAAAAAGTTCTTATCATATTTATCGAATGTGATGTTACACGAGCCAGAACGTAAGAAGCTTTCATTAAGCCTATAAACATATCGATTGCATTATATAATTATTGCTTCATATACATTTTGAAAAATCTAGTTGACCATGTATTGAAGAGTTATAGCATGCGATAAAATAGTATTTTACATATGCTAGTAGAGAATTAATTCTCGATCAAAATCAAACCATAGCTTGAAATTCATCATTGTTGGTGTTAACATTAGCACATCTAAACTTATTGTTCTCTTCTTGAATAAATTCCTTTTGTTCTTTCTGTTGTTGCTGCTGCTGTTGTTGCTGTTGGGGCTGCTTCCTTCCATGACCGTTAGAAGCAGTCTTTTCATTCTTCTCAGCCAACAAACCCACCTTTTCATTCATCACTATCGCCAATTCTTGCAATCTCGACCTTTGTGGGCCAGTAGAAATGAAATTAAGATATTTATCATCATCCAAAGTACCGTTAACTTCGTTTGAATCAATCATACGTTGCAACACGGAAACGACTTTTTCGGAATCAAGACTAAAGATTTGAGATAACTTGGAAACAGATAATTTAGAATAAACCAGCCTGTATGTGAAAATGTAAGTTCTCAAGCCCTCAACCTGCAACTGGTTTTTCATCATTTCTAACAACTGATCATGGTTTGGGAATAATTTCCAGATTTTGATAGATGCCAAAAGATCATAAGCCTTCAACCAATCACCCTTTTGTAAAGCTCTAGATGCATAAACAATGTGATCTTTGATGCTCTCTGGAGGACCTGTGAAATACTGCCTGTCGTGAAATTCCAATTTACTCTTGAAAGACTTGACTGATGCTTTACGTCTAGAGTCTTTCGATGAGCTTGATGCAGCAGCCGCCAAAGCAGGGATTTCTATTAATAAAGAACTTGTCATATAGACACATTCAAGCAACTCCAAATTGATGTGCATATGAAATGGTAATAATCTTTGCTTCTCTGCGGCTGTTGCTTGACTAGGGTACTTTGTGTTAAAACCTTGACCAAGCAATTCTTTAGTCCTTTGGGAATTTGCAATATCCATCAAAGTTTGATGTGACTCTTCAATTGCACTTGCTCTAAATGCACTTAAACCTAATTGTACCAACGCTCTATTATACTGAATTTGTAAAGGAGATTCGGCATGTTGGATAGAATAGTAAATTTGCGACTTCAAAAACAATTCTCTAGCTTTGGAGTACTCGTCATTCACTGCATGATAATATATATTGTACAACAAAGCGTAGGACCGATAGATGTTGCTTGATTGTTTGGATAAGAAATCACACAACTCCTCGACAACTGTATTAGGATCAGAATTTCTTGGCGTTATCTTCGAGTCAACTTTAAGATCTTTCCAAGTTTCTTTCTCATTAGCAGCAATTAATTGATTTGGTTTGTAATAGATATGCTCCAATCTTCTCAAAACAATTCTTGAAACTTGAGTTGTTTCATCTCTAGCTGATTCCGGTGTAATGAGCTCAACATAAGATTGTCCCCTTACCAAGAGTTCATATATTGAGCCTTCATCCTTCAATCTCTCAATATACTCAAGAGAATGAGGATCACTATTTTGAAGCGAACGGGTAAATTCATCATCTATTCTCTCGATCAATGAAGTTATCGACCCGAAAATAACTTTGACGTCTTCATCATTTGCTGCTGGTTCAATATCGACTTCGTCAGTTATTTCACCGATTTCTGAAACTTGATACAGGTCTTTGTTAGCTTCTAGTAAATCCAACAAAGAATTTAAATCATTTTTATTCTTGGTCCATTGGTCAACAGGCATAAAAGTTTGATTTGACGATGCATCAAATCTAACAGACAACAACATTTGATAGGTAGAAATAAGCTCAAAAATACTACCGGTTTTCGAAATATCACGTAATAAATCTTCTAACGATTGAATTTGTTCATGCTTGTCAATATTCTTCTTACCACGAGTTTCAGAGATTTGCTTCAAAATTGTAAACACAGGTCCAAACACTTTATGAGCACTTACAGTACCTCGCTTGTCGTCTTCAGGGAATACCTCAGTTTGGACAGCTTCCAATGGTTCATCACTTTCAAATGCTTCAGGGTTTTTCCTATAAGAATCACAGTAAGCTTGATATTCTTTAATTTGCTTTCTAACTCTTTGCCTAGCAGTATTAAATGCTCTGGCTTCTGCAGCATTTAATGACTTTTCCAACTTTTCATTTTCAGCAGTTTCATTGATGTAATCCTCTAAGCCGGCCAAGCATGCAATGTAAAATTTAGGTGTTCCGAATCTCTGTTGACTTGATCTAGTCAATAGCCTGCCTAATTTTTCGAAGTCACTTAATGCCGATGTCCATTTGTTAGTTCTCTTCGAAATATTAATCGCCTCTATAACTTCTTTCATGTCGTCTAATAATTTTTCTTTGGCTGATTTGACTACTTTTCTACCCTCATCATCGCTATCTAAATCTGAATCTGAGTCAGATTGACCACCGGCACTTTTTTTCAAAAAGTATGACGGTCCCTTTGGCGCACCATCAGAGTCAGAATCACTTGATTCGTCCAATTCGTTCTCAAACTCAGAGTCGGTAGATAAGTCATCAGAAGAAGAAAGTATTTCTTCCTCAGAAGTGCTCATTAACGCTTCCTCTTCCGAAGAAGACTCTGAACTATAGCCTGAAGCAAAGAAACGAGACATCTTGATTCTATTTATCTTATATCTGTAAATACGTTGCCTTTACTTTTAGGATTCTAGCTCTTCTATGGAGAATCAAATTTTCCAACGAAAGATTCTTTAGCGCACAAAAAAAATTCTGAGTACATCATGCTCACATATACGCAGAAGTTTGAAGAATTTAACTTCTTCGTATACTACAAGTCGAATAACATCACTATACGTTCATTTCATTGCACATAAAGTCTCAGTTGTCTGTTCTATAGCTGCGAACCTTCAGGAACTTGAAAGGCTTTTCATTTTTAAGTGAAAAGTTGATTTCTTCACCCACTCTTTCATCTTGATGGGATTCGCCAGGTAATTTCTTCCTAATAGCGAAATATTTTATCCATGTTAGTTTACTATGGATAAATATTCCTCCTAGAGACTTTATCTCAAAACGGTAATAAAAGTCATAGTATGGCACAGATCCCTCGTTAATTTCTATATGGACTTCGCCCAGAGTCGTTAAGCACCACCTTCCATGGTATATCTTGTGGCTCTCTTTGATGTGGCTTGAATTATTTCCATTCTCTAAGTCTGTTGAGTCTAGATGCTGTAAGCTTCTCAGTGTATTAAGTTTCAGAAGATACGGCACAACCTTATTTGGTTCCAAGGAAGATAAAACTTTAACACATGTGCCGTCGGGGTAAAATCTTAAATATCTGTAATAAGTTATTGTTCTGACAGGATTAGACCAACTATCAGAAAACTCGGTTTTCCCACCTTCGCTGTAATAATTTACTACGCTTATGTAGCATCCACCGAATTTTATAAAGGGACGATGACGCAACATGTATTTCCATGAATTTTTATATTGTGAAAGGACCACAAGTTGATCCAATGGAACAGGAAGACTATCGCTATTGATTAGGGGCTCCGAAGGTGTCCTATTCTGCATGCAAACAAGGTTCTCATAATAGATTTGATTTGGATATACCAAGTAACATAACTTTTGCCACAACTGGGAAGAGCCAAATCCCAAATATGCATTTCTCTTGCATGTTATTGAGAAGTTAAACCATGAATCAGGCTCCATTACTATCAAGTGTTCAAGAATTTTGTTCCAAACTTCAGAGGGCAAACTCATTAGTGGCGAAATTTCTGTTACTGTAAGATCCTTTTCCTGTGAATTCGATCCCAAGTTGGCGAATTTAATGACTAAAGAATCTTGAGGATCTATGGAGTTTTCATCGGGTGCCGTCACCTCTGCATAGGCAAAGCTTTGGAGTAGTTTGTCAACGTCGATAGCTTTCACTTTTTCCTCATCAACTTTCTTGGTAATATTCTTTCCACCTTCTTCCTGTAACCTTTTAACCGCATGTGGAAGCTTCTGCGTTCTATATAATAAATCAACCTGCTCATTAATTTTGTATGCTCTTCTATAGAATTCGACTGCATCTGACATTAATCCATGAGACTCCCTATCTACAGCTTTCTCGAAGAGGCTAATGGCCTCATGATCTCTGTCACTCACATAATCCTTTTTTTCTCCTTTCTGTCTCAGTAATTCTTCTACATTGTAGTTTTTCTCAATTACTGAAGTACCCCCATTCATTGTCTGTCTCTATAAGACTACTTAGAAGTTCAATATATAAAACATTAATCTGTATGTATTATTCTATTGCAAATGCTAAAATGTATATATGCAGTACAAGGTTTAACCTAATAGATCATCTAGAAAGCCTTGATCATCAGAAGCTGGCGTAGGATCCTCTGGATTTGGTGTTACTCTCAGAGATGCAGAAGTGTCTTTCTGGATCATACTCAAGGTTGACAACATCTCGTCGATGTCAAAAGCCTTTTGTTTGTTGCTTTCAGTATCGAGCTTTTTCCATGACAAATTATCACCTTCCAACAACTCCGAGAGATCCCCATCGAAATCACTCTCATCCTCTTTAGATGGAACCTTATTAACAGTGCGACTTATCCTGGAATTCAAATTGGCAAGCTGCTTTTCATCATTACTATCAATCGTATCAAGATTTAGGACCTTTGGATTAGTTTTCCATTCTAATGATCCAAACTTCTTTTTAATTTGACTAAAAAGCTTTTGTTCATTTGCCAATTGAAGTCTTCTTTTCTCAACTTCCCTTTCTTCTGGAGTCATAGAGCGTGGTTCGACTTTTTCGAGTTGGAGAATCAGATCATCAAGTGATGATTCCCCAACTTTAAAACCAATAAGTTCGTTTGTGGGTATCAGGTCTAAAGCTCGCTGACGTAGCTTCTTTTTATGAATATCATCATAATTAAAGTTTTTACTAAGGGTTTTGTCGTAGCTTTCAATTCCATACTCTTCCAAAAAGTTATCAGTCATTTTATTCTTTAACATTTTTCGCCTATACCGTGGCTTTGATATGTTATCTTTAAGTATATAATCACCTAGCTGAGTTTCTTTCCCATTATTTATGAGATCTTGTTCCTTAGGTTCCTTTCCTAAGTAAATACCTTCAACAGATTCAGCACCATCAGCTTCGTTGGTTAAGCTAGTCTCATCATTCTCGTCTACTTCCCGCTCTACTAATTCTTTTAATATCTGGTTTTTTAGCTTTTTCTTTTGTTCGAGTGAAAGCTCGTCTTCCTTAAAGCCAGGATAAAAGGACGTCAAAAGTGCTTCGTCTTCTGAATCCCATTCGCTATCGATTTCCTGGTCACTGTCCTGAAGGGCAAACGACCCGATCCTGTTACTGGTATTTCGTCGTTTAGAAGACCACTTTTGTTTGACCAGTGTGTCTTGAGGAGCCAGTTGATTCAAAAGGCCATGTTTCTTCAAGTATTTATATTTTGCCTTTTTGTCCCATTTAGAGTTCTTCAATACCATATCTTATCTGTGGGAGCTATTGTGAAGTTTGGTCAGTTGTGCTCGCTTTGAATCGAGGAGCTCGAATATATCACAATCATTTGAAAAATTTATGAGAAACCAATCATAAAGTAAGGCAGCCAACCAAAATGTCCGATGGTGAGAAGAAGCCAACCTCGAAGACCATAGAAGAGCTTTTAAAGCTCATTTCGTTAGGCGAGCCGTTGACCGATTCCGAAAGGAAGCAGATGAAAGATTACAAATTCTGGAAGACTCAACCAGTGCCTAGCTTTGATGAGCAAATTGAATCAGAAGGGCCTATAGACGTCCAAAAGACTCCAGATGAAATTCCTGATACTCCACTTCCACTTTTGAGTGGGTTTGAGTGGGATACAATAGACTTGGATGACGATAAGCAGCTTGACGAGGTTTACCAGCTATTATATGAAAACTACGTCGAAGACCTGGATGCCACATTCAGGTTCAAATACTCACACGAATTCTTTCAATGGGCACTTAAGCCACCAGGTTGGAGAAAAGAGTGGCATCTCGGTGTGAGAGTTAAGGATTCTAGAGTTCTTGTTGGCTTTATTTCTGCAGTTCCAGTCACACTCAAGTTAACTCAATCTAACAAATCTATCAAAAGTGTCGAAATTAATTTTTTAAATGTACATAAGAAATTAAGAACTAAAAGGTTGGCTCCTGTTTTAATTAAAGAAATCACGAGAAGGGTGAATAAGCAGGATATTTGGCAAGCCTTGTATACTGCTGGTGCTGTTTTACCATCACCTGCTTCCGTCTGTCGGTATACCCATCGTCCTATCAATTGGATCAAATTACTTGAAGTGGGATTCTCACATCTTCCAGCTAATCAAACAAAGGAAGGAATGATGGCTTTCTATGCTCTACCAAACACTACAAAAACCAAAGGCTTACGTCCAATGAAATATTCCGACGTGGATCAAGTCCATGAGCTTTTCAGCAAATACCAGCAGAGGTTTGAGTTGATCCAAGTTTTCAGTAAGGAGGAACTCGCGCACTGCTTACTAGGAGGTACTCCAAACGGTCCAGCCTCGTCTGTTGTTAAGACGTATGTGGTGGAGAATGACCAAGGAAAAATATCAGACTTTTTCTCATTCTATTTGTTGCCATTCACCGTACTAGAGAATGAAAAACACAAAGAGTTAGGAATTGCTTACCTATTTTATTATGCTACGGATTCTGCAGACACTGAAAACTACGTAAAAAGGTTGACATCTTTGATAAATGATGCATTAATCTCATCAAAACAATTTGACGTCGATGTTTTCAATTGTACGACTTCACAAGACAATCCTCTATTCATAAAGAATTGCAAATTTGGAATGGGAGATGGTTTCTTGAACTATTACTTATTTAACTATAGGACCTTTCCTATTCATGGTGGAATCGATTCAAAGACAAAGGAGGTAACCGATGGAAAGGGTAGTGGGATTGGCGTTGTTTTACAATAGACTTTCTTACTATATACTAATAAGCTTTTTATTTTAAATCGAAATGGCTCTTTATTGTTTAGGCATCAGTCATCAATAGTCTTTTGACCTATCATTATATAAATGCAGTAGAATACGACTTTCAAAAAACATATATACAGGCCAATATTAATGAAAAAAAAAATTAAAATGTGCAACCTCATCTCTCATCGAAGAGTAAGGGACTGTAAAGAAAATTCAGATCCAACAAAATGATTTCCTCTAGCTGTTGGGTACCTAGAGGTTATGCATCAGAATTCCCTGAGAAATATGAACTTGACGATGCTGAAATGGAAAGAATCTCTCAGATGGCCAACTTAGAATTAAATGATGCTGAAGAAGAACTAAATGTCGCTGAAAAAAAGCAGACTGAGGATAATAAAATAAAGGCACAAATAGAAATAGATGATGATTTAAAGGAATATGACCTCGAGAACTATGACGAAGATGACAAAGCTGAAGGTGTAGCTGTATCTATGTTTCCTGGATTGTCTTCCACTGACGCTAAATACCATCAAGAAGGAGAGGAAAGTGATCCATACTTGAGCTTACCGACAGAAACGGATGTACAAGAAGAAAAGCAAGAATCTCAGATTTATCCTTCTGATAATCTCGTATTAGCAACAAGAACTGAAGACGACATATCCTATCTAGACGTGTATGTTTATGATGATGGTGCGGGTGCTCCTAAAGGTTCGAACGATGATGATATTGACGACGATATTGCCAAAGGGTACGTTCGTGATTCAAATCTCTATATCCATCATGACATTATGCTTCCAGCTTTCCCATTATGTGTTGAGTGGATCAACTTTCGCCCTGGTTCGGAAGGTGATGCCAATAATATTGGTAATTTCGCTGCAGTAGGTACATTTGATCCACAAATTGAGATCTGGAATTTAGATTATGTAGATAAAGCTTTTCCAGATTTGATATTGGGAGAACCCCAGGGAAATCCGCTTGGATCGCTGTCAAAAAGTAAGAAGAAGAAAAAGAAGCTGCAACATGTTACTAGTCATCACACCGATGCAGTCTTATCGATAGCTCACAATAAGCTACAAAGATCGATTTTAGCTTCTACATCAGCAGACAAGACTTTGAAACTTTGGGATCTAAACAATGGGATTGCTGTGAGATCTTTAAAATCTATCCACGAGAGCAAAGTGGTATCATCTTCACAATGGCATCTGGAGGAGGAGTCTCTTATTCTTACAGGTGGTTATGACGGCTATAGTGCATTGACTGATGTAAGAATTGCCGATGAGCTCGCAATGTCTAAAAAGTATAAAGTATCACCTGGAGAAGAGGTCGAAAACGTTAGATGGGGATCTTCGTCTGAAATGTTTTATGCTGGAACTGATAATGGAAATGTTTATTGCTTTGATGTGAGAAACGAAGAGAGACCATTATGGACATTACACGCTCATGATTCTGGAATATCATCGCTTGACATCAATTTAAATATTCCTGGTTTAGTCGTTACCTCTGCTATGAATGACAAAGTTGTGAAATTATGGAAATGTCCCGACCAATCGCAAGCTGGAGGTCCTTCTATGGTTTTGTCGCGTGATCTTGGTGTTGGAAATGTTTTGTCGTCATCTTTTGCAGGTGATATTGAGGTTGCTGGAAATCTTGTAGTTGGAGGTGCTAGCGGAACTTTAAAGATGTTGGATGTTCTTTCCAATAAATCGATCAGAAATACCTTCAGACAACTGATTAAGTCTTTGCAGCTCAGAGCAAGAGAAGTTGCAAAGGAGCTGGGTAAAGTTTCTAGAATAGCCAGAAAATATTTGAACGATGAGGAGTCTGAGATTTTAATGAGCGTAGAAGCAGGTGATTATGACGATGAATCGGATGCTGATGGAGATGATCTCAATAATGATATGGAAGAAGATGATTAGCGCCTTATCTTCATTCAATGGCACTCTTTGTAATAAAAATTATCGGGTCGGGAGTCATGGCTTTCATAGATACGAAGGAAGACCAGATCTTTAACTAATGATAAATCAGCATCAATGAAAAAGCATCGAAAATATAGTACTGATATTACAAATCCATTATTATTCATGCCACGGACTTAACAGCTCTGTTTACTAGCATTGAAAAACGCTGGAAGAATTCCCAAGCAGGAACTACTCTCCTAGCAACATTGTAGTTAAACATTAAAGTAAAACAGCTGAATATCATTATTCCATAGGCAATATAAAATAAATAAGCCGATATCGTAATCAACTTAATCGTAGTTTTGTTGAAATGCAGACCAAAATAAACCTGAAATACTTTGGAAAATCTAAAAATTAAGGTATCATCATTTATGGAAAATATGTACCCTTCGTCTGTGGAATGCATACCATCAATAGACAAGTTAGCAGCTAGCCAATTTAAAAACACATTATAAAAAATTTTAAGATTAGATTCATTCTGAGCACTTTCTCCGTCTAAGAAGTAAAATATGTCAAAGTTATGAGAAAAAAGATCACGATATGTTTCAAGTAGTACTGTATTTCCAAATAGGTACGTATGAATATCTCTCACCCAGTTATTCGAAAATGTGACCATTGATCCTATGCGTATAATTGTCCTTATAGTTCTGTTCACGATAAAGAGAAAATAGAACAGAAAGGCTATCCAAAACGAGAGATTCGTCCAAATCCATCTTGCAAATGATCCAAGTCTACGTGCCATAGTCGTAGGATTATAATCTCTAAGCAAAGAGTCCCATCGTATAAAGGGAAATGGGAGTCCTCCATAGCCATGCCTAATTTCAATAAAGTGATTGTTGCTATGTTCTCGTAATCTTCTCTCTGACAACAAGCGGTTTAATTGATCTAACCTTCGATTGTGTTCATTGACGGGTACATTTGCGAACAACTCCGCCTGTTGATTTCTCATAAATAATTCTACTAAGCCGGTATCAAGATGCTCAAATATCTCTGTCGTATCTCTTTCTCCATCGCTCATTGTAATGCTTGAAGCAAATTTGCTCTTGGATATCAAAAGAACCTCTAGAAATCTGTTTCACGGTACTACATAGAACAGTTTAAGTACACTTAAATATTATACACAGTACTGAGTATCAATTTCTATTTTGTAGGATCTACTCCATGAGAAAATCCCTAACGGCAGACGGTATTAAGCCATGGCATTCTTCATATGCTGAGCACCAAAAAGATATTAAATCTCTGCTTACTTCTAACTGCTGGGTTATGCTTCTACCTTGAAGCTTGATATGACTTCTTAACTTGTGCTTGACTTGAAATTCCGACACGAATACGAAGTTTGATGATGAACTACGCAAATTTTCGTCGTAAAACAGATCCATCAAGAGTAGCTTAGCCCCAGCATCGAATATTTGAGGTGCTAAGAATAGATTTCCGTTACTGGGATCCCAAATACTTTCTTGTTCTTCTCTTGTAAGCATGAATCTAAGGTCGAATATCTTTTCAACTAGTTCCCACCCATTGGAATATCTATTAAATATCTCTTCTTCTAGCAACTCGGTACAGCCATGAGAGGGCGATGTATGCAATGCACCGAAATCAAATTCGACATGAAAATAATGCCTTATAAATATGAAGAACCATAAAGTCTTCAAGTGAATTCCTCCGTGGCATAATAAACCCCAGATGATCATGTCATATAATGAGATAACAGTAGGATCATCGTGGGCTTTATTAGCACTGGCGATAATATATTTTCGAACCATTTCCTCTGTATTAGTTGTCTCTAGTCTTATCGCGGTTACCGTTTTTAATGGATCTTCGCATTCAATTGTAATTTTTGCAGCTTGTTTGATAGCAGCTCTCTGGTACAATTGACCAAAAGAAACGAAATAAGAAGCCAACCTTCCGCATAGATATTCAGATCTGGTACTCAAAGTGGTACTTTCTAGGAGCTGAGAAAACATTTCACTCAGTTTCTCTTTATCGCAATCAATATCGCCAAAAAGAAAGCACCGGTTTAACAATACTGTAACGACACTTTTAGTGACATGAGACAAAAAAGAGTTTTTAGAAATACATGATCGAAAGCATTCAGGTAATTGATCAATAAACTGAAGAATCCATTCATATTTTACGACTGCATTATTGTAATCTTCTTGAAGAAGATTGAGATAGGCAAATATAAATTTGTGTTTTACTACTTCTCCATATTTTTCGTATGATGATTCGGAAGAGTTTTTCTCACCTTTTCGTATTTCAGATAAAACACTTAGAGGATCTTTATCATCGGCCGCCTGAAGCGCTGTATTCTTCTTGATGTGCTCAATTATTGAATCAGTATAATTGAGCAAATCAAGATATAAGTAACGCGGCCCAAGGAGCATTAGGGCATCGAATATTAGTTTTAGGGGATCTTGAGATATTTTCTTTTTTTTCTGAGTCAGAAATGCTTTCAAGATAACTATGGCTTCATCGATGGTGCTCTTAATCTGAATGCATATTCTTCCTAATGAAAAGAAATGCAAGTTACCACTAGCTTTTAAGTAATTTTGAGCCTGCTCATGAATTGGAAGACTCTCCATTTTTAAATACAAGCTGCTATAATTTCGTTAGTTAGGCATCCATTTTGCACTCGCGCGTAATATAATTATACATACTTTTTATCGTCATTCTTTGACTCCAGCAAAGCTCTTTCATATAACTTCACTTGTTCGTTCAATGAACACGATTTTTCAACATCATCATAGCTTATCATAATTTCAGTCTTTTTAATTGCGATAAGCTCGTTAAAGCAAGCTACTGCCCTCTGTCCCATACCTAATTGCTTGAATATGTCTATTAAGTATTGAATATATCTCTCCTTCTCCTCTGGGTCATTTTCTTTCTCTATAACCAATGCAATCTCCCTTAAGGCTGCCTTACCTCTTCCAAGTGCAAACAAAGTAGACGCTATTATAATACAAACGGGATTTGATAACTTGACGTAGTGATGCAAGCTCGGAATTAAAGTTAAGATTTCATAGTATTTATTTGCGGAGAAGAGCCTGGAAAGGTTCTTGAATAAATCTTTCATTTCCTCTTTGTCATAAGTATAATTCATTTTGGAACTATCACTAGTATAGGTCGATAAAATTGACGGCTCTTCCGCTTCGTTCGTCAAACTTTCATCGGAACTGCTTTCGCAATCTGATACACATGTGAAATCCGAGCACTGGGGCAACGAAAGCTCATCTAAAATATTGTTCATTTGTAGACTATATACTTTCGTTGGTTTAGATCTCTACTCATGCTTTCCCTCCCTTGCTGAAGACTTAGTTCTTTTGTGGATGCAAAAAGTGTGCAAAGCTGTGAATTTTTTGTTACCATGCAGGTCTAATTTAAGTGTTTAACTATTAATGATGTTAATGTACAATACAAGTATTATGAAACGGTGTTGGCGACACTTATAAACGTGTCCAAATCTATATGTTTCATTCTTTTTAATGCATTCTTATGGCTGTGGAGACGAGGATCTGGATTATCACAAAAGCTTAACAAGGTCATCACGTACTTATAACAGCGGTAACAAAGACGCAGGTCCACCCTAAGCTTTGACTCTAAGAAATTTTGGGGTATTGTCACAATCTCTTCAAATTTTTCTCTTATTTCATATACGACGTATACCAACATGGAACCAAAAACTGCCCTCATGTCATAGGCAACCAAAATTGGAAGTGATGAGAGAAGCTCAATCAAAGAAATAGTATTGCGAAGAATATCACCTATTTTCTTATAAAAGATAGTTTCGTCGGGTTCCAATTTTTCCATTAAATCATCCTTGATTGTATAAGGTAACTGTATATCAAGATCAAAATTTAAGTGTCTTAGTATTAGCTCCTCCCTATAAAGGAGCTGATCCCTCCACTGCCAAAATACTTCACTCTGTTCGTCTATCGTCTTGTTGGGGTTCTTGATGCCACATGCAACTAAAGCAATTTTATCAAGTGGTCGATAGTTATCATAAAGTTTGCATGATATCCCCATGGCCGAACTCGCAACAAAGTATTTGGAAGATGTAATGGGAAATCTCATATAAAATCTTGCCACATATATTGCAGCAGCTAATATTGATTTTCCTTCTAGTTTTAGAGACATCCCCAATCGTATCAAAAAATCATGAATTGCTTCTCTCGTCTTTAATTCTTGTGTAACTGTGAGCTGCTTTCTACTCGGACATTTCTTTAGAAATGCTTCTTCCAGGAATAACCAGGTATTGAATGGGCCCAAAGCCCCACTTTCATGACCCATATTATTATTAGTTGGTATCAGGTTATTGCTACTCATCTTTATCTCTCAAGGTGGCCATAAACCTTTTGTCAAGATTATATACTCTGAGTTACCTAAACTGTTGTTGAAGTCCTGTATTTACTTTTGGTATTTTGTGTGATGTTCGTGCTAACTTAAAAAAAAAAAAAATTGTTCAGTACTGAAGGTGAAAGAATTCCAGGACTATATTCATTGCTTAACATAAGAGTTTGGCATAATGACAGAAAAAAGCCCATTTATGCATTTGGTAAGGCCAAATGTTGCGGCTCCAGCGGCTTCATTGTCTATTAGTGCTTGCAAGGTCAAGATTCACAACTCTGCGCTCTTTCAAATCTTAGAGATAATTTCAAAGCAAGTGCTTGATTCAGATAAAAGAATCATCGGAACATTATTAGGTATCAGATCTGACGATGGTTCAGAGTTTGAAGTGAGAGACGCATTTATGGTACCATGTTCTGAAACTGGAGATTCAATCGCAATCGAAGACCACACACACAGAACGATGTACCAGTTATACAAAAAGGCACACCCAAAGGAGTATGTTTTGGGATGGTTCGGAAGTGCTGACGAGATAGACAATACTACTGGGCTTATCCATGATTTTTATTCTAAAGGGAGTGACAGGGCTTATCCATTTCCTGCCATTTACTTGAATGTTGAATATTTGAATAAAGAAAACGAGATAACTATGCCTCAAGTATCGTCCTACATTGGATCAGCAATTGGAAAAACTTCATCCAGCTCTCAAAGAATCGGCTGGAAGACTTTGACGACTAACTCCTATCTCTTCACACCAATTCCGAATGAAATTATATGTGGCAGTGTTACTGAGAAGCTAGCTTTGAATTTATTGAAGGATAATTCTACTCGTACTGGAGCTGTGTCCTTAGAGAGAGATATGTCTTTCTTATCGGAACAACTTGCAGCTTTGACTGAATCCATCGATAAACTATTGGGCTATGTGGAATCTTCTGATATGGATACAGATGAAAATGTAAATTTACTAAGATTATTATGCAACAACTTGTTAAACAGACCACAAGTATTACCTCATCTTGAAGATTTGGAGAGACATTTCCGTGACCATAACCAGGATATAATCATGATTGAGTACTTGACCAAAGCGATAAAAGACCAAATCGAGTTAAGTGCGAGGTTAACTGCAAGTGCCGAGGCTGATAGAAAAAACTAACTAAGGGGCTTTCAATAAAGTAGCCGTACTTGGCTCCTCAACTTCTTTTCTCTTTAATAAACATATATATTCATGTCCTTAAAGAGTAATATCATTCTTACGTAAAATTGTGTGATAGTGTAAAAATTTTGTGGCACGAGACCAATTTGGCTCATCTCAAATGTAAAATTGAAATTTTTGATAAACCCTTAAGAAACATATCTTTTTAAGAAGAACAATTATATAAAAGATACTTTCTATAAGATCAGTTTATAGTTGTAATTAACTATACAATTCTTTATTCAATCGATCTTTTTCATTACTTCGTTTTTAATAATCGAAATCTGGATTCATTAAAGCAAAAGGAGGGATTGCAATAAAGTACTTACTCCATAGAGCTCCTAATAAATAAGCAACTGAGTTAGGTCAGAACTTGAAGGAACACTTTTTTTTTATTATGCATCATATAACTTTGAATTTTAAGGAAGTCAACACGAGTCTAAAATATACTAGATCTACAAAGTTCAGTAATTAAAGATTAAATTGAAAAGAAAAGGAATTAATATATTTTGGAGATGGGTAAAAGAATTGATAGAACCTATGGTTCATCAAATTCAAAACGAGAGAGTAAAAAGCTGAACATATCTGGTGGTAAGAATGTCAAATTATATGAGAATTATAGGAGCAATAAGAGACTAAGTATCATAGACTCATCCGATTCTGATCTGGGTAAAGATCTCATAACAAATTCTTACAGTGCACATGAAATAGAGGACGACTCATCCTCCTCCTTAACCGCAGTCTCTGATAATGATGAAATAGAAGCCTCTAAAAAGGGATCGTCGTTCTTTGAAGATGAGTCTAATAATACAGCAGTTAAAGGAAAGAACGGAAAGCTGAGAAAATCAGGGAAGAACGTTTCTTACTATGGTCAAAAGAATATGCCCAGAAAAACTAGCAGAAAGTCATATAGCTTGTCTTCATCTGAAGATAATGAGTCCGACGAGGAGGATGAGGAAGATGATTATTCGTCCTCCTCTGATGGTTCTGAAGTCGACTTTGTCAAACTTCAGGAAGAAAGAAAACGGAAAGCCTTAAGTGATATGAAATTCAAGAATGGACTAAGTGGGAAAATCTCTTCTTTGGATAGAAACAACCTTAGTAGAGATCGAGAGAATTCCAATTCTGCTCGTAAAAGTGGGCGCTCGAGTTCCGTTACCAAGCCCAGGTTTGGCCGTAGGAAATCTAGATCTGTATTACCGGAGGACATAAATTTTGGATTTGATTTCGCTGATTACGATGAAGTCGCAGTAGTAGATGAATCTGATGAGCAAGCAGAAGATGTTGGAGAAGAAGTTGAGAAAACTCAAAATAGCAGGCAGGATTCTTCAAGTGAAAAATCAGAACTAGTCTACGGTCATGATTCACCTTTAATTGAGGTTCCGAAACTCAGGGAAGAGGAAATTGACTCCGAGGAGGATTACGAGATTGACGATAACGAATTGCTTGCAACGTTACAAGCTGACAATGATATGGATGATTTTGTCGTTTCAAAACTTGCGGATAATAATATAACTGGAAACGCCTCTCTTGATTCTTATGGTGAAGATGACGAAGAAAATGATCCATTTTTGAGAGAAGAAGAAAAGTTCTTGGTAAATGAATTTGAAAGCAACGGTTTTGATGATGATGATGTAAACTTTGAAATCCTGGGAATCCATCCTCATGAGAATGAGGATGCCAATCGAAATGAGAGCAATCCGGATGAAAGATCCGAAAATGATATTGACGAAGACGATTACATTGAGTTCACCGACTTTAATGCTCCAATATTTCCAAAAAGTAGTAAAAGGGATCATGAGGAAAACAATAGCATGGAGAACAATAACTATGACTCAAATTCTAGAAAGAAAAAAGCGGCTACTTTGGTACAACCTAATCAGAAAGTGAGCCCCAATAAGAACGACTCTACTATCAACAATAGTGAAACCATGCATAATGAATACGACGATGATGATGATGACGATGATGATGAAGATGAGGACGACTCCTATTTGTGGAACTATTTTTTCAGCTCTGACAATAATTCTTCTGGGAGTGAATTTGAAGATTATGATGAAGAAGTTGAAACTGAATTTTTCAAGGGATCGGAGTCGAACCGTAAATCTAAAAGTCTTCGCAAAGATGACTTGAAGAAGAAACAGAATCATACGTATGAGGAGATTGGTGTCTTCGCGTCCGATCAAGAGTACGACAGTGGGGAATCAACTGATGTTGATTTGTCGCTTCCAGTAACTACAGAGAAGAACAAGTTTGGTTCAAAAGTTGCGAAAGAAGTTCTCTCTTCCACAGCTGATTATCGGCCACCTATTTTGGGTACTTGGATTGCTATCAATACAAAACCATTTGGTATAATTGATGGTTTGTCAACGAGAGCATTAAGTACGAGTGGTAAACCCCAAGACCAGTTCAGAAGAATGCCAGCTTCTTCTCAGACAACTGATAGCTCTGATGACCTGGCTTTGGACTTGGATGAGCTTTTAAATGTGAGTGAAATGGATGATGACGATGAAAACGATGTTAAAATTTGGAGAGATTTTAATAGCCAAAAGAAGCAAGTACCCTTGGGTGCTTTCAGAAATAAGTCTATTTTACACAACTCGTTGATGGGACCAGAGAACGTCACCAATAACCTCAATCACACTAGTAAATCTAATAATGATTTCAACAAGAGAAGATACTCTTTAACTAATCACTATAGCGGCAACAGATCCCGAAGAAACTCAATGCGACAAGGTGTCAGTAAACCTCCGCATGGTGGACGCCGTCTTTCTGCTTCCTCTAATCATAAAGATTCGGGTCAAATCTCATCAAAACAAAAACGAAGAAAAGCTTCTATTGTGGAGGCCATTTCCGAAGGACTTCGTCCTACTAAATCTGGTTTATTTAGTGAACATGCATTGGCCGATGTGGAGGAATTACTAGGGGATGACGTTGATCTTATGTCTTTAATTGAAGGCTTATAGATGCAGCAATTATTATTTTCATTTGATCATGCAAATCACAAGGAAATTACAAAGATGTCAAAATAAAAATAAGTTATCAGAGATATACGAAAAAGAAAAAAAAAGAGAAAAATTAGGGTAAGCTGTAATCTCCAGCTATCGAATGTAAGTGCTCTGTGTAAGCTAGCTATAGTTAGATAAAACTTTAAGTCTCGATTTCAAGTTTGAAAATATATTAGTAGTGCGCTGGTCAATTGTGGCAACAGAGATGCCCTTTTCCCTGTCATCTAAAAACATAGCTCTTAGAAAGACCGTATAAATGAAATAAAGAAGCTTTTCTATATAATAAAGAGCCTAGGGGTTATAATAAAAGGAATAACTGGGTTTAGCATAGTCTTGAATCATATCATCTGCTACAGTTGCTACAGTTAAACTATCACTCTCTTTTTTTAATAAATAGTAACTTTTCTTCAATCACAACGATTAATCAATCAAATAATTAGGTACTTGAACCCCGTACATTTGAGTTTTCTAATATTCTTACGAAGACGACATTTACTTGATTTCGAATTCAGTAATTAATTGAGCCTGAAGTATTAATTTGACATGTCAAGCAGAAGACGCTCATCGAGAGCTAATAAGGGACAACATTCAAAGAGAAGTCTTGATGATTTGTATGAATACGGTGAAGACGAGGAAGCCAGGAGTGAACTAATGTCAAAAAAATCACACACGGAAAATGACGACGAAGATGGCGATTACCAAGCAGAGGAAACTAACAAGGATGAAGAAATAAATTCAAGTGGAGATGATAGTAATGATGATGACGAAGACGAAGTCAGATGTACACCCTGTGGGACTAATAAAGACAATTATAATGAGGAGACGGATGAAGGTGGTATGATGATACAATGCGATTCGTGCAAAACATGGCAACATGCAAGATGTATGGGTTTCAAGTCGACGAGAGAAATTCCTAAGAAATATATTTGCAACGAATGTGACAAATCAATAAAACCGAAACACGTATATGGACAAAAAGATAAGTGGTCTATTGAAAATCTAAGAGATAGACACAGATTAAGCTCTGCTAAAGCGTTTTTGGCTTTTTTCAGAAAAGCTATTCCAGAGTCATATTCACTTCCCAAGGGATTTGGTAAGGAAAGACTTGCCAATAAATGGACACTTGACCTCGAGAAAGTAATATATGAACATGCCCCTAAGAAATACAACGAAGAAAGCAGGCGAATTCTTTTTTTAATCAAAAAGCCGTCAGTGATCAAGCAAGTAATCGATGGTGAATTAAAATTCGATAAGCTAGTCAAATCTTCCCCCGAAGAGATAGATCCCGATTTGAAGCAGTATGCTGAAAAAGTACGACAAGAGTCAATTCGTCGCTCTGTTTTGACTGCTGATGAGAGCCAGGGCCAGCGAATTCGTAGAACACATAAGGGCGAAGAAATTGTCGAAGATGTGAATGCACCTGAACCTGATCTCGATTCGAATATTATTAATAGGCACGTTGAGCGTAGTGAAACCACAGAGGGGCATCATCCATCCCGAGATATCATCGTAAATGATTCGAATAGGAAGAAATACATAAATTATAATCTGGATGAGGATGAGGATGACAATAATAATAATTCTAACGATACCGAGACTGAGGCTAATAATGATGGCTCCAGTTTTATCAAAAGAAATGAAAATGGCTTTAATGGAGAATCTAAGACAGAAGATACCGAAAAGATTGCTGTTGATCAAGAGGGTGAGTCTAACAATGAAGATTCTATTCCAGACTTAGAAGAAGATGAAGATTTACAATATATTATCACTGGAAAGAGACTGCTGTCAGAAGCGAGAAATGAAGACCAGAAACCTAAGCGGAATTTGCCACAGCTTCTCGAAACGCATATATGGGATGGAGCAATTACCTTTCCAGATTTTGCATCTTTCAATGCTAAGGCAGAATTTTACTCTTGCTCTGGCTATCAATTACCTACAACCGCCGATGCTGCCAATTTGCACAACAGGTTTATAAGAACGTCACGAGCGATTCTTTTGCACCCACGATACGAAGTTGAAGGACGATTAGATGCGGACAGAGCCGTGAGCTATTTAAATAAAATAGTATCCACAAGAGATTTGTTTTTGGTGCACTTGGAACCTACTGAGAATTATGATGACTTCAAAAGGTTGTTAGGGTATCTAGCAGATAGGAAAAAAGTGGGTGTCCTTTCTGGGAAACCTTCGTTTGTCAAAGATTCGTATCTTTTTCCGGTTGATTTCTCTAGTTATAGTTTGCCTGATTTTTTGAAGCCTTTCAGAAAAGATGGGACATCGTTAGGTCTTTACGCTCTTTTTGTGGTCAAGAAGGATTACGTTCCACCTGCTCCTGGAATACTTAAGAAGAAAACAGTTTCGTTTGCTCAGGAAAGTGATACAGGGAATTCCCAGTTGTCATCTATCCTCAAGCAACTTAACGAAGGAAGTTCACTGCTAGGGGACAATATTTCGATTAATTCAAGTTATGTTTCAGAAAAAGTTGATTTTTCTGACAAAAGTAAAGGAATTCTCTCAAATCTAACGCAAGATCAACGAAGAATATTGGAAGATGTTTGCAGGCAAAATCCTCAAATTGCTGAGAACCCAGAAGCTTACTTTAATTTACTACAGTCTTATTTGGTTAATGGAAACACTAGCATTGCAACAGGTTATCAAGGCAATTGAAATACATGCTTCTAAGTAATTATAAGAATCATTAGATGTATGAAGAAATAAAACTTATTTTTTGCCTCACACGTACTAGTTTATATATCTTCTGTAGCATTTTGCGATAACGTCGTGTACGTATTAACATCAATCTCTTCCATAGTGTACTTTAGTATTCAATATTATGTTTTAAATATAACCCTAACTTATGATACCTGATGAGAAAAGCTCCAAGATAACTACCACGGGGAAATTCTTGTCCCCGAAAGAACGAATGCAAGACGCTAGTGAAACACAGGTAGATGAGTCAATAATCAGCTTTTCAAATGATATGAACAATAGTCTTGTATTTGGAAACGACATTGGCAAAAACGAAATATTCAAAGGTAAACAGGATTATCAGCTGCCACAGGTAGATGGACCTCATGATTCGGAACACGAATCTTCTTTGTTTTCAGAAGAAGTGTCTCAGGGGGGATTTTCTGTTGTACTAAAGTGCCGCCCCGATGAAACACCATTTCTAGAGAAACTAAAAGATCCATTTGAAGACAGTGAAGTTGACAATGATAGGAATAATAAACGTGAAATCTCAGTAATTAGCAAAATGGGATCCGAATATCTGGCATCCAAACTTTTAGAACATGAAGACCACTTTTTAGTAGAGCAGACTGCAAGAGTTAAGTCTATGCATGATACTCAAACTATCAATGAGAAAGCAGACGTACAATATGATGAAGGAACTATGCATATCAATAAAACCTCACGGCCAAGTGATGTGTCAGGTCAGCGACCAAATGGTTTGGGGATCCAAGATACCCAAAAGATAAGGCCCCTAGGATCGCAAACTGATTACAACATAAATGACAGTATTCAGTTCTTAGAATTACCTCATGATACCCAAGTTATTGATCCTATAGACAGAGAGACTAGTAAAAGCTCACTTAATAATACGAGCAATGAACAACTGAGCAAAGCTGAGTTCATATCAACGGCAATTGAAATACCTAATACAGTTGAAAGGATAACATATTCTAGGAGAGAAGTAATTAATACGCAAGAGGAAAATGAAGCTGTTCATATTCAGGATCTTGAACTTTCACATGCCCCATTCCCTCCGAAAGAAGGCTCAAAAGCTCAAGAAATTATAAATTCTGATGAAGAGAAAGAGAGTGATCTAGCTGATACATCTCTTACTGCCAACATTGAATACCTCGATGATAGCATTTTGAATCATAAGACTAGGTTACATGAGGAAAGAGGTGAAAATATAAAAAATAAGCATATAAATAACGTTTCTAAGTACGACAGCCCTCGAGAAAACGATCCCTACTTTAAATCAATACTCACTCCGGGTCTTATTGCTGCATCAACTTCTCCTAATGAGATCGAGGAGTCTTCGCCGCTTTTTGTCAAGAAGTCAGATATCTTAAAGGCATCAACCTCAAACCACGAAAGACGTAACATTTGCTCCAATACTACAATTATACATGATTCAAAAGAGCTGAGAGCTTACGGAACTACTTTGATGTCATCTCCTAATGATAGAATGATAGCATCTTTTGATGTGAATGATGGTACGGCAATAAGATCGAAAACATCACGTTCGCTGGAGCGTAAAAGCGATGCTTCTGATTCAGGTATCACCGACGTCTTTCTGAATCTGGATAATGCAGAAAATAAAACTATAAGTGAAAAAAGGAGGCGAAATATAATTGAGTCATTATCGGAAATGCAGTGCTCATCGGATGATGACAAAGATCTCTCTGCAAAGGATAACGTCTTAAGCGATTCCTCTATACTTCGAGAAGAAGATCTGGAAGTTGTTACATGCCATGAAATTTGTTCCAACGAGAGTGTGTGGGCTTCTTACAATTTAAGATTATATTCTGGTGTTTTGACAAAGGTAGGAATAGAAACACTGCATGTCAAATTTGAAGATGGTATTTACGACATCAAGAACTCAGATTTATTTTTGTTAGATATACGAATCGGAGATTCCATTTTACTCAGATCATCGGGCCCTTCTTACGTTGTTACTGGGTTACTTTATAAGAAGGGTTCGACTTCGCTCAGATGTATAAGGGGCTATAACTATGCATACGTGAAGAGAAAGAATACCAAAGTCAATAACTCCGAGGAGTTGATAGAAATCGCACAGTGCTGTATGGATTTTTCGGATTGGATTAATCATCAGCATAAGTTCAAATTGAATTACAAAGATGCAGATTTATTGCGGCAACCAGGGATCTGTGATATAGTCCATCTTATGATATCTGAATTCAGCAGATTTTGCGTTACTGATAATAAGCATACGACTACTTCAAATAGAAGGAATAATGAGAACAAGGATGCTTTTTTGAGTAGTCCTATTAGAGGTACTGAATCGAAGTTGAGATCGAGCCCAACAAAAATAGTTCCCATGAATGACAACGGAATTTTCTCTAAATTCTTATTCTGCATTACCTCGATATCTGGTACTCAAAAAGATGAACTAAAGCACCTGATTACTAAAAATGGAGGTGTTTTCTTAGAGGAAAGCTTTGGAGCTATCTTTAGATACTCACAGGATGATCATGGACTGCTAGAATTACTGTCTCACTTTGTAAACGCATTCAAGTTTGGTGCTTTGATCTCTAATGGGTATTGTCGAAGTGCAAAATATATTCAGGCACTAGCTCTAGGTTGGCCAATTTTATCAGAATCTTATATATATGCTTGCATCAAAGATCCTACTAAGGTTTCAAAGTGGCCCTTGTTTGTTTTGCCTGCAGGGCATTCTTCGGTTTTAAAATCTTTAAAAAGTCAGGATGTGTTTCATTTCAGATTGAATTTCGAAAGAAGCGAGGGATTGAATAAGCAGATCAGCAATAATAGCCATATACTTGAAGGTTATAACATTTATTTCTTCAAGAGCCAAGTGAATGAAATTAATTTAGCAACATGTGAGTTCATCTTCCATGCCCTTGGAGCTCTGGGTCTTTCCTACTATGACGATCATGATGCGATTTTGAAGGCACTAAACAATATTGATTCTGAGAGAAACTGCACTATTTTAATATATGATGATAGTGATACACTAAAATTAAAATTCAAAGAAGTTGCAGATCAAAATATAGAGAGGAAAAAGCAATCAACTTCAAAATACAGGCAAAATAAAAGGAGGCGGACATCCCGGTCTTATGGGTTCAATAAGCAAAGAGCCACAGAGATTGGGATAGTGAACTGGGAATGGGCTGTTCAGTGTGTTATTAGCGGTTATGCTTGGGAGCCCGAGAAGGTTACAATACTTTCGGATTATATATAGTCAGTTCTATAATACATATATTGAATCATATTCATAGATCTATAAGTGGTTTTAATCAATCTAGACGAATTTGAAGAGCCTTTTAAAAAGTATGTTTGTGACTGCTTTGACCAATGGTAAACCATTATCTGCTTTCACTGCATCTCCATTTTCTTCTAATCTCCTTAAGAGATATTTTTTGGATTCTAATGGTGGACCCCAAGGAACGTACTTTATCACATTATCAATATTGTAGTTCTTAATTAAAGAATATGTAATGCCATCGGCCATTCCTAACAACTGGCCCAAAACAACATTATTTTTATTCGAATTTTGAGCGTGCTTCGAATTGTGGTATAATTTCTCTGTTGCTAACTTCAAAGACTCAGCGTTGTGCGATGCAACAACTAAATGGCCAATTGTGGAATCGTTACCACCACTTGCCAAAATTGATTCAAGAACATATTCAATTCCCTGATTGTAGTTGACATCCGTATCTTCTTTTGATTTGTGGATGATCGTATTTCTATCTCTCTCTGAGTGTATATATGCACCTCTAACTAGCTTTAAGCCAAGTCTATATCCGTTCTCTGTCGCCAATCTCTCCTCCAAAGCTAAAAGATCGGCTGATTGTGATAAATACATCTGCAAAGTTCCAACAATCGACACGGGTTTGTTAACTGGATTGAACTTGGAGTAAAGTCTCCTTTGGAGCTCATATACGCCCTCTTGCAATTCGTATTTTTCGGCGTCAATGACACCAACCACGAATGGCGCAACCCTTTCAGGATAAATCTGGGCGAGACGGACATTATTGTCGTAAATGGACTGGCAAATACTAGATGCTTTCTCAACGAGAGCCTCAAACTGCTTAGCATACTCCGGATCGCTTTTGAAATTTTTTAACACATTAGCAGCATCCTTAGCAAATCCAGTTGGCTTTAATGCGACGTATGCTGGAGGAATGGAATTTATATCCTTCCCTGAATTTTTGATAACGGACAAGGTATGTGGCACCATAATTTCTTCAATTGATTTTATAGTTTCACTTACAATATAATCGGGGTCCACATTGTCGTTTCCTTCACAAGCTTCAATCGTCAACGAAAGCATCATGTTGTTAATGCCCTTTTCATACAACCTAGCTCCCGTCTGCCTAACTTCATTCATGGTTTCTCCACCACAGTAAAGCTTGTAAACCAAAACTTTGATAATTGATAACGGAACGTATGGAAATAGTTTAATGCAGAAGTCTAATATTGGTTTGTTGATGGTTGCTATCCCGATGATAAGATTAGACAATAATTCGGTTGACGGCAAGGTCTTCAAATATTGAGCTTCAGAGTCAATTTTGAATGTTTTTGAATCACCGCCATCTAAGGTCGGTAATGTAGGAGTTGATGCTGTACCTGGTACCAACGCTGAACCAGTTTCAGGTATGTTATTTACATTTCGAATCATAGTAGAACTTTTGTTTGGCAGCTCGTGGAAGTTTCTAGAAAAGTTCACCTGATGAAGCCTTCGTGATACTAATGAAGAGTCAGTAGCCCTCCTTTTCACTCTGTTAGATAATCCAAGGACCGAGCGTCTAGTGATGAATGGTTTCATCATTCTTCAGCCTAATTATTTCTTAGCCCTTATTTCCTTTGAACGCTAAATATGTAGTTGGAAGATATTGAATATATATCAACCCACAATCTGATGTGATTCAGAATATCTTTTATCTGTTTCTTTCCCTTCAGGAAGAAATAGAGGATTTCCATCTTTTAAATATTCTGCTGACGTTTTGTGAGGGATCACTCATATTTTGCATCCGTGCGATAGCCTGCTAACGGGAAGTGTTTAGCGATTCCGCATTTCAACCAAGAAGGGAAGCTCACGACGACAGATAACAAAACAGCACAAAAATGAATAGCTGCCGTTACGACATAGCGACATCAAAAGTTTTCACGACATTATTGAAAAATGTGAAATAAATAATTTTATAATCACGTGATATGTCACGGCTTCGTGATGACGATTTTTCAGTAACATCTTATACCTTACAGAGTTCAATTCTTATTGTGACAAGGAGACCACATGCGAAGTTTCAGCACGGGACGGGCAACAAATCGGCTTCTTGGGAGTTTATTGTGGACCAAACGCTCCTTCTGCTCTGTCGGCAAAGCTCTGACTCATAATGCATCTTTCTCATCTGCTCTTCTGCATTCTCAGGCAGAGACACCAAGCGAGTCTATACGGGACAATATCATAGAGAGTGATAACCATACAAATAAGATCCTCATACTTAAACCGGAGGACACTGAGGACAAGAAATTTAATAGGCTAGTGGAAGATGTTAACGCGAGGCAGCTTCGAGCAGAATCGAAGCGGTTGTCACCTTATTCTATCATCAAAGAGGACTTATTAAATGATTCGAAACAGTCTTATATCCGATCTATTGATGAGTACCGACCACCTAAATCATCAGTGACCTTGCTGCGCTACAATATATTATTGAAGGGTTTGGTTAGTTCCTTCACTAAGTCCCAAATAATTGACTATATCAATGTAGCTTACAGCAATTCGAATTTTAGACAGAAAAGAAAAGGCTTGTCAAATAAAAACAAGAAAGGCTTGGCGCAGATAGTAATAGAGGATTTATGGCTAGTGAAGAAACTAGATAAGTCAACATCTTTAGATGATTTGTACGTCAAGAAATCAGTCAAATTAGCCCATAGAGATTTATTTTTACTAGTTCTGGAAAATGGCTTAATAATCCAGTATCTTTCTAGGGTAGGTGTTGATATTGGTTTTGATCCAAAGTTAAATGAAATTCAATTTACTGGTACCGAATCGCTGGTTAATAATGCTGAAATTATTTTAAGCGCAATCCTTGGAAATTGTTATAAAGAAGAACTTAATTTAGGATCTATAAAACGATTATTTCTTGAAAAATATAATCAATTTCCTTTGGATTACATAGGAAAAATGACAGAAGTGTTCTTTAAACATCTTGAAAATGATAATTATGAGTTAATAAGTTTGAATATCAATCAGATTAGACGCTGCAAACGATTACTTTTATGGTTATTGAATTATAATCAACATTCCAAAGAAAAGTTGAAAGTTCCAAATATTAGACAAGGGACTTCGCTCTTACCTTATAAAGATGACGATTCATTATCCTGGGATAATCGGCATATTGATTTTTTTACATTAAGAAGCGATTCTATCAGCATTACTGATAACGAAGCATTGAGAGAGGACTTGGACAAGTACTCAGATTTGAATTTAACAAACGATGACATGGGATTTGATAAAATCATAGAAGACTCGAAAATATCTTCGTTCCAAAATATGAAGGATGCAAGAGATTTGGAAAATGAAACTTTAAATGTGTTGCAAGACCTAGGGTTTTCCCTCCCCGGAGAAATTGAAGAGGATTCATCGAACTTAAATAGGGATGAAGAGCTGACTCTGGAGGCTAAGAGATCTATGCCTAAAATTGCTTCGATTGAAAAAGAGACCCTCGGGCCACGATTGAGATTGTCAATCAAAGAGAAGGATGAAATCTATTCCTTTCTTGCCGACTTTGGTTATCGTGAATATTTAAATGGTCTTGAGAGTGATAAACTCAATAATCCTATATTTACAGTTACACCGGGGCTCATATTATTTCAAAACGATAAGCAAGAAAATGGAGACGACAACGTCATACCTCTGCCTGCAAAATTGGAGTGTATGCCCTATAAATTCACTTCACAAGTTTCGCTTATAAATGATAAAGTTTTAACTTTTCCTTTGTATGATAGCAATCTCCTCACGAACGAGGATTTCAACAAGTTTTTGGATAGTGACCCTCATAATTATACTATTCAGATGAAATTCTTGCCTACCCCATTCAATGAAGCAACACTAGATAAGGAAAAAATAAAATTTCCACCAATTGAAATTTGGATTGATCTCAATTCAAGAGGGAAGCCTGATCTAGAAACTATTAATATTGTCACTGTGGAGGGAGAAAATAATTATTACGTCTCTGCTCCCGAATATAAGGCAGACTTTAAGGTCTGTTGCCAGATATCTGGTGATATTTTAAGTGGTGACGACTTCTCTCAAGCTAAAAAAGTAGACGAAACTGATTTACTTAGTGTTTTGAATTCTACAACTTCCAAGTATTCCAAATTTGAATCACAGCCAGGAATTTCAAAATTTTTGGCCGAGTCGGTGCTAGACTTTGGCGGTAAAGTTGCTCCATCGATTTCACCGTCTATTGACCTTATTATAAATGGTCAATCTGTGAAGTATCATTATATTAACGTTTCATACAGGAGGCAATTAGATTTAAGCTTCAAAAATGAAAAAGGAGATGAGAAGTTAGTTCAATTCAATGTGGTTGAGGGTGGATCTCTTGGAGGAAGAAAGCTTGAAGTGAACTTAGTTGGTAACTTGAATGAAAATTTAGATAGACAAGCTTTTTACGATCTTCTTGATGACGCATCAGATCTAATCAGTCAATTGTAAGTATTACATTTGTATATATAAGGAGAGAATCTTGTACATATTATCGTATACATATTGCTACAAAGCTATTAGATTACAAAATAAAGTCAATCTTGCAAATTCTCATATATTGTATTATGTCCATTAGAGCAACAACGTATGTAAGTAGATATTATCACCTACTTTTTAGAATCTTCAATTGCCTTCACATGCACTTCCAAGTCAGCTACAGAGCTCTGTAATGCCGCAACGTCAGCAATTATGATCCCATTAGCTAACTTATACTTGTCGAGTAAATAATAATAAGATCCGACGCCAGTCAAAGTAACACCCAATAAAAATCCGAACAAGCTTCCTTTAATGGCACCGATTTTTCTGGGAGGAGCCAGACCCGTTGCATAGGAACGAGATGCTTGTCTCAAAGTAGATGAACGTATGTAATTCATTTTTGATAGAAAAGATTTTTTTTCTTCTGCTATGGATATAGTTACTGAAGTTTAAATATCTCAAAGTTGTGTGTAGACCTTTATTTGATCGAGATTACTGGAGAGTCTATTGGATAAGTTTTAGAATGGGACTTAGTTGAAAAGACAATTTGCATTTAAGAGTCGACGATATCTTAACCAATCATCTACAAATGTTTATACCAAAATTCCTTATAAGGACTAGGCCCCTGCTGAGATTTCCTAGTCAATTTGTTAAGATTCGCCATCAAAGGACATTGGCAGATATCAGTACAGTATCTTCAAGACATAGCTTCAGAAAGGGAAGAACCTATAGGCTTGTCATCAGGCCTACTCTTGTGGTAGTTGGACTTGGCGGGGTTATATATTTTACTGACGAGCATGCCTTTTCCTCTTTATTGACTAGATCCGTCAGAGCACTCTATGTCATGTCTTGGATTGCCTACGAGTATTCCATGAACACTACGAGCTATACCGATATCAATGATTTGCATGAGTTGGCAGCAGATAGGTTGTTTAACTTACTTATGGCAAACAAAGGATTATATATAAAGTTGGGGCAGGCCATTGCAAATCAAGGAAGCGTGTTCCCTTTGGCATTTCAGAGAAAGCTCACACTGCTCTATGATGATGCACCTGTTGATGATTGGACTATGGTTGATAGTGTGTTGCGAGAAAGTCTAGGAGAAAACTATGAATCTGAAATTTTTGAGTCCATAGAACATGTTCCAATTGCAAGTGCATCAATTGCCCAAGTCCACAAGGCTTATCTCAAGTCGAATGGAGATCCTGTAGCAGTCAAGGTTCAACATGAATATATTTCTAAGCAAGTGGTTATAGACTTATTTATGTATCGAGTCATTTCAAAGTTATACGAGAAAGTATTTGATTTACCACTTAGCTTTTTCACCCAATATATTTCGGATCAGATTGCAAAGGAGACCGATTTCGTTCATGAATCTCAAAATGCTGAGCATCTTCGTGATCTCATCACTCATGACTCCTCTCTCAAGGGAAGTAATATCTATATACCAAGAAATTATCGCAGCATAAGTACAGAGAGAGTGCTCATCATGGAATGGATTGATGGTGTTCCACTCACAGACAAAGAGAGATTAATAGAGGATGGTTACAATTTGAAAACAATAATGAATCAGTATCTAAAAGTGTTTGGGAGACAAATATTTGTTTATGGTTTTATCCATTCTGATCCACATCCAGGTAATGTTATTGCTAGATTCAATAATGGAAAGCAAGATTTGGTAATATTGGATCATGGCTTATATGTGACACTCTCAGATAGTTTTAGAACGCAATACTGTAAGCTATGGGCTTATTTATCTACATTTGACAGAGAAGGAATAGAACTGATAGCACGAGCATGGGGAATTCAATACACAGATATGTTTGCATCGTTTATACAACTTTCTCCGCCGGAGAATTTCCAACCTAAAACAATGACCGTGAATGACCTTATGAGAGGCTTTTTGGGAGATGAAAAGAAGTTCCCTTTAGAACTTCTTTTCCTAACAAGAGCAATGAGAATTATACAAAGCTTAAACCAGGGCCTCGGAAGCCCCGCAAACAGAATAAATATACTCACGCTAGAGCTGGTCAATACTCTTTTAAGTAGTAGCTCTGGCATCTTCGATTACATTCAATTGTTCAAGATAAAGCTCGCCTTGTTTATTAGTAACATTGTATTTTACCTATTCAAGCTAAGGCAAATGCTTTATGGCGACAAAAGCTCTAAAGGGAACGGTATTGAGGACTATTTGGATTCTTATATGAGGAACACTGCAAAATCAATGGGTATAGAGTTGATGTAATCGAAATAGTAAATAGTTTTTATAGTTGGTATTTTCGCAGATCAATCTATTTCTCGAGCACTCTTCAACAATAAAAAAAAAAAAGCGAGATGAGCATCTCTATATTCTATTGCAAAAATTAGATCAGAAATATGGAATTACTCAAGACGAGCTATATTAATACTGACATAGATCCCTTCTATGTTGGTGGGACTTCCGCTACGCTTTCTGGTGACGGATCCCTCTTAGCTACACCTGTACTAGAAGATGTTGTCATTACCAATCTTGAAACTAATGAGGTTTTTGAAAAGATTGAAGGAGATGAAACATTAGTGACTAGCTTGGTGATGACTCTAGATGGTGAAAACTTGGCTATTCAGTCACAATCTCAACAGTTGAAAATATATAATTTGATTCAACGCAAGATTATAAAAACCTTCAAAATGTCCTCGCCAGTTTATATATGTGCAACCGACAAGACATCATCATTATTTGCGTTCGGTGGCTCCGATGGAATCATTACTGTTTGGGACATAGAAGGTAGCTATGTAACACACTCTTTGAAGGGTCATTCGACAACGGTTTGCTCTTTAACATTTTATGGAGATTACAATTCTACAGATTGGAAATTAGCTAGTGGGGATATTATGGGAACAGTAAAGATTTGGGATCTCGTCAAACGAAAATGTATTTCGACTATAAATGAACACAATAGTGCTGTTAGAGGCGTAGGCTTCAATAAGGAGGGTGACCGCTTTATAAGTGGTGGTAGAGACAGTGTTGCAATAATATATGACACCAAAAAATTCAGAGCCCTAAGCACTTTTCCAATTAATGAACAAATTGAAAGTTGTGGCTTTATTTCTTATCAGGACAAGGAGTTTTTCTATACTGCGGGTTCGGAGAACGTATTCAGATTGTTTGATATTTTAACAGGTAATCTAGTTGCAAGCTCGCCTGCTCCATTCAGGACTAACGAAGAGCTCATGATAATTGATGTGAAAATATTGGATGATGATGAAATTTATTTGGTAATAAGTGATCAAACTTTAGTGAAACTTGACATGAATGTAGAGCAAACAGACGCAGTTTCTGAATTTCCTATTGTTAAGCGTCTTGCTGGAAACCATGGGACAATCGTCGACCTCAGATATGTTGGTCCACATCAAAACTTAATAGCGCTAGCAACAAATTCTCCTTCTTTAAGGATCGTTGATCCTCAGAGACCGTTCGAAATGAAAATATATGAGGGCCATAAAGATTTATTGAACGCGTTGGACGCCTCGGAAGATGGTAGATGGATCGCAACAGCAAGTAAAGACCATGAGGCCAAATTATGGAAGTGGGACGAAGGTATAGGTGACTTCGTTCTTTATGCTACATTCCAAGGCCATGTTAGCTCAGTGACAGCATTGAGTCTATCTAAATCTCAAGAAATACCTTCGTATTTGATAACTGGATCTAATGATTATACTGTTAAGAAGTGGAGAATCCCACTGACTCAAGGATCATCTGTAAAAGTTTCTGAATACACAAGAAGAGCACATGATAAAGATATTAATTCGATTGACGTTGCACCTAATGATGAATTTTTTGCAACTGCCTCTTACGATAAGGTAGGTAAAATTTGGAATTTCGACACAGGTGAAACAATTGCTATATTAAGCGGGCATAAAAGAGGCTTGTGGGACATCAACTTTTGTAAATACGATAAGTTGGTCGTCACAGGAAGTGGAGATAAGTCGATAAAAATCTGGTCATTAACAGATTTCACATGTAAGAAAACATTAATAGGGCATACTAATGCAATTCAAAGAGTGAAGTTTTTCAACAGAAATCTTCAGGTATTATCCACAGGAGCTGACGGCTTAATCAAATTATGGGATATCAAACAGGAAGAAAATGTCCAAACTTTAGCAAATCATAACAATAGAATCTGGTCACTTGAAACGAAAAACGATGGCGAGGAGTTTGCAACTGGTGATGCTGATGGACAATTATCTATATGGAAAGATAACTCGGAGGAGAAGTATCTAAGAGAACAACAAGAAAGGGAGTTGAAAATTGAACAAGAACAAAACTTAAATAATATGATGGGGTCTGGAGACTGGTCGAATGCGTTCTTATTGGCATTGACTTTAAATCACCCAATGAAACTTTATAATATCCTCAAGCAAACCATTGCAATGAAACAAGACGAAGAGTCTGTGATTGGTTCAAAGAGACTAGAAGAGACTATAAGCATGTTAGATGAGGAGCAATTGTTTCTTTTATTCAAAAAGATAAGAGACTGGAACGTCAATTTCAAATTATTCGAAATTGGGCAAAAAGTTGTTAAAGTAATTTTAGACAATTTTGAGGCCGATAAATTGATTAATATTCCAGGTTTGATGAAAATTATAGACTCAATAATTCCTTATAATGAAAGGCACTACAATAGAATTAACGATTTACTTGAGCAGTCATTTATATTGAATTACACGGTAGATGAAATGAATAAGATTATAGCTTGAATGCAAATATATCTATATATTTCGTGAAAAACGCTCTGGATTTATTGAAATTACCATATTTAATTTACATACAAGGCACCTAGTAAGGTTGTTGTAGTATTTCAAGCTGTAGATCATATAAATTTGGTGAAAGTAGTGTAGATTTATCACACAAGTCAAATTATTTAAAGTCCACAAATAGACTATAATTTTTTGGACAATTTGTAAATTTCTACAAGAAAAAAAAAAGATAAGAATTAAAATCTTCCAAAGGCTATTTCATAAGCGGCTAGATCAAAAGATGCCTACTACGACATTAGAAACAGTAAGTGAAAAGATTCTATAAGATTTTATTAAAATGTTTTACTAATTTCAAGTAGCCTACGCCTGAACAGATTAGACAACACAAAATCAACAGAAAAGGTATTCTGTTGAATCTTCTTTTAGTAGGTGAAGAAGGCATAGGCAAAAAGACTTTCCTTAACACGCTTTGTAACCAAAAGTATTTTAAAGAAGAGCTTGAGGAGCAAGATGGTGACGAAACTACATTCAAAATTGAGAGACATATTGTTGGTAAGTAGAAAATGATTTTGCAACCACCGAGAAAACTTGAAACTAACCTTGCAGACGTCGTAGAACCGAATGCTACACCTATAAGATTAAAGACCTATCTCACAAGGAATTTTGGATTTAATTTGAAAAACTCAACTAATTCACTTCGTTTAGTCAAATTCATTGAACAAGAATTCGAAATGACATTTCAAGAGGAAATAAAAATTAACAGAAATCCAAGATTTGATGATAATAGAATTCATGTGGGTCTCTACTTTATCAGTCCCACTGGAAAAAGGTATGTCTATGTAACCAACATGGCCTCAAAAATCTTTACTAACAATTGCAAAAGCTTGAACGAATTCGATATTGACAATATGAAAAAGTTGGGTAGTAGAATAAACTTAATTCCAATTATAGCCAAATCGGATTCTCTCACTGATGAAGAAATGCAACTAAATAAAAGGTTAATTTTAGAGTCTATAAGAGAACATGAAATTCCAATCTTCAACTTCTTGGACGAGTTTGTTGATGATGAGTATGATTATCTCCGTACCTTGCAAGACAAACTACCTTTTAGCGTAATTTCGGCTAATTCCGGTCAGAAAAGAAAAACCATATGGGGAGAGATCGACGTCATGGATGCGTCTATATGTGATTTTCTGATTTTGAAAAACATATTATTTGGATCTCATATTCATGAGTTCAAGGAAATTACTGTGAACAAAAAATATGAAAACTATAGGATTCAAAAGCTATTGAACAGTAATACCAACGAACCAAAAACGCCAAGCTCTTTGAATATTAAATAAGGTAGGATATTTTCGCTCTTGCGATTTAGGATTACCCTTAATGCTATCATATCACTATCTTGCATTTAATATATTTTTGCTTTTACAGGAAAACAATAAGTCTCGCACAGGAGCCGAAGCCTGGTTCGCTCTCCCCGATTAAGAGCGGAAGTCCCTACATGAATCTATCAACAAGATGTGCGCGCCACAATGCAGTTATTACTCATTGGGTAGGTCCAACTTGCTATCTAGATGCAGAAGTACCCTACAAGGTAATTTGTTGGCAGGATCATTTTAGTTATCACTGGGGAACGCAAGAAAAATACTAATTCCTGTTTGCTTCGATTGTTTACCTCTCCGCAGTAAAAGAAAATCTTAGATATTCATAAAAAATAAATTAAGTGATATTGTAATGATGATCGTAGGAGGAATAAAAAAATTTAATAATACATAAGCTTACAGAAATGAAAGAATTATGAATTCATGATATGAATTGAAAGAACATGCGTTTCGCTTGACATTATTTTAGTAGTTCATGCACAGACATCTTTTTTGGCTTATCCAATTTATCACCTGTATAACCTGCATCGCCTGTATCACCTGTATCATTATCATTTTCTTCGTCTTTCTGGTTATGGTCATTATCAGATTCATTGCCCTGATAAGTTTTCTTCTTTTGTTTTGGATTTGCTAAACTATCGTATCCTAAGCAAACTTTCTTTGATCGTTCGCAGTTGAAACAGTGAGGTTTACGTTCGTCACATTTTATCCTCCGTTTGCGACAAGTCAAACAACCCGTCCTGGTACGCCTCTTAATGATCCTGCGTTTGTTGATCAAAGCAGTTTCATCAATCGAATCCTTATCAGGCCCATGATGATGTACAGGATGCAAGAATTGTGGCATTCCTGAAACATTCGTCATCGGTGGTTGATTCATTTGATGCAAGTAAGGCTGTTGTGAAACATTGTGATGAAAGTAGGAATCGATAGTAGAGTACATTGGCTGAGGAGGAAAGTTCAAATTCGGGAAGGAAGCTTGACTTGGAGGTGGAGCAGTATGATGTCCAAGTCCAGGGCCGGGTCCCGGGTTTTGTATTGCAATACCGATAGGTAATGGTCCATGAGGAAAATTAGAAGTACCAGGTGCAACAGAATGGCCCAATCCCTGCTCAGAGCCAATTGATGAACCTTGAGATCCTATCGTTGACGTCGGAAGAGGTATCGTCATTGTCGAGGATGACCTCAGGGTCACTTCAGGACGCAGCCTTAAAGGTATTATGGGTGACGAGTTTAAAGTGAATTGAGTATTCGACGAGGAGTTTCTTGTCAAAGATCCACTCGAGGAGCTAAATGAAGCCCTTTGATTTACCCTGTAGTTCTGATTTTCAATATGACCAAAGTAATCATTGGGTACCGCCGAAACACCACTAATTAAAGTATTCCCAGAAGCGCCATGATATATAAAAGGGTCAGTCAACCGCCTTCCCCATATACTTCCCATAGCAGCCAGTGAATGGGAATTTCGACGTGTATTTTCATCACCATGGCCAAGTCCTCCTACATTACTGAACTCTTCGGCAGAGGGAACTCGGGGAGTACTTTGCTTTGAAGATCCATTTTCCTTCTGCGAGTCGGCGATGACACCCTTATGGTCTCTAATTAATTCCGAAACAGAAGGTAGTTGGGGCATTTTGCTCCCAGCAAGCGGTATAGTTAATTGAGCCTGAATTTCGACCTCTTCTATACTGCAATCTTATAGCGTTTCAGTAGACCCTTATATACGACTTATTACACCCCTGGTTACAACTCAAGCTTATCTTCTCTGCGCTTGAGTAACCGAATACAACAGACAGCACTTTACGAATATTTCCTTGACTTCTCTTAACTTCTCCCCCCTATGTTGGTGCGGATTTCAAAATTATATATACTTAAAACTTTGATACCACTCGAAAATGCGCGTCCTGAGTCCTTATCCAAGTTCGGATGAGCTCAAATATATATGTATAATAAAATTTTATTATAGATTGACCAAGATGTATTGTACTTCATACGCTACCCATCATGTAGTGACTCCTGAACATTCTATTGTATTAAAATTGAAAGTTGGACAACCTATTTCCAAATCCGTCATTCACAGTCATACCGTGCCCTAGATGCTTGAATTGCTTGCTTTGGGCTCTTTTTCTGCATTATATTCAATTCGCTATAAGTTTCCAAAGTCGAGGGCACGCTTTCAGCCAGTTATGGCGCGCAAATAACCTTGAGTAGTCCCATGGCAACGTAGCTAGGACAAAATAGAGGCGACCGCTAATGGCAACAAGTACTGGCTCCCCAACCAAATTGAGGTTACGAGCCTGCGTTTCATGTTAGCCGAAATCTAATTTAGTGCTATTCTATTGTGTTGTTGCTGAGGAGAGTGCTTCTTGCATTGCAAGATAGTGGTACGCAACGTACCGCACGTCTACGCACCGAGAGCAAACCGTACAAGGAAAGTACTTTTGCGCGCTTAAGAGGTACAAGCGCGGCGTATTGAAGAAAGTGGGTTGGCTTACTATTTGCATCCTGTCATTCTGTGTAGTGTGGCACCACAAAAGGGACCGAAATGCCAAGGTTGCGATCCAAGGCAACATTGTGAGAGAAAGGAACAAAAGCTTAAATTGCGAACAAATGAATTTACAGCCCTTAATGATAGAGAGTGACTTGCATCAGTAAACCGCTGCCGCTTATTTTTTAACGTTGAATCCAAACAGCAAATTAGATCTCCTACCGGAGTTGACAGCGGAGGGCTGGTCAGGATTTCGCTTCTGGAAAAAGCTTATCTTGGTAGCGAACATGCGGGGCAGGCACGCACATGAATCCAGACTAACCTTGGCAATTTAATCTAACGTGTCGAATGACTAAATTTTGTTCAGTGCCGCTACGCAACAGAAAGTTTGCCGTTTTGAATACGTCACTTATTCTGATTAAGTCCTCCAAAGCAATAAGTCAACTACGAAACGTTTTTTCAATGATTATACGGAAATGTCGGCTATCGACAAAGCTGTTTTGATTATTTTGAATTATTTCTCTATCTGTTTCTGCGTTTATACGAATGAAAAAAAAAAGAATACTGTGGGGATATATATGCGCATGCATTACTACGCTGTACATTATCGCAAGATATTTTACTAACGAAAAATATTGTAATGATGCTTTAAAAGGTATCGACTTAAAGTGGCTCAATTAAACTGTCAATACACTATGAACATTAAGAGTGAGAAAAGAAGAAAATGAGCAGAGATTTCGTATGGAGGACTGAAAAGCGTATATGTATTACGCCTGTATTCCAAGTGGGGGGACTAATTTCTACATCATCAAGATTATTCCGCCGCATATCTAATACCTCAGCCCCCTATTTGACTCGTTCCCTCGTATGTGTGGAAGGTATAAGGCTCGGCTCTGCCGTACGAGCCGGGGTCTCGTAACATCTTTGCTTGCTGATCGCTAGGCTTTTGGCAGGATGGGCCTGTATAGATTCTGCTGGCCGATGTTAAGTGACACAGAGTCTCTCTGCGGCGTTCCGTGCTCTTCGTTTTGTTTTTCTCACGTTTATGTCATGCGTTCTTGTTGTTTGTAAACAAACTGTCGTCATCATCCTATTTTGACTGACATTCAAGCATTCGAGAGTCCGTGTCACCACTAGACTCTAAACAATTGACTCGTTTATCTGTTTGATTAAGTTATTACTTGTCCTTGAATTAGTATCAAAAATTTGAGGTTTCCTATTTACAGATTGCTGTAGACTGCTCCATATCATGGATGAGAAATCTTATCTTGAAGATGGTTTTGATCCGAAATCATTGAAAGTTGCCAGCCTCAGAGGTATTTTAAATGAACACAAGGTTCTGTTTCCCTCGAATGCAAAGAAGCAAGACTTGATTAATATTTTTAATAGTAATATTAAGCCTCAAGCAAAGCTGCTCCTTGACAGCTACAAGGATTCAATAGGAAATTCGAATGGGGAAGGCTTCGAAAACATAGTAACAAAGGAGGAAACAAAGCCGAAATCAAGAGCAAGGTCTAAAACTCCCAAACAGAAAACTCCAACGCCAGTTTCTTCGTCTGTGTCACCTAAGGAAGAATCAAGTAGTTCTTTTACTAATGATAACGTATTTCAATCATCTCAAGGAACATCAGAAAGACATAAGAAGTCTAGAAAGAGATCACACCCAGAGGAGAAAGGAACTCCAACTAATAAGAAAAAAGTAAAAGCTAAATCCACGGATAATGAGAAATCAATATTTGATGATTCAAGCGATTATAGTGAAATCGGAAACTCGTTCCTGGAGGCGACAACCGCTAGGAGATCTAAAACTCCCGAGAAATATTCTGAAACGACAGTTGGAAAGAAACTCAAAAGTGACTCAAAAATTAAAACAAGCCCTAAGATACATGGATCTTCTCCAAGCGCAGCTCACTTGTCTAACGAAGACACTGTTGTACAAAATATGGACCTGAAAACTAAAATTTCAAGCGTTAAGACTCCTCAGAGTAAGGTTCCTTCTCAGAAAAATACACCGAAAAAGAAAGATGCAACGCCTAAACGAACGCCGAAACGAACACCTGTAAAATCTCCGAAGTCCAATTCTGTGAAAAAGAGTGCAAAAGAGGAAGGTGTCGAAACAAATAAATTTGACAAATATACATCATTGGAAAAGGAAGCATCTAATTATGATCGACAATTAAAGATGATTAAAGAAAAGGAATCTAATAAACTTGCGTCTGATCTAGGTATCAAGATCCAAGGGTTACCATCTCAAAATTTCGTTTTAAATAAAGATACTATTGAGCTTCCCAAGAAAAAAGCAGCAGGACCACTGTTAGAGTCATCGTTGAAACCTAGGCGTAGAATTATACCAGAGCCAACTTTAGATAGCCTCGAAGCAAGTGACGATGACAAAGATTTGGGTTCCGAAAGTGAAGTTGAAGAAGATCATCGGGCTTCATCATTTGAGGATAATTTGAATAAGATAAAGACAAATTTACGTGCAGATTTTGCAAAGATCAACAGGAGCATTAGCGGCCGTAAGACATCGTCAGGTATAGTCTTCGGTTTCATTTTCCTTTGGTTTATATTAATTTCTGCGGGATTGTTTGGTTATTGGTACAGAGAACAAACAATTATGATAGGATACTGTGGAGAAGAAATAGATGTTCCCACATTCTCAAAGTCGGAGGGCATGCCTTCACTTTTGGTGAGTATGGGAGACTATTTGGACGCAAATTTCAAACCATCTTGCAAACCTTGCCCGCCACATGCAAGATGTTTTCCTTACTTGGAAATAGGTTGCTACGAGGATTTCATGGAAGCGAAACCTTGGTTTGCAATGATTAATCCATCTCTTAAAACGTGCGTTCCAGATACGAGGAAAGCAGAAAAGTTGGAGACTATGATCGATGTTGCATTAGATATGTTGAGGTCTAAGAATGCTCAAAGAAATTGTGGGACAGCTCCCAAAGAGGATCTTGAAGCTGGAATCAGCGTCGACACTTTACATGATTTGTTATTCCTAATCAAAGCACCATATATAACTACGGAAGAGTTTGAAGATTTATGGAATAGATCTGTTGTTGAGCTCCAGAAAGAGCCGGAAATAATTGTAAGGCAAGTTTTGAATTTTTCTTTTACAAATGAAATTTTTATTTTCAAGATGAAACAATTTACTAACAATTCTTCTAGACAGGATACTGGCTTAATAACATACCTGCCGTTGGAACTAACATTGACAACGCTGACAAAAAAGCAGAAAACAAGGTTTTTCGATCGATATCCTTATCAAACATCTCTATGAAATGTCATTTACAAAATTCTCTTTTCCTGACCCTAATAAGATATAGGCTATCGATATTTTTAGGCCTTTTCTTTGGACTCAGTATGAAAATATTAAGCATTAAACTAAAGAAGAGAAAAACAGAAAATATAAAGGTGGAAATAGTGTTCAATGAAGTGCTTAAAAAATTAAGCAAACAAAAAAAGATTTCCCTTTCGAACTCTCTCGTTCCGTCATATATTGGCTCAACGCACTTAAGAGATTTGATATTAAGCAACGAAAAGAACCTAACTGCAAAGATGAATTTTTGGAATAAAGTTACGAAAAAAGTTGAATACAACTCAAATGTTCGGTCGAAACTAATTGAGAATCATGGAGAAATTATGAAGGTCTGGGAGTGGATTAGCGACATTGATATTGACAATTAAACTAATTTTAAGATATATCAATTATTCCTTATATACGTTATTATATATATACACATTTACCTATATAGTATATCATACAAGCATTTTACTGCAAACAGCAAAAATATGAAGTATCGCCTTCAATGTTATACCACTAGCTTCAGGATATTAGCGGAAATATCGAATGTTCCATCCTCATCATTTCCAGCTAAGCCTTTCTCGAATATTTCTTTTCCCGTTAGTTTTCCTTGATGCATGTCTACATACCTCTTTCGATCTATCAGTTCAACATTTCTCTCATTTCTGAAATTAACTCGCCATTCAGACCAAGTTTCTTTCGTGACGGGCGTACCTTGAAACTTCTTCTGCTCTTCACGTTCCTTTTTCAATAATATATCTTCGTACACTTTATGTTGCTTATCTAAGTTCTTTTGAAACAATTCTTCTGCTTCATCCTTTAGCTGAGTTACCAAAGTAAATACTGAGGGCATTCCAAGTTGTTGTTCTGCCTCCTCATTCAAGTTTGAGAGCAAAATGCTCAAATCGGATTGCAGGAACTCAATTATTTCTGATAATGTGGCCAATAAAGGACCATCATCATCACCGTTTTCTCCAACGTCCTGATTTACAGTACATCCTTCAGAAACCAGTACTAATTTTAATTGGGGAACTACCTCAGGGTACCTTTCAGGATAGGTAACCTCCAATAGTAAAGCATGGTTTCGATCCGATGCAGTGTCTAAATTGACCTTGATACCAAAATGAACGTCCGAATATTTCTCTAGTTCATCAGGATATATAGATTCTATGACTTCAAGCTCCTGCTGCTGTTCTTCAAGTGGATCCATCTTCGAGTCAGAAATGTAAATGAATGCAAGACTCTCATCTAGGACCAGAAAAAACCAAGCCCACATACTGCGACATTTTAATATGTCGTATTTTAAAACTCCTTGAAAATCGATTAAACTTGGTGTGTTTCACTTTTACCCTTCAAGAGACAAGCTTAATACAGCGAGCTGAGACAGTCAAAGAAGGTAATTTCATACTTTTTACATCATTCATTTGAATACGCTTGTCTGTGTATTAAGAAATTATATTGACGGATATTTGACAAAGAACGAACTAAGAATAGGATTTCGTTGTTAAGTCTTCCCTGCTGCATATAAAAGATTAAAACAATTACTTGACGTGAACCATACCAGATACTACAGACCATAGAAATATGTCTGGAGGGAAGCATAAAGAACGACCATTCAGGTCTCTCTTTCCGTCATCTACATCCATAAAAGACTTTGCATATCCTCAATCTCACCCTATGAGAAGTGGGGACTTCATTCTTTCCCTTCATGATAGCATAGTGAACTATCACGAAGATGACACGCTTAGTTTTAATGATGGTTTTGAAGGATACAATAGCATTCCAGAATACTCTTCTGATGAGATTAATTGCAAAGCGATAGCTTTGTTTGATTTTACACCAGAGAATGATAATGAAGTGGCATTAAAAGAAGGGCAGATGATTTGGATATCATATAGACACGGGCAAGGATGGCTTGTCGCTGAGGATCCTGAAACAGGAGAAAACGGGCTTGTCCCAGAGGAGTACGTCGAGGCTATTTATGAGACGGAAGATGATATTGGCGAGGAAGACATACCTAAGCCTTTTCTTCCGGGAATACTTCAGGGCTATAGTAATACTGAGACACCGAAAGAGAATGAAAGCGAAAGTGATTGGGTTGACACAGACTACGACGATGAAGACAATAATGGCGACGATCATGAAGCTAATAACGAATTTGATCATCAAATTACTGCAGCTAATTCAGATCGAATGAATAAATTGCTGAGTGGTGTAGAAGGCATCTCATTAAGATAACTTGTATTTAATATCACCTTCCGATGATTTGTATTACACATTTATTGTCAATTGAATGCATGTACATAATATTATAAATTTATATTTATGTGCAGTATGTTATTACTGTAGAGATTTTTTTCAAGTGACATACTTGAGACTACGATGAAAGAGCTTAGAATCCAAGAGATGAGCCATGATGCTTACCGCCCTAATAGAAGTAACAGAGTCTTTCAGGGAAATCCTAATTTCGTGAGCTTTTATAACAGGGAGGTGAAAAGCTTCTTTTCTACATCAGAATCCAATGGTGGACTTAAAAGCTCTAAAGTCTATAGTTCAGGAACGTCATATTATCCTGATGATGTAGAATATGGTCTACAGGGAGGTAGTCTTTGGACCCCAGGCGAGAAAGAAATTTTTTTTACCTCCCTATCTAGAAACTCTATTAACAGAATTGATGATATTAAAGAAGCTTTGCCTAATAAATCACACATCGAAATAATGAACTACTATAACACTTTGAAAAAGGAATTGATTAATATAAAGAAAAATGGAAGAAAAATCAAGCGACACAAATTGCAAAGTAGGCTAGGTGAAGATGAAGGTCGATTATTCAAAATGGTACGAAATTCTCGTAACTTAATTAGATACAGTGAATTACCGATTGCATATGAAATGAGCGAGTATTTTATCAAGTTTGAAGAAATACAGAGTAATTTGATATCCAAGTTTGAGCGAAACAAGAATAATGACGAAAATCAGAGATTCAAATCTTTTTTTTCTACCTACAGTTCGCCTGCTGATGAAAATCGAGAAGACTCTTCTTTAATAGATTGCGAAATGGCGACGAGCTTAACTAATGAACTCTATAAGCACAATCAAATCACTCCGCTCTCTAATTTGAAGTTGGTACCTAAGCTTCTGTTCAAATCGTTGATCTTATTAGAGGAGATTACTTCTTCAATTTTACGGCAAATAATGTGTAAAGTGATCGAATCTAAAGTTGTAAGGAATTGGCTAAACGACCGAGAGCCGCAACGTGAAATAAACATCAAGAAGGCTGATATTAGAAAAGCGATAGAAAATTTGGGCTATAGAGATCCTAATAAGAACTTTAACCTTCTGAAGTATTTCTATGATCTAAAAAAAAATTTACATATTGACATAGTAAATGACCTTCAAGATGAACCATCGATAATGACGGATGATGAATATGAAGAATTCATATCTAATAAGAACAAATTAAGAAAAAATAATCAGCTTAGAAAATCAAAGCATATGGCAACTGGGTTGACGATCTTTGAAGGGACGAGTAATATCGAGCCGTTTGTTCTTGAGGATTCAAATGTTCAACCAGTTGCAAGTAATAGTTTGATACATATATCATCGCTATCTTCCAAAAACAGAACCTCGTTGGATAGTGATCGCTCTCGGTCACAGATTAGTTCAAAAATTATCATCAGGGAATCCCAAAAGTTGGAAGACTTTGATAGAATGAATTCTCGAGTATATGAACATGCCTTGCTAACATACATGATAAGTAATAATATTGATATAAATGAAGTGAATAAGTCTATATCAAATGATGCAGATGCCGAAGAACTATTAGAATTATGGGAAGAAGAGCTTAATTTGAAGAATAATAATCAATTTGAACCACAAGAAGACGAATCAATCCAAGATGAAATGGAGAATAATAGCCAAATTGATATAAAGCTACCTATTGAAATAGATGGAGAAGTGCTTGATAACTTTGACTTTCAATTTGCGAGCTACACAGATGAAGATGAAATCGAGAATGACAATTATGACTTTTATTAGCTTCTAATGACAGCACATGAAGAGCTTCAGAATTGAACGGTGGGGCTTCCAGAATCAAGCGCCGCAGTGATAAATTAATAAGACATCAAAACATATTACCGAGAGATTAGCAGCAAGAATTAGATGGTTTTTGTAACTCATGAGACGTTTGAAGATGCCGTTTTCGTTTTGTACGGAAAAATCATAGTAACAGCTATAATCTTTGAAGCCCTTCATGTTGTAAACTATTGAATTTATTTCATATAGAACGAATTGGTAAATGCAATAAAATTTCATGGAGAACTGGGAAATTTTGTAGATGCTGATCAATGCCTGATTCTCAAGCTGTGGAAAATTGAAATTAATGAATATGAATGAATGGCTCAACAAAATTGGTAAAAAGTTATTATTTGCATCTATGAAAAAGCTCAATAGCAGAGCTTCTTTTGGTGATTTAAAATGTTCAATTGAATTGATCAAAAGAACTAAATAGGGACACATAATCTGAAGTGAAATAAATCTGCGGAACCACACGTTCAAGTTTAGGAAAAGTAAAGAAACGTTTGGGTCATTGCCAAATACTAATTGATAGCAGCAAATATTTTGGATAAAAAAGTATATTATTTCAACTATCAAGCTAGTACTGTAAGCGAAACAAAACCTCACCACGAATGCGATGTTAATCATTGCTGAAAGCATATCTAGTACATAGTCAGGAATTAAAGAAAGTGTATTCTGTCCTTCCGAGAAAGTATGACGATACTGACTGTACCATATGACCGCGATAGATAGTATTATCAAAGTACTTGAAACAAGCGGATTGTGCAATCCCTGACACAAATAAACATCTATAAATTTTACCCAGCCATTGTATGTAACTGGCGTTAGGCCTTTTGCCATATTTCAGTACTCGCTGCTATCTATGGGACCTAAACTTCTAGTTTGATTTCGATACACCTAAATTCTGTTGAGGTTTTAATGAACGATTCAAAATATTGCTCTATAAATCTTACTGTTTATAATGATGTATTACTTTTGTTCTATGGCAACCTTCTGGGTTTTAAACTGATTTGCGGGCAACATGCCAGTCTTTATAGTCTGCATTTCCCAAAAAAAAAAAACGCATTTGTGGACCCATGGGGGCCCATGAGATTTTTTGCTGCTGCCTAAGCTCTTTCTACGATTTTGAAGCAAAAGACAAAAATTTTAGCCCTGTAAATCTGACAGCCAGGAGATCCCGTGGATGTGCTGTTTACCATTAAGGGCATTTCAGGAACTGAAACCTTCATTATAGAATTTTATATGATAAGCTTCTGCCAGATGATTAGTCTCAAGACCAGTGTCAATTCAATTCTGCGAATTATTTTATCGCCAAGACTTTTTTGCAACATAACGTGTGCTGCCTTTCTCTCTGCATGTTTATTGTCAGCGTATGAAGACTGTATATGCAACGAAAGAAGGAGAAAGTGAGAAGCACGTGCGGGCAAATATTTTTCCCCCTCGTGCACATTTTAAGTATATCCCGATGTAGTAATCTAGCGCGATGGTTCGGTTTGAGCCGGATTTTGCAATTCTAGAGTGAACTATTAAAGTCGGAAAATGGGTGTGGCGTGACATGAGAGTGGTCGAATCACTCATAGAGCGAGAGATTGGTCGGAAATCTTATTTCATTCTATCGTGCGATTACCAGCATCGTCGGTTGTGACACTTCGATCCTTCATTCAGTTAGCATGGCGTCCTTGTTCACCCAGAGCTGCCAAACTAACTTTAAAGTGGACACCTTTCAAGAACAAAAACTACTTATACTTAATCAATTGTTGATTTCTAGATAAGTTTTATTTTAATCTTTAACATTAGCAAGCTATACAATGACTCAGGTTTACTTTGACGTTTCTGCTAACGGCACCAAGTTAGGTAAAATTACCTTCAAGTTATACAACGACGTTGTACCAAAGACTGCTGAAAATTTCAGAGCTTTATGTACTGGGGAAAAAGGTTTTGGATATGCTAATTCCACTTTCCACAGAGTTATTCCTCAATTCATGTTGCAAGGTGGTGATTTCACCAGAGGTAATGGAACTGGTGGCAAATCCATCTACGGTGAAAAGTTTGCTGATGAAAATTTCTCAAAAAAGCACGACAAACCTGGCTTGTTATCAATGGCTAATGCTGGACCAAACACTAACGGATCTCAATTCTTCGTTACAACCGTTCCTTGCCCATGGTTAGATGGTAAGCACGTTGTTTTTGGGGAAGTAACTGACGGTTTTGATGTTGTCAAGAAGATCGAATCTTACGGTTCAAGCTCTGGTGCTACTAAAGCAAGAATTACAATTGATGCTTCTGGTGAATTGTAATGATTCTGGGTGATTTTTTTTAACTTAGTTCACCATTTTTTCTCTCTATAGCGATTTATTGTTTAAAATATACATCTGTTGAAGAGAACTATACGATTAAAGCTTTGCATTCAAAATAGCATCATACCCACTGTATTTCACTCCTCGTTCGACTTCTCTACCAAGATACTTGATTTTTCTGCTTGAATCAACAAGCATGGCATAACGTGCAGACCTGATGCCCATACCTGAAGCTGTTGCATCATTGAATAAGCCATATTCTTTGCTAAAAGATGCATTAGGGTCGCTAGCAAATATCAACTCTGGTAAGTCTCCGCTCAAATCTACGGGTTCGAGAAGTAACTTACCCCATGCATTCAAAACGAAAGCATCATTTGTACTAAGAATTACTACAGCACCAATATCTTTGTCCTTTTTCAAAGTATTCAAATGATCTAAAAAGGGAGGAATATGATTTTCAGTACATGTGGGTGTAAATGCACCAGGAACAGCCACAAATAAGATGTTTTCAGACAGGTGCTTTTCGAACAACTTATCTAGAAACAACTTAATGGGCCTCGAGCATGATAATGGATCCTGCTTTCTAATTTCAATGTCAATTGGAATATAATTGAACTCAACTCCTTTTGGGAATGTATCTCCTTCTGTCAATGTCATTTTAAGTCAGTAACAACGGTTACGATTCTCTTAATAAAAATGATTTATGGGTCAATCTTACTGTGAATATGATGTCGGGCTCCACCGATTCAATATCTTAAATGTCGCAAATGTCGCAAATGTCGCAACTGTGAATTTTATATAACTAAGAGACATCTCATTTGTGTACCTAATTTGTCAGAAAAGTAAACAAACGTAATATATTGTTCACTTGTAGTAAGTAAATTGAAAACTTTGTTCTATTGAGTGATTTCATTGCGAAATTTGACGAATTGAACTCCTCACTTAACTTTCTGAGAGTGCCATTTCTATCTCATCTAAGGCTGAAGGTTCTTGTGGGACAAAATATAAACGTTGAGCTGCATTTGTTAGCTTTTTCTTTAACGAGTTTTAAGGGTTTGCTTCAAGAACAGCTCTAGTAAAATGTCCAATGGCACATTCTTCGATTCACCGAAGGGAGACAATATTGAAAATACTAGTGTACGTGCCGAGAGTATCAAATCAAGTAATCCGAAGAAGAGAACAGTTTATCATGGGTCACCAATCATTGAGAATTCGTCCTTTTCTTCTCCCAATAAGCGGCCGTATTTACAGAGCATGAGTCCAAACGTCTCGAGAAAGATAGTTTACTCCAGCTCAATGAGCAATTCTGATAAAGGACTTCCTCCATTGAGGGCGCCTATACCAAATGCGAGGTCGAGATCGTCATTACTGGTTACACCGAAGGTTTCATTGAGTCCTAAACACAAATTGAGGAGAACAAGCTCTTTATTGTCTGCATCTTCAAATTCATTTGATAATCTGCAATCATCGGCATCAGACAGATTTATCCCTTCCAGGCATAATTCTACCACTGGGAAACTTAAAACTACGCATATAGAGCCTCATCCGAATGCATCACCTCAGACCCACATAAAGGCTCAAACATCAAAAATATACCAAACACACGTAGCCGAAGCTTGTGGTTTGGAAATGCACTCAAGAATCTTACAATTTCAACCACAACCTCCAGAAAGAAAGAAACCAATCGACTTTTTCAGCCTGAAATCTCTGTCATTCAAATCATCAGTTTTTAAGAGTTTGAAACCAGCTGCAGCATCTGCAAGGGCTAAAAAAATTCCAACAGCTCCTGAGAGAGTTCTTGATGCTCCAAGCTTAGTTGACGATTTTTATCTCAATTTATTAGCTTGGTCACTGACAAACTTACTCGCAATTGGCTTAGAAGATGCCATATATGTATGGAATGCTTCTTCGGGGTTTGTTGGATTGCTATGCGAATTACCTAGCAAAACACTAGTAACATCACTTCGGTGGTCTGACGATGGCTCATATATCTCAATTGGTAGAGATGATGGTCTAATTGAAATTTGGGATATCGAAACTAATTCGAAGTTGAGAACATTAAATTGCGATAATCATCAAACGCGAATAGCATCCCAGAGTTGGAGCCAACACATTCTTACAAGTGGTTCACGGCTTGGCACTATTTATCATTCTGATGTTAGGATTGCACCTCACTTCATTAATAAATTAGATGACTCGCATACTGCAGAGGTTTGTGGTATAGAATATAGGAATGATGGCTTGCAGTTTGCAAGCGGAAGTAACGACAACTTAGTGTGCATATGGGACGCTAGACAAACGCATTCATTGACAGCAAACGGAAATAGCTCTAGCCAGCCGATATATAGTAAGAGAAGCCATAGGGCTGCGGTCAAAGCTTTGAGTTGGAGTCCATTTCAACTGTCACTTCTTGCGACAGGTGGTGGCTCGAATGACAAAACTATAAACTTCTGGAACACTAGCACCGGCGCGAGGGTGGATACAATTGAGACTGGATCTCAAATCAGTTCACTTAACTGGGGATACGCCTCGGGCACTGGAATCGAAATTGTCGCGACACACGGATTCCCGACTAACAACATATCTTTGTTTAATTATCCAACGTTGCAAAAGACAGGAGAGATCTTAAGTGCTCATGACTCAAGGATATTGAGTGGCTGTTTGAGTCCTGATAACTTAACGTTAGCAACCGTCGCGGGTGATGAGAATTTAAAATTTTGGTCATTGTTCGATCTATTCAAGTACGGCCGAAGAGAGGGTGGGGATAGACTCGATAACACTTCTCACGGTGATCTCGTTAAGAATAATGACGGGGACAGTATTAAAAAAATGATAAACATTCGTTAGTTAAGGAACTACATCATATAGACCTTATATAAAGCAAACTGTAAAGATAATTACAAAATTCAACGTCTCTTTATGAGGTGATGTCGTTAATAAAAAAAAAAAAACATTCGTGTGATCATCAACACTATATGCACCCGTAAAAGTCTGAAGCATGAGCAAAACATAAAGCTCACTGATTAACAAAACCTTGAATTTGCTATTTATTGGACGATCAATCTCGATACCTGTTTATATATATACGTGAAGGTCATCATATCCGTAAATTTTTAGAAGTATTGAATCAACTTAAGCATTACATTTATTTTTAGTTGAAGAGCTTTTTGCCCCCTTGAGCCGTATATAATAAAAGTGCTAATAGTTCAAACCACGTTTGAAAGTATAATTTAGAACCACAGCAAGATGTCAACAGATGGAGAATTCACGAGGACTCAGATATTTGGGACTGTCTTCGAAATCACCAATAGGTACACAGACTTAAATCCTGTTGGTATGGGAGCATTTGGACTTGTGTGTTCAGCAATCGATAAATTGACAGGTCAGAATGTTGCTGTCAAAAAGATTATGAAGCCTTTTCTGACTTCAGTATTGGCTAAACGTACTTATAGAGAGTTGAAGTTGTTGAAGCACTTGAGACACGAAAACTTGATTACATTAGATGACATTTTCTTGTCCCCCTTAGAAGACATATATTTTGTGACAGAGTTACAAGGAACAGACTTACATAGACTTTTAACCTCAAGACCACTTGAAAAACAATTTGTACAATATTTCACTTACCAAATTTTGAGGGGGCTAAAATATGTTCATTCAGCTGGCGTTATCCACCGCGACTTAAAGCCTTCTAATATATTGATCAACGAGAATTGTGATTTGAAGATTTGCGATTTTGGTTTAGCAAGGATACAAGACCCCCAAATGACTGGATATGTTTCCACAAGATACTACAGGGCACCGGAAATCATGTTGACGTGGCAGAAATACGACACAGAGGTAGACATATGGTCTGTGGGCTGTATTTTAGCCGAAATGATTGAGGGAAAACCTTTGTTCCCTGGTAAGGATCATGTACATCAATTTTCAATAATAACCGAGCTTTTAGGCTCTCCTCCTCCTGACGTGATTGAAACTATTTGTTCAATCCTTACCCCATAGAGACCCAATTCCGTTCAGTGAAAGATTTGCTCAATGTACCCATGTTGAGCCTGAGGCGATTGATTTATTGGCTAAAATGTTAATTTTTGATCCAAAGAAGAGAATCAGCGCTGCAGATGCTTTGACTCATCCATACATGGAGCCTTACCATGATCCAACGGACGAGCCTATTTGTGAAGTGAAATTCGATTGGAGTTTTAATGATGCGGATTTGCCAGTTGATACTTGGAGGGTAATGATGTATAGCGAAATCCTTGATTTCCATCAAATTGTTGGTGCTGGTGGCCCTGGTCATTCAATTCCACAAGAGGAAGAGCTAGCTCAAATTCAAAAGGAGGGAATTCAAGCACCAATAACTTCACAAAAACATGAGCAAAAAGTAGAGTAAGTTCGTTCGTATTTCTCGATAGTAGGTATGAGTGTGTATTTTCATACCTCTGTATAGTAATATTTCAGTATGTTGCTAATGGAGCTAGTATAAAATTTCGATTTTTTCGCGGTAGTGACGAAAGTTTGAGTTTTTGCTCTTTAGTTAATGTAGATTAGTAAAGTCTGCTTATGCCGTCAGACGTTCAACCTCAACAAAAATTAGCATGCGACAACAAGGCTTCATTCACTAAGATAATTAATGATCATCTTTCAGTTACATGTGTTTATCTAAACAAGCAGTCGAAGTTTCGAAGTGAGTGTTTACTATCGTTCAACAATACTCTGAAGGATAAGAAAGTCTCAATTAATTCCCGTGAGCCTGATCATAATGTTCAAGATACTGAGGAAAATGATTCTAGTTGGCTCAGTAATATGTTCGGAGGAGCTTCACTGGAGCTGAAGTTAATTAATAGCCTGCCCTCTAATGACATACATATCTATTTGGGATATATACAGTTGTTTGGTTATATACTACTTAATTATAAGTATTCGATAGCATCAGCATCATATCAAATTAATAGATCACAGAGGAATTCCTCTTGGTGGGAAAATAAAAACTATGCAGAGTATTATCACGATGAAGAAGAAGATGAGGAAGAAGATGACGACGTAAAGGAAACTATCTTGGACAATGTTCCATTCATAAGGGAAAACATGTCGAGAAGATTAGTTATTGGTGGGAAGCTTGGAGGACTTAATGACTTGGATATTGAAGGAAAGGGCCAAATTAGAGAGAGTGAGAGATATTTAGTTCAAGATTTACTTTATCAATTTAATTCTTACGAGACTCCTAAGCTGGGGCAAGGATCTACAACAAACTCTGGAATGTTACCATTAAGCGAGTTAGTGGACTCTATAATACCCATTTTCACTACGTCTCAATCTCTACTATTCACCGACATTACACTTCCACCATTATCGAGCAAAACTTTTCATGTGACCTTTCCAAAGCCCAAGGGGTTGGCCCCGTCTTACAATTCACGACTGACTGGCCCTGTATGTGATCAAGGATTGGTTTCTATAAAGTACTCTTTAGTGATGGGGTTCAGCTTACGACAAAGTAAGAAACCAATGGCAGTTTATTTTCCATATAATGTGACCGCAGAAAGACATGGGAATGACGTGAGATGGTTGCAGAAGGATTACCTTAAAGAAGTCATTGTTGATAAATCATGGCATGCAGATTTCAAGAATGATTTTAGTGAAACTGAAGATACAATCTCCAATGATAAACAAATCATTGACGCCAAGAGTTCGTTTTTTCAGGACCTATCCTACTTGATTAAATCGGACCTACATAATATGCCACACACATTGATATCAGACCGAAAGAAGAGTATCAGCCTAGCTGAATCAGATCATCATGGAGAATTGCCGCAACTACCTGCGAGTTTGAATAATCAATTTCTGGTCAAAGTCAATAAGAGCTCTCTCTGTTTGATAACTCTCAATAAGTCGTACTTTTTTTTGGGGGATGACATCAACTTTGTAATTGACATTCATCCACATGATATTAGTCTGGTTAAAGTGGTTGGGATCATAGCACATCTTGAAGCACAAGAAACCTTTCATAGTGAAAGAAACGGGAAAGACTTTGAATTTAAAAATGCTTATAAAGTAAGTCCTACTAAGAAGTTAAATTGTTTCGCGTCATCTATTCTTACCAATTCTACAAGCACATTGGTTAATGGAGCTCTCAACTGTCCTCTTTATCTAGCTTCGCAATTCCAGAGCTCTAATTTAATGAATCTAAGCTATTTTCTTGTGCTCAGATTTAACTATCATGATTTTAATGAAGATAGTCAGTTGGGGAATTCTGAAAAAGAGAATGGTCAGAGCATAAGTGTGAAAACAGGCGAGAGTACATTGCAAGAAGAAACGGCGGAGAATGAACATATGATACAAGGTTCTCAGACTCTTTTGGAGGAAGAAAATAGAAACAATGGAGTCGAAGCTCAATCATCATCCGACCCATTAAGCTTCGTAAATAAATACAAGTTTAACTGCGGAGGCGGTCAATTGAAAATCAAGTTACCTATATATTTATTACCTAGATAGAATAGCCTGAATCTCCTCATTAATTAATGAAAATTGAAAGAATAAACGTTTTTGTCACCGATCGTAACTTGTTTTGAAAAAAGTTCAATCTCAACATTTCCTAGTTGGGTAAACAATTTTTGTCCCGATTTGGTCAATCTATAAAACATCAAGTATAGGCTGCGTTAGTCTTGGTATTTACATAGACACAGTTTGGCCAATTCAGGTATTGTCAATTCCATAAACGCCAATATCTCTCCCGTACAAGGCAAATGCCTTTTAGGCCTATAAAGACGAATGCTTTTCTCTTTCAGATAGCCAGATATTAATTTGCATCAAGAGTATTGAGATGAGAATAACTAAAGTCGCAGCTAGTATACTTCCGATATTATCACTCGCAAGTGCGCTGCTTGTTACACCATCATCCGAGCCCTTGGATATCCGTGGAGTGTCAATTGAAGAAAGATCGATAGTTTCTTCGTTAGTGAATGAAGCAGAGGATTTTATTTCTAATCTTTCCCTAGAGTCCGTTGCCGGAACCATAAATAAGCTCTTAGTAGATGATGGCTTTGTTGACATACTTGATAATGTTTTAGAGGATGTGGCCAATACACACATTGTGCCAAGAGTTCTCTTGTATTTGATTTCCAATAACTACACGAAAGAATTTACTGGATGGGTGTTAAAAGAATCGTTGAAATTTTTGAACTCAAGCAACTCTACTGCAATATTTGTTGCTTTGGACAGGTCAGGATTGGCGTACTCTTTAGTTGCAAGTACAATTGAAGACCCTGACACTTTCCCAGCGGTCTTGAGTATCGCAAAAAAGGTAATAAAATCTGGGCTCAGGAACATTGACGACATATTCAGTAGCGATAACACTACCCAAAAAAGAGATAACATTTTTCCAGATGAGGGCATCTATGATTTAGTAGATGTTAGTAAGAGAGACAATGTCGACGACCTTTTAACCACAATTTTTGGTTCTGTTGCAAAATCTGGTATAATTAATGATACTGTTCATGAACTTATCACGAGTGAAGTCTTTCAGGACGAATTGGTTACGATAATCGATGGGTCGATTGACAACTTCAATTTGAAATCTACTATTGAAGGCTTATCTGCGTATAAACCTCTTCTAACTTCATTATTAGATTCCGGTTTGCTCAAGAATACACTCGAAGAAGCTTTACTGGATTCAAATTTAAGAAGTGCCCTTGGGGATGATCTAAAAGACTTATTTAAGAGGGATTTCATCATAGAAGAAGATGTTCTTGGAAATGAATTGAGAAGAGGCAGGAAGTTTTAAAGAAATGAAAATATATCTTCTCAATTAAAACTCTTCAAAAACCAAAAACTAGCCTCGTCCACGAGTACTGTCTCAATTATACCAACCTCATCATATTCGTGAAGGCACATTTATTGGATTTAAGAGTGAATTTGCGAAAGACATTTTGTCAGTTGTGGGCCCTTCGGCTTTAGTTCTAATTTAATATCGAAACTGGAAGGAAGAGAGTTTAGCTCGTTTTTATATACACGCATATTTTATAATATTTCAAAATACGATCTATCATGACTTTTGTGGGTATGGACGACCTGTAGAGCAACATATAAGTTCTTTCAACGACCATGTCAAAGTTTCTGACACCAAAAGAAGCGCATGAGCCAGATTTTAACGCCGATCCTCTGAAAAGCAAAGATAAGGATTATGAGAGCGAAGAAGTCCATAGATATGATAGTGATGATGACTTATCTGCATCATATAATTCAACCCACTTTTCAACTACGGAAGATAAAATTATGAAAGACCATGATCTAAAATTGAAGACTTTTGAAGCTCTTAACTTTGATTCTAATAATGGGGCAGCTTATAGCCCTTCGTCAACAATAAAAAGGAGATCTTCTGTCATAGATTTTCCTCCTCTGAATTTTCCAGGTAAGGTTCTTTACAATTCGAGATTCGATGGTTCCTCTAAAGTTGGAAAAGGGGAGGAAATTGCATCCAATGCTCACATGCTACCTGAAGGATATGCGTCAGACGAATTGATAGAGCTCTTTCAAAACGTTAAAACCTGCCTTGATTTGCGGCACAAATACTTAAACAACTCGCTTCAGTCGAATGAATTGGACAATCCTAAAAATGAGGATGGATGGGTGATATATCCACCGCCACCACGTCCAACTTATAAATCCAAAAACAGATTTAATCAATTACCTAGGAGTGCCTCCGAGAATGAGGAAGAGTTTGACTTTCAAAAGTGCTTAATACCTGAAAAAACAAATGATTATTATTTTAAGATAGATGATAATGATGTTTTTAACGCCTACAGAAGAGACAACGATGAGCCGATTTCCAAAGTCCCAAGTTTACGTGACTATTATGTAGACTTGAATAAGATCGCGAAGTTTTCATCTGACGGTCCCTCAAAATCATTTGCGTTCAAACGATTGCAATATTTGGAGACAAAATGGAATCTCTACTATTTGCTTAATGAATTTGAAGAAAATAAGCAGTCTAAGCGTAACCCCCATAGAGACTTCTATAATGTCCGTAAGGTTGACACCCATGTGCATCACTCGGCTTGTATGAATCAAAAACATTTGCTTAGATTTATTAAATACAAATTGAAGACAGAGCCTGACGAGCAAGTTATTTTCAGAGATGGTAAAATTTTGACGTTGGCGGAAGTATTCGAGTCCTTGCACCTTACGGCGTATGATCTTTCGATTGACACTTTAGACATGCATGCACATAAAGATACCTTTCACAGATTCGACAAATTTAATCTTAAGTACAATCCAATCGGTGAGTCAAGATTAAGGGAAATATTTTTAAAGACAGACAATTTTATTAATGGAAAGTATTTGGCTGAAATCACAAAACAAGTTTTTGAGGATCTTGAAAGCTCAAAGTATCAGATGAGTGAATTGAGAATCTCGATTTATGGTCGCTCAATTCATGAGTGGGACAAACTTTCGGCTTGGGTAGTTGATAATAAACTTTTCAGCCATAATGTCCGTTGGTTAATTCAGATCCCCCGGCTCTATGACCTATACAAGAAAAATGGAAATGTTCAGACCTTTAACGATATCTTGAGAAACATTTTTCAACCTCTTTTTGAAGTAAGCATTGACCCAAAATCTCATCCGAAATTGCATGTGTTTTTGGAAAGAGTTGTGGGTTTCGATTCTGTTGATGACGAGTCCAAAAGTGAGCGATTATCGGAGTCAAGGAAATATCCTAGAGCAACGGAATGGAATTTCTCTATCAACCCTCCATATTCGTATTATGTGTATTATCTTTATTGTAATATGACTCCTTTAAATCGATTGAGAGCTCAGTTAGGGTATAATACATTTGTCTTGAGACCACATTGTGGAGAAGCAGGGGATCCTGAACATCTCATTAGCACCTTTTTAACCTCACATTCTATATCACATGGAATTATGTTGAGAAAGCTTCCGTTCATTCAATACTTATATTATTTGGATCAAATTGGTCTAGCCATGTCACCTTTGTCAAACAATGCATTATTTTTGACGTATGATAAAAACCCTTTTTACACTTTTTTCAAGACGGGGTTGAACGTTTCGCTTTCAACAGACGACCCCTTGCAATTTTCTTACACTAAGGAGCCTTTGATCGAAGAGTACTCTGTCGCTGCACAGATATATAAACTTTCTGCCGTTGATATGTGTGAATTAGCATGTAATTCGGTTAAACAATCAGGCTGGGAAGTTTCAATTAAAAAACATTGGCTTGGGAAAGACTTTTTAAAAGGTGGAGTTGGGGGTAACAATATAGAAAAGACGAACGTTCCAGATATCAGAGCAAATTATAGAGAAGAAACTTTAAAAAGTGAATTAGACTTGGTAGATCAATATACCAAGTTAAAAAAAGACAATACATAGTCCCCTCTTGTTTTCTTGATTTCATAAACTGTTTTCTGTCATAAGTAGTAATATGCTATAAGATTATAAGATTTAATGATACGAATAGAAGTTCTTGTCCTGTGTGTAGTTTTAGATCGCTGCGACTCATAGTCATATTTCGATTTAAAGTACACCATTGCAAAGCACTGATTTCAGTAACAAGATGGTACATAATATCAAACAATTCAATCTTAACAACGAGTATAAGGCCGCTGATGCTGATATTCAGGCTGTATTAACGATCGCAGGATCAGATTGCTCTGGGGGTGCTGGAATCGAAGCTGATTTAAAGTCTTTTAGTGCCCACGATGTGTATGGCTTGACTTGTATTACAGCATTGACTGCTCAAAACACCCAAGGGGTCTATGCAATACAAAAGACTCCCCAAGAGTTTGTTCATAAAATCTTGAAAGCCAACTTTGAGGATTTTGTAAAGGGTTATGATAATCCTCCGTTGAAAGTAGTGAAGACAGGTCTATTAACATTAGATGCTATTAAAGCATTAAAGGATTACTTGCCACTCCTCGAAAACAACCTGATTAAGCTAGTTGTAGATCCAGTAATGATATCTACTTCAGGATCGCAGTTATTCGATGAGGGTGGAATGAAGTTATGCATCAATGAAATAATTGGAAGCAGCTACTTAGTCACACCTAACTTTGAAGAAGCGAAAGCTCTATGGCGTCTCACAAACAAGGAGGATGCAGCTGAACCAAAGATAAGATCATTGGATAGCTATTGCGAGTTTGTTGTTTCTTTGCAAAGAAGAATGGGTTGTAAAAACATATTAGTTAAAGGTGGTCATATACCATGGCATAGAAAAAGAGGCAGTCCAGTCGATGACATTGGTTCTGTAGATCAGAGAGACATTCTGATAATAGATATTTTGTACCAGTCTGAATGTGAGAAGGTGTCTGTTTTCGAGTCACAGTACCTCCCCTCTAAAGATAATCATGGCTCGGGCTGCACGCTAGCGTCATCAATTGCCGCTAACTTAGCAAATGGGAAGGAATTGAAAGATTCAATTTTGATCTCTATCAACTTCATTCATGAAGCTATGCAGCCTTTTACGAGGAAATTAGGGCATGGAAACGGTCCTTTAAACCATTTGGTAAAAGTTGAGACTAGAATCAGTAGAGTCCTTGATTCCAACTTGACAAACAAAGGTCCATTGATTCGAAAAGACAATGATTCCTTTTTGGAATTCTTCAAGTCTAATCCTAAAATAAAGGACAACTGGAAGAGATACACGTCACATCGCTTTGTAGAGTTGCTCGCCAAGAATATGTTACCTTTTGAAAGCTTCATGTATTTCTTAAAGCAGGATTATTATTATTTGGTGAATTACATTCAATGTGTTGGGCTCGCATCATCAGTGGCACCTTCTAACCATAACGTTTATTTAGATGCAAACATATGCGGTTCTGTGGCCAAGGAACTTGAGAGACATAAAGCAAAGTTGTACAAGGAATACCGTATTGATTATGACAAGGACGCTAAATTCGACATACATTTGACTCCCGGTCAAGCATGTTTAAATTATTGTAACTTTTTGCTCGATATAGCAAGGAAAGAAGACTATTTAGGAATAAAAGTAGCATTAGCTCCCTGCTTGCATGGTTACTTCGAGGCCGGCCAGTTTGGCCTCTGTATTAGAAGTAAGTTAAAAGAGGATGATATGGGCGTTTTGCACTCTAAAGAAGAGTCGGATATATACACTTCATGGCTTGATGACTATGGTTCGGATTGGTACAGAGAGTCATATGACAGCGGTAAACAAGCTTTACAAGAACTTCTCGAATCAATTCCGATGAATCAAGAGAGAATAGAGGAGCTTGTTGACATTTTCAATAAAGTAACAACTCTTGAAATCGCATTTTGGGATGAAGCTTTGAGCATTAAAAAACCTGAATAGCATCAACGTACATTATTTTAACTAAACATATTCCTGTAGCTACTATATAGGCATATTATGGTTTACAACCACCGATACAAAATCTGCAAAAAATTCTCAATTCTTGTCTTTTCTTGTATTTACAGTTTACGTGTTCCATTTTCAAATTCGACTTCCAGATCCTTATATTGGTATTCTTAGTTTTACAACATCCGGCTGAAGATTTAGATCAATTAGAATAATCAATCCCTATATATTCATGAAAAACTATGTACAACCCATATCAACAACAGCCTATGGGGTTCGGTGCGCAAAGTACGGGGTATAATGGGGGTTATGGTCAACAACAAGTTCCTCCCCAGCAAACAAGGTTTTTTCAACAGAATCCTGTTCAAAGTCCGGGAGCAGATATGTACCTGCAACAAGTTCCTCAGCAACAATTCCAGCAAGGCTTTCAGACCCAGCCCACTGGGTTTGGAGGGGTGCCTCAATTACAACCGCAACAGACTGGGTACATTCAGACTCAGCCAACTGGTTTTCAGAATGGTGGTTCTAACTTGACTGTAATAGAAAATAGTGATATCAAGATTCCAAGCATAAGGTTATCGTTCATTTCAGCAGAGGATCAGAAGAAGTATGAGCATTTATTCCGAACCGCTGTTCCTAAAGGGGAACAGGCAATTACTGGAGACTCTGCTAGTCAGATTTTGTTGAGATCTGGTCTTTCACCTGTCACTTTAGCGGAAGTATGGTCTCTATCTGACACGAATAAATCAGGATCACTTTTATTTCCTGAATTTGCCTTGAGTCTTCATCTATGTAGCATGGCGAAGAGAGGTGAGCCTTTGCCGTCATTTTTACCCGAAAAGTGGCTGAATGAAGTAAAAAGCTTTGTCGACGCAATAAACTTTAGCATTCCAGAGGACCCAAGTAAGATTTTGGCAAATACTCCGTTTGCTCAGTTTGCAAACAATGATAATGCTCAAAGCGATTGGTTAGCGCCTCAAGGAACAGGCTATAATCCTCCACCGATGACTTCGTTCCAACCTCAGGCCACTGGTTTTGGGCAGAATTTAACGGCACAGAGAACCGGGACCACACTTATGAATCCATCACAGACAGGCTTTAATGGCGCTCCGTTGTCGTCACAAAGGACTGGAGGAGGAACTCTAATTCCATTACAACCTCAGCAGACTGCTGGATTAATTCCAACACAGAAAACTGGGCCACTCAATTCTCAAACTACAGGATTTCAGAATCAGAGCCAGTCTCTTCAACCGCAATCTACGGGATTTGGTGCTTCTAATTTGCCATCTCAATCCACTGGGTATCAGCCAATATCTCAGCCATCTTTCCAATCACTGCTTACAAGACAGCAAACTGGGCCAAACTTACAACCACAAACAACTGGATTTCAAAATATTTCTGCACTCCAGAATAAGACTGGGATGTTGCAATCTCAAGGTACAGGCTATCAGTCTCAATTGCCCCCTCAACTTACCGGTTTCCAACAAGGCTTACAATCGCAGGCTACTGGAAATGTTCAATCTTCTCAAGGAACTGGTTTACAGCCTCAGCTTACCGGCTTCTCTCAGCTTCAGCCACAGGCCACTGGAAGACCAGGTCAATGGGGGTTTGTATCAATGCCAACAGGAGGAATCCCTGGTCTTAATGCCATGGAGCAGCATTTTTTGCCGACCTCTGAACTTCCCACTCATAATTTGCATAATGCGATGGATAATTCTTTGAAAGAGAACGTTACTTGGGCTATAACCAAGCAAGAGAAGCAAATTTATGATGGTATTTTTTCAGCTTGGGACCCGACTAGAAAAGGTTTTATAGATGGCGATGTTGCTCTTACTGTTTTCAGTAAATCGGGTTTAAGTAGGCCTGATTTAGAATCGATTTGGACACTCGCTGATTCGAGCGATAGAGGCAAGTTGAATAAAGATGAATTTGCTGTTGCAATGCATCTTGTGTACCGGAGATTAACAGGCTATGAGCTCCCTTTCAGGTTACCTCCAGAATTGATACCTCCATCAACAAAATATTTACAGGATTCCATGGACACTTTAAAGAATTCGTTGAAAGGCGGGGGTGCGGCTAGTAGCAATAAAAATACGATTAAAGCTGCAAAATCTGATGGATCAAGGTTCAAGAATGATGATGAAAACTTTGGTTACGTTTCAAGCGCACGTCATAGAAGAAGGAATGATGTCCAAGAGCAATCGAGCGATAAAACTACTTCAGTGGAAGAGCTAAAAAAGAGTATTCGAGAGAAGAAGATCTTGCTAGACGCTATAGATGCCGAAGATCAAGACGCACAGATTTCGAACAAAAGGCTTCAAGCAAGGGAAGATAAGGAAATCGAAATTCTTAAAACCAAAATCTGGTCTATACAAAGGAAATTGAATAACATAGTCTCTGAGTCTGGCTCCTTTGAAGAGAAACAACAATTACTCAAAAGATTAAATTATTTGACTAGGGATAAGGTTCCAAATTTAATTTCGAGAATCGAAAATGTAAATGAACAAATATCGCAACTGAAAATTGAATTTTTCAAGTTGAGTTTAAGTAAAGAGCATCCAGATTGGAAACCTAATAATAGTGAAGCAGATATAATAGGTTCAGGCCCGGGAGGTGAGGTTACAGAAGCAGATAGACGTAAGTTTAAGTCCAAGCAGCTTTTAAAGCAGCGTATGGCAGCATTGACAGGAAAATCTTCTGGTGGCAACCATTCGGATCTTGACATGAAATTGAAGCAAGAGGAAGAAGGTGTCAAGAAAGAAAAAGAGAGCAAAATTCAAATGATAAAAGATATTGAATCTAGCATTAGTGATTTAGAGGATGGTTGTTCTACGTTCTTGCAAATGACGAATAGTGAAGAAGTTGGTGACCAAAGGTGGGAAAAAGGAGATGGTGTTCGCAATGAAACTTCTCAATTCATCAAAGAATTAAACGAGTCTGCAGTGAAAGAGAGAATCGATAAATCTTCTTTCAAAGAAACCGATATTAGTGATTCACCTCTGCTGTCTACAGAATTGTTTCGTGAAACTCAAAAGTCCCAGGATCATGCAGAGAAATACAAAAGCTCAGAAGAACGTTCTGCTTATATCAAAGCACAAGCGCAAAAGAGAATGAATGAAAGACTCGCTAAGTTAGGCATTACTAGAAATAGAGGACATTCAGGCATCGATTTGCAGAAATCTGAGCCGTTTAAAGATTCGCAAGAAAGTAAACCCATCAGTGAGGTTACGAATGCGCAACCGAAGACTAATGACAATAACTCTGATAGCGTTTCAGAGCCTACCCCCTCGGAAGGTATTAATGGTTCCAAGGAAAAGGAAATTCCTGATCTCAATGGAGATGGTGCCCCTTCTTCTGACGAAGAAGATGCAGAATATGCAGAACTATTGAAGCAGAAGCAAGAATTGGAGAGAAAAGAGAAAGAACGTAAGGCTAGGAAGCAGCTGCAAAAAGAAGCAAGGTTAGCGAAGATTAAGAAGGAGATGGAGGAGATAAAAAGTAGAGAGTTAGAAGATAAGAGCGACGAAGAAACTCTGAAAGCGAAAGACGTACACGAACAGAATAAGTCGGTTGTTCATAAAGTGCTCGACGCACCAAAAGGAGAAGTACAGAGTCCTGCTCCAAGTCAGGAGTCCTCGAGCTCACAAATCTCGGAAGCAAAAGTCTATAAGCCAAATGTGCATGATAAAAGCTCTCAACCACAAGTGGCTTCTGCTAATCAAAACAATACTCACGAAAATAATCCTTTTGCCAAAAGTCAAGGTGCCCAAAATGCTTCCAATTTGAAATCAAATAATAATCCCTTTTTTAAACCATCAACAAACGGCGATGGATTCGACTCTAAGAAGGCAGCTGCTCAAAGGGCATCTCAAAGGGGATTGGCAGACGACAATGACTGGAGTGAATCCGAAGATAATTCAAGTGATGACGACATCCCTAATAGGGCAGGCGCAGCTCAGTTGGCAAGTCTACTTTTCGGAGGAGTTCCTCAGAATCTGTCAAATTCTATCGAGAAAACTCCTGAAAATACTTCACTGGCAGAATCGGGTAATAATAGTCCTAAGGAACCCTCTTCTACTACTGAGATGCCGCCAGTGCCGCAAACTCCAAAGGAAGAGGACTCAGATACAGATGATTTCTCTACGCCTCCTGCGGGCAATCAGTCACAGTATGGCGAAAGTGAAAGCACAGTATCTAAGGATATTTCATCCAAAGACACTCCTTTAAATCTGATTGATGAGGGCTCAACCAATATTCCAGTTCCGTTGTCTATTCCTCCACCTCCACCTCCAGCAGCAGAACCTCCTATGTTTGCACCATCGCCCCCTCCACCACCTCCTCCAGCCGCTGAGCCTCCTCTGTTTGCACCATCGCCCCCTCCACCACCTCCTCCAGCCGCTGAGCCTCCTCTGTTTGCACCATCGCCCTCTCCACCTCCACCTCCAGCAGCAGAGCCTCCCCTGTTTGCACCACCTCCGCCACCACCTCCACCTCCCCAAGCTTTATCGGTAAACAACGAAGGCTCTTCCAAGGCTCCACCAAGTGGTGTACCAAATATCGATGCTTTATTAGGTCAAATTCAAGTAGGAACAAGTTTAAAAAAGGTAGATGAAAGCGAAAAACGCATTGGTGATGGTTCTACGGTAGGAAAAGTTTTATAAGTCGTATACCGTCATATTTCTTAATTAGTTTGTATGTAATCAAAATAAATTTCTATTTACAGGTAAATCATAAAAGACTTCACATTAATTTTCGTCATGAACGTTCTTACTCTCTTCATGGTTTGGTTCGATATATATTTCACCATCTTTTAAAGTCACTGAAACGGTTTCAGCCTCCTTTATTTGACCTTTTATCATGAGCATTGCTAACGGATTCAAGAGCTTCTTTTGAATCACCCTGTTCAAAGGTCTTGCTCCATATATAGGATCATACCCTAAGCTTACCAATTTTTCTTTAACATCATCAGTTAAAGTTAAGGACATTCGCTTATCAATTAATCTTTCTTTGATTTCAGACAATCTAATATCCAAAATATTTCTCAAAGATTCTTTAGATAAGCGGTTGAAGATCAAAATGTCATCGAGTCGATTTAAAAATTCAGGTGGATAATTCTGTCTCAACAATTCTAAGACTTCGCCCTTTGTAATATCACTAATTTGGCCATCTTCACTGGCATTTCTATCAGTGAGTAAAATCTCCTGACCTATATTCGAAGTCATTGTAATTATAGTATTACGGAAATCGATTTGTTTTCCATGGGAATCAGTTAAAGAACCTTCATCGAGAACCTGTAATAACAACTTCGAAACATCACTGTGTGCTTTCTCAAACTCATCAAACAAAATTACTGAATAAGGCTTTCTTCTAACAGCTTCGGTCAACTCTCCGCTCTCTTCATATCCAACATATCCGGGAGGTGAACCAATCAATCTAGAGATTGAGTGCTTTTCTTGAAATTCTGACATGTCGAATCTTATGACTGAAGATCTATCATTGAAAAGAAATTCTGCTAAGCATTTTGTAAGCTCCGTCTTACCAGTACCCGTTGGACCCAAGAAAATGAAGGAAGCAATGGGCCTTTTATCACTGGTTAGTCCAGCCCTGTGTAATCTAACAGCATCAGCTATTGCGTGTATCGCCTCGTCTTGTCCAATGACTTTTTCTTTCAAAGTTGATTCCATGTACAATAACTTATCTTTCTCTCCCTTCAACAAGTTATTAACCGGAATTCCAGTCATTCTTGAAATTACACTTGCAATATCATCGGCTGTGACAGAATCATGCAACAAAGTCGATGTTTCAATTTCCGATTGATCTTCCGTTGTTTGCTTCAATTTCTTTTCCAACTGAGGAATTGTAGAATATTGTAACTCAGATGCTTTTCCGTAATTTCCTTCCCTTTGACACTGTTCTAAATCAAACCTTGCCTGCTCCAACTCGGTTTTAGCAATTTTAATATCGTCTATCAGTTTCTTCTCCTCTTCCCACTGACTTGTAAGATCTTTTAGCTCCGTCTCTTTGGCTTTCAAATCGTCTTCAAGCTTTTTCCTACGATCAATAGAAAGTTGGTCATCCTCCTTTCTCAACGATTCTAATTCAATTTGAATAGTCATTATTTGACGGTCAAGTTGAGCAATTGCATCAGGCTTAGATTCATGCTGCAATCTTAAAGTAGAACATGCTTCGTCAACCAAGTCAATTGCCTTATCTGGAAGGAATCTATCTGTTATGTATCGATTAGAATACACAGCAGCTGTAACCAAAGCACCATCAGTGACACGAACACCATGATGTACTTCGTATCTTTCTCTCAATCCTCTTAAGATTGATATGGTATCTTGGACACTCGGTTCATTAACTTGTACCGGAGAAAATCTTCTCGCCAAAGCTGCATCCTTTTCAACATACTTCCTGTACTCTTCAATCGTTGTTGCACCACAGAGTGATAATTTACCTCTAGCTAACGCTGGTTTGAGTAAATTTGAAGCATCTATAGATCCCTCAGCTTTACCGAGACCCATCAACAAATGAAGCTCATCGATGAATAAAATGACCTTTCCATTCTTTTCTTCAACCTCTTTTAAAATATCCTTGAGCTTTCCTTCGAAGTCACCTCTAAATTTAGCTCCTGATATAATTCCCGCAAGATCTAAAGTGATGATTTGTTTGTCTTTCATAGAATCTGGAACTTCTTCTTTCAATATCCTTTGGGCTAATCCTTCCATAATAGCAGTTTTACCCGTACCAGCATTACCTATCAATACCGGATTATTTTTAGTACGACGAGACAAAATTTGGATTGTTCTTCTTATTTCATCATCTCTCCCAATAACTGGATCTAGTTTTCCGTCTTTAGCCATTTGGGTAAGATCCGTGCCATATTTTTCTAATGCCGGCCTATCATCTTGACCCTCCTTATTCATCTGCATTTGCATTTGTCTTGGAATATTATTATGAAACCCTCTGACGTGTCTCAATGCAACCCCCCTAGTCCTGACATTACTACTGCCTTGCAAGGTAGCTTCCACGGAGTTCTGCAATTGAATTGCTCTTGATGAAAGCGAACGGAGAGCCACGGATGATCTCAAAAAATTCACAACTCTAGGTCTCGCAACCTCTTTCAAATTAACCTTTAAGGGTATCATTACGTATCCTGAAAAAAATAAAGTATCAAGTTCTGAAATAAATGGTACATATATAAATTAGGTACATAGGTATCTATTATATAGTATCATTTAGAAAGCGTTCTATGCGCATTCCAGAAATTTCTGGAATATACGATAACGCTATATGCAGTACACCGCTATATTTTCTCATCATGCCAGTAGTCATGTAAATTAAACCCTCGATGAGCATTGAAAGGAGGTGGTTGCTGTTCTGATACGCCTTGGGACAGCACTTCATCTTCGTGATTCAGGCTCTCTATGTCATAATTATCAATTACAATTTGCTCTTCGGTTGAGAGATCCAGACCTGCCAGACCTGCCAGACCTCCGAGACCTGCGCTTTGATTTTGAGCACCCACTAGATCTCCGGTGTCTCCAGAGGAGTTACCAAGAGATTGATCCGTTTCACTAGTTAGATCCGACGCCCTTTGTAGAGTATTCGAAGACATCTGCGCCACTGTAGCCCCTTCCAGGATGTCTTTCAGAGATTCCGATGATGACATTTTGTTTATCACCGAATCGGATACATCTTTTGCTTCCATTTTCTTTCTTCTGTTACTAGCCCACTCATGCAAAAAGGATAGACCCGTCACACGTCTCCAACTACGGCTACTACCAGGCAGACTCGTGCCATGAAATTGAGAAGTAAGAACATCATCGATGCTTAATCTTCTTCCTAACACACCCATCATTTCAAATCTTTTTTCTAAGACGTTTATATTTGATATCCATTCCCAAATTGTAGTCACTAGTAAAATCTCTACCAATTTCGGAATAAGTTGGAGCCACTTCATTGCTGGCCAATTATTGCTGAAAAGCGTAATATAGAGGAAGTTGACCACGATATGCACAAGAATTAGAAATATATTGAACAAGGCGATTGGCAATAATTTCTTTGAATAACTTATTCTTCTCGGATTTGTTGAAATAATGGTATAGTAGAATAAGCTAGCCAGAAACCATATATCAATAACAATTTGAAATACCGTCTCCACAATCTGCATTCGCCTATACCGCGATTTTTCGCCTGAGGAGCCAATATCATATTCGGAGCTGTAATCGCATCTTATCAAAATGTGAAATGCCGCATTCACGATTATGATACATAAACCTATAATACCCGTTATAAGCTTGAATCGTGGCCGTGTTGTATATTCGACTATCTCTAACCAGGCAAGATTAGTGATGATCTGCGCAAGGGGAAGAAATACCTTATTTTCCGTATTATCATACATATAGTTAGTGAGTCTAATGACATTTAAAGTTCCTTCATAATATTCCACTTCAGATATTTTGGTAAGTTTAAAAAGAATAATTGTGAAAGCTATTGCATAAATGATAGTTGCAAGTTGCGCTAGCCAAGACTTTCGTTTATGTCTAGGTGACAAGTAAAGCAACAATGTAAGCATCCAAGCAGAAGCACACGCTCCACTAGCCGTAAATAAGAGTGCAATAAATGCATGTCCACTATTCTCATCTTTATAAACTTGATATATTGGATTATCAGACTTGTATCCTGCTATCTCCGTGAAATTAGTATTCGATATTATGTTAGACAAATCTTTCGTAGAACAATTAGTTAAAAAGTATGCTGCCAAAAACTCTGTGGAAACATTAGATGACCAGCTTCCATTGTTAAGCGCTTCGAAAGTAAGATACCCAGCAGGAAGTGCATAAACACTGCAATTAACTTTGGTATCACCCAATGTCATTTTGAAATCTACATCTTCCATTGACATTATATTTCATAGTCCTTCTACTACTGAATCACTTAAAATCCATAGAAAAATTCTATTCATATTAGTCTTACTCCCAAGAAATTTCTTAAAATAATGAAATCCGACATTACATAATGTCCGAGAAACGTTCAATATGTCGCCAAATATATATTTTGTTAATATCAGCTTTCGAAGAAATCATGGCCAACGATAGGATTCCTTTATCTAACATGATAAGTAACGGAAATGCCCAGGCGAACCAAATCGAAGAGCTAGGTAGCCGAGTAGGGGGTTTGTCTGTGAATCGACCAAAACAGAAAAGAGCTACGAGAAAATTTCAGGATTTTGGACTGGGAAATGATTCAATTTCACCATCTCCTGCTCCAGAGCAGAGCACTTCAATTGGGCCTCATGTGAATGCCTTAGATCCAGCAGCCTCTAACTTAGTGAATGATACTCAGCCCAACACTAATACAGCTACCGATGAGAATGATTTACTGCTCCTGAGTTATAGATATATGGAGCAATTTCAATATTTAACACCTAAGAAAGATGGGACACTTCCTTCATTTTTCACATTTGAGAATGCAGCACCACCCACGGCTGGCACCCAATTTCATTCTGTTGATCAGGGTACTGCCAGCTCTAAATTTATACGATCATCAATGTACTTCGTGCCTGAGAGCGAGACCTTGCGAAAGGCTACAAAGCTACCCATGTCTGTCACAATAAGGCCATTTGCACCAGTATTGGAGTGTGAAGAACACATACCTGTGATTGACATGTCCGAGTTAGGAGCAGGGAATGAAACAGATGTACTTGATGTTGGTCCGCCGAGATGTCGTCGATGTCGAACCTATATTAATCCATTGATGCAATTTACAAGTATTAATACTTTCACCTGCAATGTTTGCCAATTTCCCAAAAATACTGTTCCAGTAGAATATCAGTCATACTTGGATGCCCAGGGATATAGAACAGATAAGCTCAGTCGACCTGAACTTCATAAAGGTGTCTATGACATTATAGTACCGAAAGAATATAATGTTGGAGGGCCGGAGCATCTGCCATCATCGTTGCATCATATATTTTTAATAGACATAAGTGAGAGAAGCTTGAAGCAAAATTTACCTATGCTCATAGCTGATGCCATCAGAGCTACTTTATATGGCGATGTTGAGACCGAGAATGAAACTCTTAAATCAACAGACCCTAATGCAACTCAAAAATTTGCCATTATGATGTTTGACAAACGTATTCATTACTTTAATTTGTCTCATAAACTTGATTCGGTTCAAGTGACAGTTATGCCAGATTTGGACGACCCATTTGTTCCATTTATTGATGGACTTTTCGCAGATCCTGAAGAAAGCAGGTTGATGATTGAAGGAGCTTTGAATCATTTAGAGCAAATCTGTCTGCAAGAAGGAAATGTTGTAGATGCTGAACCATGCTTTGCTGTGGCATGCAGAGCTGCAATGCTTGCTCTTGAAATGGTTGGTGGAGGCAAGATAACATCTGTTTTAACTTCTATTCCATCTTGGGGTCCTGGACGTTTGGTATATAAAGATCATAAGGCCGTGGGTAGAGCGACGAATCCTGAAATTGAAAAAGGTGTTTTCCTTCCAGATAATGAATATTATAAATTATTGGGAAGGGATTTCATCTCTAATAACATTGGTCTTGACTGTCTAGTAGTTTCTCCAACGTCTGTTGATTTATCTAATATTGGGTGGCTATGTGCAATAAGTGGAGGATTTGTTAGGAAATGGTCTTCTTTTGAAATTGACAGGGATAGCAGAGACTTCTCAGGGAACTTTGTAAATTCAGTGAAGAAAATGAGAGGTTACCAAGGTCAACTCAAACTCCGATGTTCGAATGGATTACAAGTTACTCAATACTATGGAGCATACTCGGCTGTCTCTGATTTATCTGTCGTTGGTAGTGTTCAAGATCCCAGTATTCCTGTTATCAGCGAAGATAAATCAATTACTGTCCTTCTCTCATATGACGGAAAGTTAAACACAAACTATGATTGTCACTTTCAAGCTGCCATGTTATATACTGATTTAGTAGGCGTGAGGAAAGTAAGAGTGATCAATCTAGTTTTAGCTGTTGCGGAAAGGCTCGAAGATGTATTTAATCTCACAGATCAAGATTCCGTTGTTGCTACCATAGTGAGAGATACAATATCATTTATTGGTAAACAGCCTATTACAGAATTAAGAGATTCTGTCAATGAGAAATTAGTTGATGTCTTCACCCAATATAGAGCAATGAGTGAGATGGGCCATAATATGAATAGGACACTTTCAAATCAATTACTATTTCCTGAGAAGCTCAAAAATTTGCCCTTGTATCTCTTATCATTTATCAAGTCAAGGCCTCTAAGAACTTCTGGTGCTTCTTCAGATTCTCGTCTTGTCGATATCTATCTGATGTTAAATGAGCCACTTGTTAAATTACTTTATGGTTTATACCCTGCATTAGTTGAGCTACATTCCTTAGAGGATCACGAGGCCTTGTATGATGAACATTATGATTTCTTGAGGCTTCCGAGGTTCAAAGATCTCTCAGCTAAAAATATGGATTACGGAGCTTATATTCTATGTGATGCATGTACCGTTTATTTTATAATTCACCCAAATGCGAATATTTTGTTAGTTAAGGATTTATTTGGTGAACAAGTTGAAAGCGTTGAAGAAATTGATCCATTAATGGATAGGCTTCCTCAACTAGACACACATATCTCCTTACAAACACGAAACTTAATCTCTTATTTCCATTCCAATATAATAGGGTCGCCAAAGCTAACCAGCGATGTTATTCATATCATAAGACAAGGGATCGATAATGATACGATTTTGCAAGAGAAGTTCTTAGAAGACAGTTTACAGGGAAAAATGGTTACCACTAATTGGCCAAGCTATGCGGAATATATTACGAGTCTCCACAAGGCTATTAGGGTAAAGTTAGATAATGACAAATCATCTAATCGTGTCAGACAATCTGTCACCGCAACTGAACACGACGAAACTTTGGCACAAAAATTAATTCACTTCTAGATTTTTTTTACGAAGTTATGTCTATTCAAATAACCAACATTTCTATTCTATCACCCTCAAGATGTCTGAAATAATCTCAGTGATCTCCTCATTATTCTTATTTTGAATAGTATTTCTTAATGCAAGCTTCAACTGGGCATTATTGCGATAATAGTCGAGTTTGCCGTCTAAATTTGCTGCAGAATATACCATGTTTAAAAGAATGTAGCTTATTCTCAATATCAAATTCGAATTTTCTTCTTGTGACTTTAAAATATCGGTCATAATATCTGTCAAATTTACTCTCACATCATCATGTTCAACAAGAAGACGTGAAATCAACTCGAATTCTGAAGTGGCATTTGCTAAAAGACCTGCAATCGTGATTTGCAAAGACTCATCTTCGGCATGTAGTAGTTTTATCAAAATAGTTAATCTTTTTGGTTTTCCTTCAGAAAAATCAAAGAATTTTTGAAGCAAAGATGGTTCCACAATCAAGTTGCATATCAATTCCCAGGTCGCCAATTGCACTTGAGGAATAGAAGTTTCGAACATAAAATTATCCAAGTACGGCTCAAAGCATCTCTTGATTATCAATTTCTTTAAGTCATCAGAGCCGTCTGCAGCTAAATTTGTCAATGCTAGTAGTGCCTCGTATTTGTCTAGACTAGTGACTTTCTCGTATAAATATTTAACATCATCGTTTAAGAACAAATTTCCACTGTATTGCGTTAAGTCTGGTCCTAGGCATTCTACGATGAACGGCACACTTGACCTTATGTCAAACTTCTTGAAAACTAAAGATGGTTGAACTGATATTAAAATTTTCATCAATGACCTTATGGCATTTAATCTGACGTCGATAGATCTTAGATCTTTAGGCTTCGTTTTTCCTGTTTTATCATCAACAGTACTAGAATTGATAAGAAAACCAAATGCAACATTGACTGCACCCTGCTTTACTAGTTCTTGTCTCACTACTTTTTCTTGATTACAAGAGATCAGGTAAATAATATTAATCAAGTGACTTATAATACTGCTGCCTTTGTCATTACTTCTACTAATAAAGTTTACCTTGATGTTCAGTACAATCTGGACGAGCCTTTGATCTAGTAATAAAGATTTATTAAACTTCATTATACTATCAGGTCTTTCAGTAACATTGTTTGACATTTCTTTAGAAGCAGGAGTTGAAACTTGCTTTAAGGCACTTATTGTTCTTTTGTCCTGGCTCTGAAGTGGATCAGGTAACCTCGATAAATTTTCAAAGCATACTAACAATCCATATATTAAAGATTGCTGATTTGAATCAGTTTTAATACTTTCATTAGCTTCACATAAAACATTAGTTAGCATATTAATTATTTCTTTTTCTTCACGTAGTTGTATCCTAACTATCGGTACTAACGTTAAATATGCTAAAATTTCGACACATAATTCCAACTCAGAATCTGGTTTGGCCAGACTTCGGAGCCTCAAATTACGAAATACTATCTGAATTAGATCTGCGATTTTGACATCATTATTATTTTCTTGATCTTGTTTGCCAAAATTCCAAAGTTTAACTAGGTCAAGTGTTGAAAGTAATTGAATTTCAGTATTCAGCTCAAATTTTAATCCGACCTTTAATAAATCAAGATACTCTTTTGAATTGAACTGTCGACATTGCTCTATTATGCACGAGCTTCCCACCATTTTCAAAGTCTCCTTAAGGATCAATTGAGCCTCTGGATCTTCTAAATTTTGATTGCTAAGCTTTTTAATTTGTGTTAGGACTAATTGTTTGCAATTGTCATCAGTGTAAATTGATGCAGTGAAGATTGGATCAACGGGAAATAGCTCTTCTATTATTTTTACTGAATTTAAATATTCAGAAAGAGTAATTTCAGCGTGGCGATAGTTAACTTCTAGATAAATTTTGATGGTATCCAATGCTGTAGATCTGTCTTTCTCGTAATACTTAAGCATTACCAATAAAGCTGTAGCAGTGACTTCTTTGAACTCATTTGGATATTTAATAGAATAAATTGGATTCAAATAACTTAGAAACAAATTTAGATCTTCGCTAACGATAAATTCAAAGTTCGATATCAATGAGCAATAAATGGACAAATAAAACTTAATTTCAACGAAATTATGATGTCCCTGCTCTATTTTTCTCTTTACGGTCATCATAATTAATTTTAACTTATCATTATCAAAGTTCAAAACATTCACTAATATGACCCCATGTGTATCCCCTAAGCGCCTTAATCCTTCTAGAAACACATCCGGGTCCATTTGAAGGATTTGAAGGAGAATTTTCGCTATGTCTGGATTCCTGCTATACTTGATAACATCCACTCTCGCAGCTCTAATATCATTGATGTCTTCAAGCCCAAGAAACAACTTTAACTTTCCTTCAAATTCATTGTCTTCAAGACTTAAGTTTTCTAGCATCTGCAGCACTTCAGTTTTCATCCTGAATAAGTTTACAAATATTAAAGACCTAAAAGCTACAGTATCGTAATATTGAATTGGTTGTGTATAGAACATATTTTTATATTTTGAAGTGAAACTTTAATTGATTACATCATTAGGAAGAAGCACCACTTCATTGAATCCATCATGGATACCACGGCTGTTCTAGATAAATACACACAGGATCTTTCCAATTTGCCGTTAGAGGTCAAGCATCTACTTGAAGAGTTGAGGAATAAGGACTTCCAACTAGCAGAGACGAGAAAAAGATATCAAAGTAAAGATAACCAAATACACAAGTTTATAAAAGCAAATGGAACACTAGCAAAAAATCCTAAGGAACAGCTGATCTATGTCAAAATAGAAGAGGGCATGGCTGCCGTCAAAAAAATACAACAAGAGAAGATTTTGTTAGCTAATACTGCTCTTTTTCTAGTATCAAAGCATTTATATAACTTTGAAACAGACATAGCGAAACTAGAGGCAGATGAGCTTTTGCCCCCAATCGAAAATGTCTTGGATTTGGATGGCTCCAGGTTGGATGATCAATTAGCCAACGGCTTTTCCGATAGCGCTTCCGCTACACCTACTCCTAGAAGTGCAGGCTTCTCCGCTTCGAGCTCTGACAACGGAATGAGAAGAACACATAAGAGGAAGCACACTTTAATGAAATCCGAAATGAGGCCGATGAAAAGATTTAAAATTGAAGATTTGGAAGACGATGACATAATCCCAACCAGAAAAGCGTCTTCAAATGAGGGCCCACAAGCAGGTACCGGTGAGGACGCTGACAACAATCTCTATTGCTTCTGTCAGCGTGTTTCTTTTGGAGAAATGATTGGTTGTGATAATGATGACTGTAAATACGAATGGTTTCATTGGAGCTGCGTCGGCATCACTTCTCCTCCTAAGGACGATGAAGTATGGTATTGTCCCGACTGTGCGCCTAAGATGGAGAAAAGAAGGAAGAAAAAGAAGTAGCAAAAACATTTGTAACATATTTTATTTCGCTTAGTGTATTATAGTCATTTAGTTTATGCATGTATTAATTTAATTTTGAGAGTAGTTTAGGCATTATTTAGCCTTCAGTTTTGGGGTTTATTGGTTTAGAGACATCGGATTATTCTTTTACATTTGTCTTTTATATCGTCAACGCTTTCGATTGTATTTAGCTTTAACACCTTGTTCAGAACCGATGCAATTAATAATCGCACTAAGTGATCATAATACTGCAGCATACATATATTCAGCCTTGTAAAATATGCATCTTGAATACAATTATCAATATATGTATATATATATATATGTATAATACGTAATGCCATCCCTATATATCTGGAACGTAGTTCATTACCATCAGGTGTTTATTAAAATTGATTATCTTTTAACTCCAAACAAATGCGTTTTGTGAGATTATTTAATTTTTGTTTTGAGCATTCTGTATTTCTCGTAATGTTTATTAACGTAAAAAAGGGTCTCTTGTAATTTAACAATAATTTAAAATTACGACTTAAAGAAGTACATTTTGGACTGTTTAGAGAACTTTATCTGCGATAAAGCTTAAGTCAATAAGAAATATTTCAAATTATTTCTATCGTTTATATTACGGGGGCCACGTTCGCTACATGCTAATAAAGTAATGAAATATCACTCGCTAATTTTATTTTCAATCTTTTCAAGTTCCCTTGGAGTAAATGCAGCAGCAGCTGCTGCTCCTGCTGCTGCCGATACCACAACAACTTCTCCTACAACAGGCACAGGAACAACGACAACTGCTGCAGCTGCTGCTGCTGCGAATACAAACACGGGAACGACTACCGCAGGAGCTACTACGGGAACAACAACCAAAGCAACAACTACAGGAACTGCTACTGGAACTACTACTACGCCGGTTGGTGCAGCTGCGAATACGGATACTACAAATACGGATACCACCAAAGATACCACTACAACTGACCCTGCTGCGGCTGCAGATACCGCAACCACGGACACTGCAAAAACAGATACTGCCACAACTGGAACTGCGACTAAAAATACAGCAAATACAAATACAAAGACAACTGCGACTACAACGGCTGCAGCCGACCCTGGTGTAATCAATCCTGGTGTTCCAGCTGCTACAACTACGGTCTCTTACTCCGAGCACTCAGGAAATCCTGCTACTGTTGGTGTATCATTCGTGACCACGTATATAAAACCATCCACCTCAGAAGAACCTATAGAAAGTTCTGGTCAATCGACACTGTCTTCCTCCGGCTCGAACAAGTCGGGCTCAAGTGATTCTGGAGCTGTGTCTTTAAAACCAAGCAACATTTTGTTATTGCCTTGTATTTCTTTGGCTTTTCTCTTTCTTGGATCCGGTATTCTTTTTTAAAGACTTTCGAGTTTAGTTTGAACTTTAGATTGTTTTTTATATAAGATTTTATATAAGATTTTATATAAGATTTGATATTTTGGTCTTATAGAAAATATGATTATTTCGTTCTATGCGCGGTTTTAGATCACACTGTGATACTTAATTTCAATTTCTTTTACACTAGGTACGGTGGGCTCTAATATTGTGATGCTTCGTTTAAACTTCCTGCTGGTCACTTCCGTTTTGTCGCCCAGAATTAACTTAAGGCAAGCAAAATGTATTAAATGGTTTAGTACTCACCAAAAAAATCAAGAAAATCCGTTTTTATACGTCAGCGAATTCTCAGATTTAAGTAAGCGTATATCGGAAAATATTGGGCCCAATCTGTCGCCATTTATGATACTTAGGGCTATAGAGTCATGCCTGGAATTGCAGAAAGTATTCAGGGAGCATAATAAACTCTCCAATGGTCCAATTAATAAGATAAATGTAAAAATTAGAGAAATACTCACAAATGAAGCAATAGATTTCAATGAGGATTTATTGAGGGAAATATTTTTATTAAAGCTTCTGCCCTCAAATAACATTACAGTAATCGAAAGCTTTTATGAAAAAAACCCTGACAAATATATTGATGTCAATGTTTCGTTGATTGCCTTGCGGGAATGCTTATACGATGGAGACTTTAAAGATGCTTTAACGATAACTGATTTAACGACCGGCCATCCTAATTACATTAAGATGAAAAATGGAATAATGAAATCTGGAGCTACGAAACTTATTGCTAGTGCAGCTGGTTTAATGCTCTTTTCCAAATTCGGAATTCAAGGCGCCATAGATTACGGTCTTTTGTCAAACCAGTGGAAGCACTTCAGCTCCCTCAATGCTATGATCTTAACTTATTTTTTGAATTCCAGCTTTTTCATCACGCTTGTAAGGTTTGGTAGACAAGTCATTACCGCTGGAGGCGATTATTTGACATGGCAGAAGGGGACTTTTTATACTCATTGGTTTAAGCATTCGGATGAAATGCTCTTTTGTCGCAAAATCTTGAGTGCTGATATAGAATTGAATGGTGGTGGCTCATCTGGAGGAGAGGCTTCTCCTGATCTTCTCGAAGAAATTTGCAGGGCAGATGATACTATATCTGATGGACGCTCCTTACAACCTGGCTATACAAGAGATGGTAAGAAGGTAAGGCTTTTACAAGCAAAGGACAATTTAGAGGAGCTTAAGTTACAGGCCTATTGGATGAGTGGAGGCGACGGATTTGAGTGGGTTGAGCCTGATCAAGATCCTGCTGTGCTTATTTGGAAGAAACATTTGTCACAGTTTAATAAAGAATCAATAACTAGTGAAGGGAGTGTTAAAAAGCTTAAGTGGGCAGAAGATTTGATAGAGGAAAAGTAGTTACATGTAAATAAGTCAACCTAATACATATATATGCATAAACGTGCTAGATCTATAAGATGTTTAAGAATGTTCATCATTAGCTTCAATTATTTCATCTCCTTTCTCCTTGTTCTTCTTTTCAATGACATTGTTTAGTAATGCCAAGTCTGTCGAATCGTCACTGTCATTGGGCCATCTACACCTTGGGATGAACTTTATATCATAGTCTGTCTCGAGTTTGAGTTCGTCCCAAGGTTCAAAGTTAAGCCAAACCATCTCAAACTCTTCATCAGTGTCAATTTTGTGAGTCCCTAGCAGGATGTGAGGCTTTGTATAACTCTCATTGTACTTAACATTACTAGTACCTTCCAAAATTTGGTCAATTCTTTCTCCTTTATTTAGTTCATTGACATTCTTCAAGTCTGAAGAGAGTAATTCTTCGAGTCTCTCAACATTGGTATCATGCAAGCTCTGATAAATCTCAGTGTACCTTCCCTTTTTTGCTAAACTTTCTAAAACAGGTGATGACTTCGAACCATATTTAGAGAAAATATCTGGAGAGTCCTCTTGTGCTTCATAATCTGCAATATTAGAGGCGTTTTTGATCCATAGTTCAACCTTATTACTCCATTCCTGGAAATTCATCGGTTTATAGTAGTTATAAGCTCCAAACCACCAATTCGGTTTATCGCCATTTTTTATTGCTAGTTTTCGATAATACCTCGCCTCCTCATACCAAGGGTCATACGGCAAGGACAATCTTGATATTTCCAAGCCACTTAAAAACACCAAATAGCCTCCACCAACTGCACAAGCATATTTAGTGATCTTACGAGAGGCTGAGTTGGGAATATTCAATCTAAGTAAATTTGACCTGCGAAGCCATCGTGCTTTATGAAATCCAAGCAATCCAATTCCAATCTGTATACCCGTCAAGAGGTACAATGCCGGTGTGTTATCTGAAGCTGGTACTAGAGGTCCCCATAACTTCAAGCCAATGCTAGGATTCGAAGGTATAAATGACGAAGGGTTGGGAATGGTTATGGAAGATCCTCTTCCAGAACCATCGCCGTTTCCTCCCCCTGAATCTCCCTTTTCGCTACCGTCACTATCAGAGGAAGGAGGTATGTAGACACCCATCTTCAATTCAACGAGTGGTTAATTACTTATTCAACTTGAAATGTAAACATAAAATAGTTTAGTAGTACCAACTCTCGATGTCATTTAGTAGTCAGGTGACCTCGTTGATAAGTTTAACAAATCATTCTACAGTAATTTGTTAGCATAAAAGTCATATTTGTCTTATATTGCGAGACATATTTTATGTCGGGTTCAAGAGTTAATATTAAAATTACGATCTAGCCCTATACTTAATAGAAGATTGAAATAAAAAAGGAGCTGCAAATAGCTAAGAATATTTCGCTTTTTAAAGGTTTTTCATCAGCAATAGATGATATAAAGCATCAATTTAAATACAGATAATAGCATACCCTATTTCGTCTTTCTCTTTCACATACATATAGGGTACATCTGATAGTAAAAAGAAACCTTATACTTTAAGCATCTTCGGCGTATAAGTCTTCTTTCAAATCAATGCCCAATTCCTGTCTAATGTCTTTCAATTCTTCAAGATAAGCTTCGTACTGCTCATTGTTTTCAACCTTATGCTTTAATGCCTCAAAAGTTCTGACCGCTGTTGGATAATCATTGACTCTTCTGCATGCTAATAAAGCTTTTTCAATAACTGCTGGAGCTGGAACTAAATCATAAGAGAAGCAGTTATTTAAAACTCTCTGCACTTCAAATAAATCATACGCTTCTTCGAACTCTTTTTCGTACCTGAATTTCAATGTTAGTAATCGCTGATGATGGGCTAGTTGAAGTAAAGGTTCCCTATTTGCTATAATTTTTGTTCATAGCTGCATTGTGAAAAATACCACCTATACATACCTTGCTGTGAATTCTTCGAAAGTTTCTTCTTTGTGTTCGTCATGTTTTTCAACCATGGCTGAAAGGTTTCTAAGCTGGGAAATGGTAAGCTTCGAAATTGCAGGGTTAGGTCTTACTGCAACACTAGAAAGTCTTTGCACTGGAAACCTAGCACGCAAAGCTGAACGAATAGTAGATGCAATCATTATACGAGTTAATGATGGAGGATGGTAACTAATCTAAAACAATTTCTAAAGCACTAAAGATTGTTGATGTGGTTCTGAACGAGCCAGTTTTATTGGATCCTACTCAAAGTTATTTTTTAGGTCGTGCAAGATGTTCAACGGGATAGGATTCTGGTTCTGAAAGAGGAAGTCCTTATTTTTATTAGGAGGTCTACAGTGTTAGCGAAGGCTCTTTCTGTTCAGATGAATCACATATGGATAGATACTTAGCCCGTCGACGACATATATTGTTGTAAGCTTCAACGTCAACTTTCTACGTATATGAGAATCGTTGAACCAATAATATCTCTCCTGTTTCTTATGTAAGCTATTGCACTGCATATGTAAAATTACACTCGGGCCATCAGATTCTCGAGTTGAAAAAGACTTTCCAGACGAAGGGGACCTCAAGCAACGGTATGAGATATATATGTTCAAGACCGATAAGACGACTCAAAAACATATGTTTCAGTGAAAACTGTGATGTCCTATATTTCTGAAGAAAGTCTCAAAAAAGCTTGTGTCTCATGGTCGATGAAGATGAGTCTTATTTGTGTTGATCTATGGTTCCGTCTCTGAAAATTACGAAACGTAGCTATGTGGTAAGAGGGACTGTACTAGTTGAAGAAGAAAATTACTACAGCTACAGTTCCATCACTTGTGACTTACTTATTGCAATATCTCCTTTCAGTGACCACAATTTATGCCACAGGAAGATTAGGATCTAAAGAATTGGCTGCTGTAACTTCAGGGACTTCTTCATTCACTATAAGCAGGCTAGAGTTATACCAAGGTATGTCTACCTTTTTGGATTCATTCTGCCCACAGGCTTATGGGGCAGGAAAGCGGCATCATGTAGTTCTCTACTTTCAAGGAATACTTAATGGGTATTTGCCTTCTTATTTTCCCATTAAGTATTCTTTGGTGGAACTCTGGGTAAAACTTTTGATAGTTTGTGTAGATCAAGATAGTATTGAAATGGCCCAATTATATTTGAGGATAGTCACATTTGGTGGGCCCGGCTTACTCTTATTTGAAACTGGAAAAAGGTATCTTCAAGCCCAAAATATTTATTCCGCTGACTTATGTCCCAATTTTCGTTTAAATCTTCAACTGCTTTCTCAATTGGATATTAGTATGGAATAGTGCTACTGGTTTGGGATTTCTAGGGGCACGCATAATGATTACAATTTCCTTCTGGATGATGCCAGTCCTAATGCTATCATATGTCTTATTTGTATGGTATAGAATGCTGGGGTGGATTTCATTTCGTTGAGTATACCAAGGAATGGATGCCATTGATTAATTTAGCTATTCCAGGCATTTTAATGACAGAAGCTGAATATGTCGCTTGTCAAATAATCAATTTCTTAGCAGCATCCATGGAAACGATTCTCAGCGCAGTCTATAGCATCTAATGTAGGCTTCTCGTCATTTCAGCTATCATTTGCATTATTCTAAGTGGGGACTCGCGGCCAATACGTTGGCAAAAAAATCTTGCTCCTGAGGAGTAAGAACTGCCTTGATTATGGTTGTTTTCCTTTCAGCTTTCAACTTCTCCTTCATTTTTTTCTTCCGTCGTTCACTAGGTCGCCCTTTCACCAGCTCAGAGGATGTCTTAAAAATTAGCGATAGAACTTTAATTTTGCCTGCGATTAATCAAATTAGCGATGTGCTTGATGTTTTTGCCGCGAGGATACTCAGAGGGCAAGGTAGCATAAAATAGGGTCTATTTTGACAATGATGGCATAATATTGCATCTCAATTCCTATAAGCTATTATTTTGGCATTATTAGAGATCTTCGATCAAGTGGATTATGGCTAGGTTATATCCTGGGTGTGTATGTTAACAATTGCCGATTTTGGGTTACTTGTACATCTAATTGGCAAACCATCTTCATTAATTCATCTAAACTTCAACAAAAATAGTGTTAGTTGACGTATTTGACTTGAATGAAGCAGCTCGAGCTAGCTAGAATCGAAATTCGAAAACCAAGTTACGTCCATCATCTCAAAGAGTTTTTGATATCAAAACTGCCACAAGTTGTATTCCTTATAATATCGGAAAAAAATTAAAGAAAACTGTAATTGACGCCAGCCTAGTGGGAGTTACAGAGTCTTCTATTAGCATCTTTTGAAATCTTTTTTGACAGGCTGCCGAAAGCGTATCTCTTATAGTGCTTTGGTTCCATTTTAGAACATGCTGAATTTGTCTTCCACAACAGGAATTCGTTTACATCGACCTTTATGATTCTTATCGCCAGTTCTGTAAAAGTTGACTGTAGATTGACTTTTAGCTCGATCCAGGATTTTGACAAGTCAGTCGAATTAATCTTAAGAGAGTTAGTAGCTTCTTTTACGAACATACATCCATGAGAATTCCGCTTACAGTAACTTGAACAATGATGTTCATCATATTTTTTGCATGTAGGATGGATGGTAGTTGTGAAATTAGTTGAATCAACTTCAATGCTTTTTATTCGGGGTAATCTCAAAGCTGCCTTTTCTTTCCTCATTGACTCAGACTTTCCGACACCAACCAGCAGTGCAGTTTGAAGGTCTGGCTCTATAATAGGATAAAGCTTTTCTGTATTATTTTCTTTCGAGGTAGCTCTACTTTGACCACGTAAAAGAGAAGAGATCCTGTGTGACAGCGTACCACTTATCATTGACAGACTGACTTTAAAGCTGGTATCCAATTCCTTCTCATTGAATGGAGAAAATGAAACAGAATCATTTGCAGCCTCAAACGAAAAAAGCTCGCAGTTGCGATTAGAGTCGTTCCATATTGAATTGCGAGCTCCAGCATCCCTCTGGTGCATTATCATAGGTTGTTGCATTGATTTTTGAGGAGGGGGGGATAACCTTAAAGAACTCATACTACCATCAAGATCTGCCGCAAATTTTCTGTCATTCATAGTGCTGTCTTTATATAATTGACCTGGCCAAAGCAATGTCTTTCCAGCCAAATCCTTGCCCATCAAATCGGGTACTAGACGCTCACCTATACGCTCACTTAAAACGAGATTTGACCTACTGTTTGCTGCGATATTCGTAAGAATTCCAGCCCTTGCCTTCGAATCTATGGCTTGAAAGCTACCTTGCTTTACATTGACATCGCATTTAGGAAAGAAATTAGATGAATTCTGGTCTTGGAAGCTTGCTATGGTGAAGTTTCTCCTATCTTCGTTTTCAAGAGAACCCATCGTCCTGCTACATCACCTTCTCCAACTATGGACTATTTCAATCTAAGAGAGCAATAAGTTCAGATCTAAAGCCTCTAATGACTACTTCCTCAAATACAATAAGTCTAAAGTATACAGTCTTCTTCTTCCGTCTATTTTCCTGTTGAGTTTCTGGATTTAAGGGCTTTCATACTATATCCACAGAAATCTACGGAATGGATGCCCCTTCTTTTCTTTTGTGTAGTTCCTCATAAGAAGTGCAACATTAAGAATGGTGTACTTGCGATGTGCAGGTAACTTGAAGTAGTGTTTGTCTCGATTTTCAAACCACCCAGGAAGTCATTTTTACAGGGATAAACACAATCCAGCGCTTTGTCAGAACTTACATAAATTACATAAGATCTTATTACACATTATAGGAAAAGAAGAAGGGTATACAAAGACACGAATATGAATGCCAACTTCACTGCATGGACTAATGATAAGGAAGGGCAATCGGGAGATCCATCAGAAGAGCAAATTGACCCTTCATTCGCCCAGCATCAAGAGCTGGACTTTCCTACCGTAGATGATGTAACTGCGGCAGCGGTTGCAAACGCTCAAGGCGCACAGAGCCATCAGCAGCAGGGTCAGACTTCTCATAGTCTTCCACAAGTACATCATAGGAATCATCTGCAACATGACGATCATTTAAGAGCTGCTCAAGCTGCTGCCGAACTTCAGAGGGCACAACAGCAGGCACAGCAAGCACAAGAACTGCATCAACAGATGGTTGCAGCTGCTGCCGCCGCTGCAAGTGTAGGAGGACTTTCATCTTCTTCTTCAACGCCAGAGGATAAGAAGACCTCTGGTGCAAGAAATCTCAGGCCCATTTCAACTACGAAAAGAGCGGCGCAGAACAGAAGCGCTCAGAGGGCATTCAGGCAACGTAAAGAAAAGTATATCAAGGACCTTGAACAACAAGCCGCAGAGGTAAATCAGTTAAAACAGACAATAGAAGAATTACGCAACGAAAATTTACAATTGAGAGATTACACTTTGGCATTACAAAGTAGGGTTATCGAATTGAGTCCACAAGGTTCTCATCAGTTGCCCAGTGCCGCCTCTGGGCAGCCGAGTGCTTCGCACGATAATGTTCCTACTCCACCAGCTGCGGTATTCAATAACAAGATATTTAATACTGATAAATGACATAGTCAAAATTGTTGCCGCTTGTATATTAGTCAACTGGCTCTCTCAATGCCGTTCGATTGTTCGCTAAAGAGCTCGGTGTTTGAGTCCTGCATTTAGTGTAAATTAACAATTGTTTCCCGAGTCTCATAAATACTAGATATTTCTCTGAGCAATAACTAACGTCACACAATTAAATAGGCGATCCAAAGAGATTTTATTCAATAATAAGTTTAATAACCAACTCGATTGTTTATTTGTCAAGTAAATTTGTTTCTTGATGAAGGTGATTAAGACTGTCGTCAATATTGCGTGAAAATGGAGCGTAATACGATAGGTCTGTATCTTGAATTCTTGACTCTCATAGAATCTGAGGAATTCAACGATAATTTAATTTCAGTAGAATCACTGCAAGACTTGACAGATGCGCTGGCGCACTCTTTGCACCAACAAGATTTTTGTGTTGATCTACCCATGAACTTGGGGATGGACGTGGACTCATTTTACAATAAGCTTGGGAGCTCAGATAACGATTCCAAAGAGAGCTTGGGTAGACCTAAAACAGAAGAATACGAAGTTTTGCTCAAAAATTCATGTAACTCGTGTTCTTCAATCACAGGTACCGTATCAGTACCGGTGTTTAAAGAGATCGAAAGATCTAGCGTCAACATTCCTCCTGCCGACCAGAATATAGAAGAAGACTTTGAGAATATGGGTTGCTATACCTCTGAATCAGATGACTCGGAAGCTGAGGAATCTGAGCGAATGTTTTCGAAAATAAATCCAGTTGTACCGGGTTTGTTTCCGTCTATGAATAGTAGCGATAAGAAGCAGTTCATGCGCCCTAAGGATCTACCGCTCCTTCCTTCACATACTTGTGATTAGAATTAATTATTTTTTTCTTACTTCTATTATCAAATTTATCAAGACGTTTCTGAACAAACCTCTTGAGGCTAGGTTATAGAGATGTGGTTCATTTTATAGGTCAAATGTATATAATCTGTAATGATTTCGCAATGTGGCGTAAATCTGAGTATGATTTCTTTTATGCGTCTGAGAAACTTCAAAAATTCAATTTTTCATGGCAGCTCTGATAAATTACTGAGTTGGATCAAAAGCGACACGACAAATAAACTTCTATTATTTGAGCATGCTTCCTGTTCATTCTTTAAAGAGAAAATCTTTATCTTGTGGCTTTTTGAGGAGTTTGGGCACTAGCCTGAGAAATCAAGGTGTTTGGAGCGATTTTTCATCGAGACCAAGAAGCCTAAAAGTACAATCAGAGGTTAACGACGGCTTATTTCATGGTATCAATGAGAAAACAGGACCATTTTCTTATAAGGAGCTTGATCGTAAATTAGCATATCACTCGCCAGTTCTCATTGATGAAACCTTTAAGCTAGCCTACAAGGAATTAGAGAATGAGAGTCAAAAAATATATGAAGAAATTAAAGAGTTAAATAAATCTCTCGAAAATACCAAAGAGACGTCCGAAAAGCATCGTATCAAAGATGAAATAGATCACCTTCTTATATTGGCTGAGTCTAGAAACCCAGAAGTCATGTATAATGCTGAGTTCAATTTGGGCAGTGTCGATAAGAGCCATCCAGTTTACAGGAATATTTTGAAGAAAAAATGGGAATCATATGATTTAATGGTCACAATGCAAAGGTTGGAACAGTTGCATGTTATACCTGATACATTGCCTACTTTAAACCCGCTAGTAGATGTCAAGGTCAGATTTCCACACAATGTGGATAAAGAGTTTGCTGGCTGGGTCACCCCTGGTGAGATATTACCATCCTTCGCAGTGTCCCAACCTCCGGAAATTTTGATACAAGAGTTCGAAAGAACAGATGCTAAAAACTTGTATTCTGTCTTGATAGTAAATCCTGATACACCTGACGTAGAGAAGAACTCCTTCACGACAACTTTACAGTATGGGCTCGCAAATGTTCCATTAGATGCTGTTGATAATCTTATAAGCATTAAGAAGCTAATGGAAAAAGGGGAAGAATACACATTTAATGCATATATCCCAATATTACCTGAAAAGAATGCTTCAACACAGAGAGCATGCGTTTGGGTCTTTAGGCAATCAAAAAAGCTTTCTATCGATGGAGATATTTCTAGCGATAAGTTTGATATTAGGTTCTTTGTCGAACAAAATGGTTTATTGCCTGTTGGTGCCCATGTTTGGAGACAACATTTTGATAGAAGCGTCAACAGAATCAGAAGTGATTATGGTCTTGAAAAAAATAGAGTCTTCCACCGGGTACGCAGACCTAATCCTGTTATTGAATAATTCCTCTGTTTGGGGTTAAAGTGTACATAGTTTTAAGCAACCAACTGATGATTCTATTAAATAGAATTTGAAACTTTAGGAATGTGATGTAGTTTAATTTTTTTTTTTTTATTTTTCTTTTTTTTTTTGTTACAATCTATATCGGGCATAGAAAAGTGATTTTAGTAGTCTTTCAATGTTCTAATATGTCTCTGGACTTGAATGAAAGGCGATATGTACTTCGAGATACAAACATTAGAGCCTCACAAGGAAAGCTTAACATAGACGAATCTATTAAGCTAGACTCATCTTTAAAAAAGCATACTGCTTTAATCAAGAAGCTACGCACATCAATAAATGCAGCTCAATGTGAAGCCATATTGAAAGATATAAACAATCTTTCTTTGGAAAAATACATAAGTGAACTAATTACTTCGGTAGCGGAAGGATTAAATAAGGTAGCCAAAAATGACGTTGATGCTGCGTTAGAAATAGTCAGCTTATTGCACCAACGATTCCCCAAATCATTCACTCCACCCTTGATTTCTCAGATCATTGAGAATATATTTGAACCTGCTGGAGTAGTGGCCGATCAAGAGAAAGAGAAGAATGATCGTTCCCGAATATTGCGTCAAAAAAACTTGTCTAGAGTTCTCATGGAATTCTACTTGACGGGGTTAGTTAAAACACTTGGCGATTGTGATGCTACTTCTTTGTCAAATTCTACGTTAAGGAAGTTTGAAAAATACAATGATAAGCCTATTGTGTGTGTTGTGATAAAGGAAATCCTAGAGTATGATTTCAAGCTGGGGAATTCTTTGACTATTGCAACAGTATTCTTACGAAGGTTTAGTGATGTAATATATCAGGAAAATGTGTTACTCGATACTGATACTAAAGCTATTTTCCGTCAGCTTTTCAAGAGATATACGACAAAAGTCTTTGACAACTTTGTCTCATTAAACCTACGTTTGAAACTGGTGCTAGAACGCAAGAAGAAGAGCTCTATCAGAACAGGAAAAATATTAGATGAAAACTTAACGGAGATCGAAGAGGTAGAAATTTTGTTTGAAAAATTCAAGTCTGCTGCCGAGTTTTTGTCATCTGCCTTGGAAATGGAATTGCCTTATGTTGAAACATTCGATGATAGCATATTGAAAGAACCGGAGCATAACCTTTCGGCAAACTTCGATGCATCTGATGTTGAAGTTTGGGGGTCTGAGGTTGAAAGATCCTTTTACAATGATATACCGAAGCCCTCTGAACTCGCACAGAGCATATCTCCAAGACTAAAAGGCTCATCTCAAGGTGAAAGGATAAGTGACTTCTTTGACAAACTAGAAAAAATATCGAATGAGAAGGATATAAGTCAATCAGTTGTGGATTTTAATAGTCTAGATTTTAATAATAAAGCTACCAGGAACAGACTATTGCGATTATTTTCTGATACATCAAAGGTTAATAATTCTAAATTTTATGCCAGGTTTCTTAAAATTAACGAACAAAATTTAAAAGACTTAATTCAAGAATTGATTGAATATTTGGACAATGAATTCCGAAAGCAAATTCTTGGAAGCAAGTTAAATTTCAAACATATGTCTTTTTTCGTTGAATTAATTAAATTCAAAATGGTTCCATCTCATATTATCTTTCATAAGATTAGAAGGCTCACTCTCAATATAGGCACAGTTACCAATATCGACGTCTTGGCGGTGTTTTATGATCAAGCTGGAAGATTTCTACTAGCAGAGCCAGCTTACAGGAATATGATGTTAGAAATGTTAGATTTGTTACAAGCCAAACTTCGTAATGAAAGTCTAACCATAAATGAAAAGTTGGCGATAAAGAACCTTTTAATAACTGTCGGTCCATCTCCCATTAAGAATAATGTAGCAAGTGATTCCCAAATTGTGTTTCTGTCCAAAAGACTTTTTATACTCAAACTCCTCAAAGTAGAGTTGAAGAAATCTACTATTTCTACCGTTCTTTCAACATTAGATAAGATCAACAAGGAAAAGGATCCAGATGCATTCGAAGTACTTATGGAAATGCTTGGCAAGCCTGAAGACTTGTCTTTTAATAACATTCCTTATTTAGCAAGGCTTCTTAAGCAAAGAGATGGTTCAGTATTTACAACGGTCATTGATACTGTTATCGAAAAAATTTTATGTGGAATCGAATCAAACGACTATAAGCTTAACAGGATAACGATATCCAACATACAGTATATATCCGAGCTATTCAAATTGAGGTGCTTGACATTGCAATTCATGGTGAATTTAATGTATAAGATAATATGCACTGACCATCCAAACAACCTTCCATTGCCAAATAACTATAAAGTAATATCTGATCTACCTAATAATTATTTTAGAATTCAGCTATGCAGCATTTTGTTAAAATCAATTATTTCGCTGAAAAGCCTAGTGAAAGAAAGTACTTTATCGGGATTCGTTGTGTTTTTGCAGTATTATATATTCTGCAAGGTTTTGCCGCTTCCTGTTGATATTGATAATGAAGTGAACACTGCGCTTTTTCATTTACTTGACTCTATGAATATCGAAAGAGCTAGAAGTATCAAGGATGCATTATCCCAGCTTAATGAATTATCATTTGCGCGCAAAGCTGATGAAAATCAGAAACAAGATGAAAATGTACCCGAGGAATTAGACGATTTTCGGGAGGACGAATCTGATGCTTCTCTTGATGATGAACTTAACTATAATGATAACGAGGATCTAGATATCAACGATGATGCTGAACTCGATATTACTGATGCTGATGCTGATGCTGATGTTTATGATGATGAGGAGCGTTGTTCTAGTGTCTCTAGCTACACCAGTTCTGATAGCGGCGAAAGCACTTCTGATGAGGATGAAAGTGATGATGAAGATTCCAGTTCTATATTAGAAAATGAGGAAGCGAAACTCACAGAGGAAGAACGCGAATTTTCTGAAAACTTGGATAAAGAATTTCTGAAAATCCTCTCAGAATCATATGGTCAAAACAAAGCAGCAACAAACCGCAATAAGTTCCACATACCGATTCCATCAAGGGCAACATCAATTAACTCTTCAAGTGAAAATTTAGGTATGGTTACTTTTAATCTTCTTTCAAAAACTGGGAAAAAATCGCAATTAAAGTCAGTCAGTTTACCATCTGATAGTAGATTTGCAGAAAACTTGGTAAGAGAAAGAGCAGATCAAAAGCAAAATAGGGAAAAGCTCATAGACATGGTCCTCAACATGGAACAATAGAGTATGCATCCGAATGAAATATATATGTATGTATTTATATTTTATTATAGTACACCGTACTGTTAAGTAATCTTAAGCTACTTTGACCAACACAACAGTTATATCATCTTCTTTTCCACCCAAATATTTTTGACCTGTTAGTTTAGAGAGCTCTTGAGCAAAAGCACTTGGAAAATTTTGATCTTTAGAAACCCTTACTACTTCTTTTACGAAAGTTTTAGAGATACCGTCTAAATCAATATTCCTTTTACCCTCGATTTGGTCTCTCAAAAATATTTCAATATCATTTGAAATGACATTGTCTGTAACACCATCAGTTGCAAACATTACTACATCATCCTTTTGTAAATCCCATATATATTCATCAGCACTCTCTGGTGTATCAATGATGTATCTTCTTCCTTGTAATTCCGCTTGCTTTACTATCTCTTTTGGAATTTTGGCTAATTGGTAGGGAGTATTAAAGTTATGAGTCTGAAAGCCCGTCTCCTCTATAAGCTTGTAATCTCTAAACAAACCACACCAAGAATCACCTAAATTTGCAACCTTCAATTTCCTATCTCCGGTGAAAATTCCTACGCATGCTGTGGTGCCACCAATTTCCACCTTTGGAGATTGCAACACATCAGCAAAGGCTTTTACTAAAAGATCTTTTGGGGAAACGTTTCTGTGGTTGTCATCTGTTTCAAAGTTAGATTTTATAAATGAGCACAATTCTCTAGATATTGCTGATGAATCGTAGCCAGCCTCAGACCAGCCACCAACCCCATCTGCCACACCAACAGCAATCGAACCATCCTCATATTGTCTTGAAACAAACAAGTTGTCCTCACCAGTTGGCGACTGTGTTGCAGGACTCTCAGTACCATGTTTCTTTTTGAACACATTAGATTCCTCCCTATCTTTTGCTTGATATGCGACCGCAATATAATAGTTTGAAAGCTGATCAAATCCTCCATCAATATTGCTACTCATCATACAGCTGCTTGGTTTAGCTCCATCCGTGGCTTTCGACCAAAGCGACGAGAAGCTAAATGATCTCCGATGTATGCCGCTCTTTATAATATTTCCACCACTGAAAGCTCCTCTCCGACACGTATAAGACAAAAGGATCGACATCACCGCTATTAGTACATATATTAAAAGCTTCCTTGCTATCATCTATCTCTTGATGAGAATTTCAAAAGTTTAACTTCACCTGATCTTCAGAGGCATCCAGGGACCGAGAGACGGTGAGAGAGTAGAAAATCTCGGTCTGCATATACGTTTCCCGATTCTGTCCAATAAAAATTTCAAAATTGGAAGACAAATAAGGCCCAACCGAAGAAATACCAAGAATAGGTAGGATTACAATCTACAATACAAAAAGGTTAAAGTTAAAGCTCGAAAATGTCTGCTACATTTAACGTTTTAAGATACTCTGTTTTGGGGGCAGGAATTGTTTATGGTGCTGTGCACAGATACAACTTAGAGTCAAGTGAGAAGCAGCTTCAGGCTACGAAAAAATGGAAGCTGGAAGAGAAGTTAATTAGACAAGCAAAAGCTGAATACGCTAAGCTTAATGCTCCTAAAGATGTGTCTACAAAGGCAGGCTCTGTAAATTGGGAGGATCCAAATTTAGATATTGGTAAGGCATTGGAGTCACTTATTCAAAAGTTAGATTGATTTGGACCATGTAACAAGCATAAAGTGCTGGTTAGAGGAGTAAACTAGTTCTATATTTATGCTAACAATTGACAAACAACGACGCAATACTTAGAATTTTCAAAACGCATGAATATTTAGCTCTTATATTTGCTTTTAAATAAATTCAGCCCACGATTTGGTATGAACTGTTCCCTTAGTGATATTCTGTAATAATAAATGTGCTGTCACTTCAATTCATTTGATCGTTGATGAAGTAAACTCTTCAATTTTTGTCTACATCATGTGACCTCGATATCTATGGGTTTATTCGACTTAGATATGATAGAGCGATATCGAATTTAATATTAAAAAGGAGATCATGAGTATAATCAACTAACTATGATACGAAATGATAACCATGGAAGAGTTTTGGGCTCCCCAGGTAAATCTAATCCAAGATTGAATAACAAAACTAGTGAAGCATATGTGAAAGAGGGAGATGCTGTTGACAAAAATAGTTCGTCTTTTATAAAAATCCCCGTAGATAATGAATTGGTTTGCCCCATTTGTGATCAGATCACGAGTAACTTAGTTGAATTGAACAAACATATAGATATCAACCATTCTGAATCTTCACTTGGCACTGTATTTCCAGAGAACCACACGGATGAAAGAATTACGAAGACGAGAAGCCCGCTGAGTTTTCTAAATGAGGAACATGAAAGCGCAATCTTACGAAAGAACTTGAAGGTAGATTTGTTGGATGACAACAAAAGCTTTACATTAAGCGGTACTGGAAAAGCTCAACACAGCTTGCAAGCAAATTTAAATCCACAGAATAAAATTAGCAGGGCTCATTGGGAACTGCCTACTTTAAATGCCACTTGCGCCTTTAATGGTTGTAATAAGAGACTTGGGGTCAAAAACGGTATTGTGAATTGTCGAAAATGTGGAAAACTATTCTGTGATAAGCACACGAATTATAAAGCTAAATTGAAAAATTCTCTGACAGGTCCTATTTTTGATTCATCTCTAGATTCAGTATGGTGTCGATGTTGCGAGTCCTGTTATTACTCTAAACCATACTTTATCGAAAGAAAAGATCCTAAAAGCAATGATTTGACTTCTAAATTTAAAGACTCAAGAATGAGGTATTCTGATACTAGAGTTTTATCTAGAGATAGGATCCAAAGAAAGTTTATAAAATACGTCAATTATACAGTTGAGCAATATGTCAAAAATGAAAAAGGTATATGGTCAAACTTTTTAAGAAAATCAGTCGAACATTTAGAAACCAAGATGGCAAATAGTGACGGTTGGCAAAGTGATAAGGACGTTGCTTATTGTACAATTTGTTTTACTAAGTTCTCTTTATTAATAAGAAAGCATCATTGTCGCTTATGTGGTCAAATCGTATGTGACGATCCATACGGAATAAGGAAGAGCTGCTCAATTTTGGTTCCCTTGAATAAAGTATTGGAAAAAGTTGCGAATTTGAATTATTCTCCTTTAGTAAAAGCAAATTTGGATCATCTTTTGAAAGATGATTCTCTCCGATTCAGGTGCTGTGTTAATTGTAAGAATGATTTACTATTTGAATGGAAGCAGGGGAAAATGAATGAAAGTGGTGGAAAAGAAAAAGAAGTTTTCAATTATTATGATCCGATTTTAATACTAAAACAACAAATTTCTAATCTTTTGCCCAAGTATAAAATAGACATTGACGGAAATAATAAGGAAAACCTAAATAAAATAAGAATTCGATTGATGGATTATCTTAAATCTTACGAGAGTTCGTGTGATAAATTTAAAGGTGTATTTTTTGAAAGAGAGGGTGATGTACTACATGTAAAAGGTGAATTTCTGGAATACGATAGATTGATAAACAACATCAATCGGAGCTCTACATTATTTTTTCAAAATAGCTTGTTAACATATAAGGAATATAGCCAAATATTGAAGAGCTTGGAACAGAAAAAGTTGATGGCATTTACAGCACCCCCAGAAAAAGTTCCCAAACTCACAAAGAAGGAAATTAGAGAGCTAAGGGAACAATTGATGGTTATGAATGAACAAAAGTTCATCATTGAAAATACTATCAACGAGTATACCAAATTACGCAAATTTGACGAGTTGAACTCGTTAAATGAAAATAAGCATGAGCTCAGTAATATTATAAAGGAACTAGAGGAAAGATTAGGAGAGTTTGGCTTCTGACTTCTGAACCATGTACTTAATGTGCTCCTAATTTTTATAGTTCAAATCAAATAGTTGTTTATGATATAAATATGGACTCTTAAATCTTTCATTTAGAAGAATTTTTGAAGGACTGAGCTATTCGCTTTCCCGATTCCATTACCCTAAGGCACTTTGAAAGGTTCTATTACGCTTGCATTTCTGAAAAATACTAAATTTCTCAAAAGTACCGGGTTGAAAATTTTTTACATCCAATAACGCTTTAATTGTAATATGAACTCCTTTTCATATAATTTGTGTTCCCTTGAAGGTAACATTGTAGTCTTTAACTCTAAAGATATTCTTATCCTATAAACAATTGAAATCATGCTAAGATTCAGGGTGTTCTAATGAGATATTTAAAGGGTTCCTATCGTACTTAGGGCTTCTCATTGAACACCTGACTGCTATAAGCACATGGAAGGCTTATTTTTAACTAGATTTCGCAATCAATACTTCTTCAAAGTGTGTTAGTATAAAAGTAAACCCATAAAAAATCACAAAAGTA